GACACAACAAATACTTGGTGACTAAAGAAAAGAGTAAAGGAATTGGTAGCTGTAAGTATCAGAGTGGATTCAGTCAGGGGAATGTGTTGACACGGTTTTATGGTGGTTTATGATGGTTATTTTCTTCTGAGGGCACCCAGTTCTCTCCCTCTGGTCTTCCCTGGGTTGCCTCCACCAGAACTAACCACTTCCCACTGACTCAGGAGGTCTCTAAGCCTTAGGACCTTGCTCCTGTCACCTGGAACACAAACCCATCCAATGTCAATCTTCCTGCATTTCAGTGACATTTTCCTTCCTTTATCAGGACGTGACCCTAAAGTCATCACAGTGGATCTTGGGTGAGGCAGCTCAGAACCCAAGGTGTGGTTCCCCTCAGAGTGAAATTGAAAACAGTCAAAATAACCCAGAGGACAGTCTCTTTAAAGTGTGCCTGTCTGGCAAGACTGGCACTAATCCCTGCTTCTTGTGGTCTGCTTCTGTAGGACAAATCCACACAGGCAAGGAGGAAATGGTTATGGTCAACTGTAATCTAATCTAATCTAATCTAATCTATGTGACTGGGACATAAAAATGCACAGCCCAGCTCCTTCACTTCTCTACCTATTAGTGAGGTAGGCATCCCAGTTTTACAGATGAAGAGATTATGGTACAGAGGGATTTAAGTAAATTTAGAATAAGCAAAAAAGATTAGTGGAAACAAAAGTAAAAGACAAAAAGAAAGAAAAAGACAAAAAAAAAAAAAAAAACACGACAAAGCAAGGGTTAGTGGATATTTCCAATGGAAACTATACATGATTTAGCCCTTGCCATTTTGGATTAGCTGATTCTGTTCTTTTATTGCCTGTCTGTGGGTTATAGAGGACTCCTGGCAGGGGGCTGGGCATATAGCTCAGTTGGTAAAGTGCTTGCGTCACATGCACAAGGCCCTGGGTTCAATCCCCAGCAATGCCAAGAAAAAAGAACCCATGGCAGTGCAGATGATTCCACCTCTGTTCAGTGGAGGGACAACCCTGGGGCCCCTCCTGTGGAAGATTCAGCTTTGCTTGCATTTACAAATTCATTTCAGAATTCCTGATCTATAAATGCATCTGTTCTTTGTACTCTCCTTTGAGTGAATTGTAACAGCTACCTAGTTCCCTTATAATAAACGTTTATACTTCATATATCTATGAGAGTCATATTTTGCTTATTGAAAATTATCTTTTTATAGGGATTCTGTAATTTGCCTCTGGCCACTTACACAAGAAGAGGTAGAACTGGAATTCAAACTCAGGCAGGTAGGAACTAGTGGGTATTTTTGACCATCATACTTTCCAAGCACTACAAAGTGTAATTACATTAAAGTAACTAGCAGTAAATTCATCAGCTCTAACTTTAACAATACCCTTTGATCACATTCAAACACAAACCTAATTCTTGACCCTAATTAAAATATAACCCTAATTAAAACCTTCTCTGTGGAAAAGACACATGTGACCACCGCCATTTTTGGAGATAATTTTTAGTGGCACAAGCAGGCATATTCATTCAGGTCCCTTGGGTGCCCAGGCCACCAGGGAGCAGGGGGTATTTTTCTCCCCCGGTCTTACTATAGAATCCCTGCTCATGGGGAGGCAGCCAAGGTTGGGCAAAGCAGATGCTAGAGTTGTGTGCTAAGGGGCTCCATTTTTACCCTTGGTGCTACCCAGATTTAGCTAAAGGTCCCCCATGATGTAGAAGGGGATTTGGAAGTCATTTTTATCTCTCAGTTCTCCTGGAGTGAGAGAGAGAGGGAGAAAAGTGACCAAATTTCCTGCCTCACATGCATTCTTCTTTGCTCAAAGGACTAAAAGTTATAACCTCTATTATATATTTAAATTATAATCTGATTAATAATATATTATTTTAACCACACATAATTGCAAGTAGGAATTTTGGTTTTTAGGTAACATCAAAATCTAACCATGACTTATAGATATAAACTCTTAACTTGACTGTTAACTTGACCGTAAAAAATACCATTTTTCTCACTGGGAAATTTATTCTCAGATATAAACTGATAAATCAATTAGCTCCATTTTATTCATTGCTTTAAAAATTTAAATCTAAACATTTTTAAATTTAGCAACATCATTTCATGGTACTTATTTTTGTGATTTCTTTTAATTATGGAAAAATGATACTCATTTTCCATTTATGATAATGATATTAAACGTATTTAAGTATAAAATGAGTCAACTTAAAGAAAAATATTCACTAACAGTACAGGTGGTATTAGATATAGGTAGAAATGAGGTTAGTGATATCCAAATGATAGAAGGTGTATAATCTTTTTTGATACTGTTTATTGAGCATTTATTTTTACTTTTTTAAATGCTTATTTTTTAGTTGTAGTTGGACACAATACCTTTATTTTATTTATTTATTTTTATGTGGTGCTGAGGGCCTCGCACGTGCTAGACCAGTGCTCTACCGCTGAGCCACAACCCCAGCCCTTGAGCATTTATTATATGCCAGGCTCATTGCTTTTGATTGTCCAACAGAATATACTGTCTAAGCCACATGTGGCTACAAAATCTTCAAAATGTGGCTAATGTGACTGAGAAATTAAAAACATTTAATTTGAATTCAATTAAATTTAAATATTCATATCAACCATATAAAAGCAAACCTAAAGGTCATTTTTTTTTGGTAGTGAGGCTTGAACCCAGGCTATATTCCCAGCCTGATTTTAAATTTGGAGACAGGGTCTTGCTAAACTGCTGAGGCTGGCCTGGAACTTCTGATCCTCCTGCCTCAGTCTCCCAAGTTGCTGGGATTACAGCCATGTGCCACCATGCCCAACAAAAATCTTGCTTTAAAAATACATATATTAGCATGACTCATGAGTCATTTCCATTCCTCTTTTCCTGTTAAATGTTCACATTCAATTGTATGTGCGTTGTTTCCACTGCAAACAGAAGAGCACCTGCGGTAAGCTCAGTGGTAGGTTGGATGCCCCCAAGATGTCTGTGCTCTCATACCCGGAACTTGTAAATATGTTATCCTACATGATTAAGGAAATTTGCAGATGTAATCAAATTAAGGATCTTGAGATAGACTGTTCTGGATTATCCTAGGGGGCCCAATGATAACTGGAAAGATCCTCATCCAAGGAAGGCAGGAACATCAAAGTCAGTAGTAGAAAGAGTAATAGTGGTGGTGGTAGTACAATAGAAGAAAGAACTTGTAGTATTTGAGGAAGGGGCCAGAGCCAAAGGAACACAGGTAGCTTCTAGACGATTAATAAACAAATTCTTCCTGGAAGCATCCAGATGGAATATATGTTAGAAATATTGAGAGGGCGGGGGTTGGGAATCAGACATGTGCTTGAAGCTGGGTGAACAAATCAAACTTTTACTCCTGTCAGAAAGGCATGCTACAGGAACCTGGCTAGCAAACTCCCCTGGGCAGGCAGTCCACCTGCTTATATCCCTAATATAACACAGCACTGTCCTGTGCTCTGATTAAAGGAGTTTTGGGTTACATCTATGGGATTGGGGCAGACAAAGGAAAGGGGTATAATTAAAATGGTTACAATTGGATCCAATTAAAGTTATATTCTAAAATGTACCACCAGATTTTCTATTTCTCACATGTAGGCCTACAGAAACACTGATTTTAGACTTCTGACCTCCAGACATATAAAAGAATAAATCCATACTGCCTTAAGCCACTAAATTTGTGGTGGTTTGTTATAGCAGTAATGGGAAGCTAATACAATTACCTAACTGGGCTCCTTATTTCCTGCCTTCTCTCTTTTCAGTGCATTCTCCACACCACAGAGGGATCTTTTAAAATTAGAAAAGAGATTGTCACTGTCCTGTTTAAAAAGTTCCTTAGCAAGAATCTTCTCTTTATACCTGGAACAAAATCCAAATGATGGCCATAGGCCCTACATGATCTGGTCACTAGCTATACCTCTCCCTACTCCTTTAATTTTCTTTCTACAGGTGTTCTCCCACCTTCCACCCCCACCTCCCAGCCTTGCTAACTCAGGGCAACTGCTTTTCTCTTTGGGGTCTTAGCTCTAGCCATTCCATTTGTCTGAAACACTGTGTCCTCAAACCTTTGGATGACTGGTCCTTTTAGCTTAAAATTCTCTTCATGAAAAACTCCCCTTGCCCCAACCTAAGGTAGCCACTTGACACTACAGCCCTTGTTTAGTTGTCTTCACAGCACTTATTATCTTAAGCTATACTACTCACTTGTTTTGTTTGTTGATTACTTCCTCTCTACCCCTTTGACCCAAGTTCCAGGAAACCAGGAACTTAGCTTGTCTGTGTCCTGCTGTTATGTCCAACCCCTAAAATAATGCCTGGCACAAGCTAAGCAGCTTTCAGCAAAAACCTGTTGCAGGATGGAATGTTTGGCTTTACAGAGAGCTCAGGGTTCAAGTTGGCTACTAGCCCAGCAGGGCCTAGAACCCAGAAGTTGAACTAAGACTGGACGCTAGTGCCTCTTTCTAGGGCTCATGAAGAACCACCCAGTCTGGTGAGGAGTTCAAAGGACCTCCATGGAAAATGATAATAATGAAAACAACAATGGTTAATGATTATTGAGCATTTTCTAAGTACCACAATTAACACTTAATTTTATGTGTTAAGACAATTGCATTCACTCTTCACAATCAATCCTCACATTAAGGACGGGGAAACTGGGCTGGGATGTAGTTCAGTGGCAAAGCGTCTGCCTTGCATTCGTAAAACCTTGGGTTCAACCCCCAGTCCCCCCAAAAAAACAAAAAACGAGGAAACTGAGGCAATGAACTGTTTCGTAACTTTCCCTACAGCTGAATATACACAATTACACGTTTCTACTAATCTTTCTGTGGTTCACTTCCTCACACTAACAATGTGGGAGGATTTCTGACCTGATATCCCCGGTTACCCGGATCCACAGTCTCGGGGAACAGTGGGGTACGTCCTCCTACTCAGGCGAGAGGAGGGCGGGGCACCGCCAGGGATTGGTGGGAGAGACTCGAGGCCATACAGCAGAAGTCCCGCCCTGCGTAGGAAAACTTCCGGTTCCAACTGCTCAGTGCTTATGTTGACCGGAAGCGTCCGGTAGCGCTGCGATGGTGCTCCTGGAGAGCGAGCAGGTATATGCAGGCCTCGCCGGCCCTGGGACTGATGAAGGTTCGGGTTTTAGCTCCAGACCTCTGTGTCGCCTTGAGGGAGGGAGAGGGACTTAGTTGACGCGGCGGTACGCGCGTAGGATTTGAGCTGCCTAATAGGGCCGGGCTTCTTATGTTCCAGTTCCTGACGGAGCTCACCAGGCTCTTCCAGAAGTGTCGGTTGTCGGGCAGCGTGTACATCACCTTGAAGAAGTGTAAGCAGCCACCTCGGCGGGGACGAAGGAAGCTGGGAGAGGGAACCCTGGAAGCCGAGCTATTCCCGGCCTGGGTGCCTAGTGTCTGGGAGGCACCAGAGTCCCCTGCCTTCCTCCACCCTGCACTGGGCACATTCAGGGACCTGGGCCCCGGGATATTGGGAATTGCGGTTGGTGCCCCCTCTTCCACTCAGTGTTTGTGACCAAGGTCCGTCCCGGCTACAATGGGCCCCAAGTATGTCAGAGGTCATTGTTTTGTCAGGGATACCAAACCCAACCGCGACTAGTGAGGTTTAATATTCCTGTGTAACAGCGTTTCTGTTGTGGAAGTTGTAGTTGTCTCCAAGATTTGGCCAAACCCTTGATAGCAGATGATGTGGTTAAACAGAACTGGAGCGGTGACAGTGGATTGTCACCTATTTAGATCCCTTCTTTCCTATTTTAACCTTTGTCTACCTATCAGCAACGTATATGGCTGTGTTCACTAAGATGTATTTTTCGTGCAGATGATGGTCGAACTAAACCCACACCGAGGAAGGGTTCTGTGGAGGGCGTTGAGCCCTCAGACAACAAGTGTCTGTTGAGAGCAACGGATGGGAAAAAGAAGATCAGCACAGTGGTGAGCTGGATTCTTAACGCTAAATTTTGGAGTTTAGAACGGAGGATGGATCATATCTGAACCAGGCTTTTAATTTTTTTTCTTTTTTAGGTAAAAGGTAGCAAATGTGTAGCTCCCAGACTATTTTGGGATGCGGACTTTCCTTTACCACGTTAATAGTAGAAATCTCAGTAAAATTAAAATGGAGGTAGAGGTCAAACACTTGTTATACTAAACTTTTTGTGGAAAAAACATATTGGTAATGCTGGAAGGAGTGCTTGGCATACTTATTTCCTTATCTCCTTACTGTGTTGGGCCTTCAATAATTTCTTGGTATCATGATTGTTTTACTTTTAAAAAGTATTTTTAGTTGTAGATGGACACAGTAACTTTATTTATTTTTATGTGGTGCTGAGGATTGAACCTAATGCCTCTGTGTGACAGACAAGCACTCCACCACTGAGCTACAACTTTTTTAGCTGATTATTCCTTTGTCTTTGTGGTTATTGTAACATAGTTATATGTTAGACTTGGTACATGAGAGAGTATACATTTAGTTAAGAGCTCTGTTTAGCCCTATTGTCTAGATTATTCTAGTCTTTCTTTTCCTGGTAGAGGTTAAGTATAGCAAAGCAAAAGACTCTGGATTCTTGAGTGAAAACTGTATTCTGCTGGGGCAGATCCAGACTCCCCTCTAATCACAGTAAAATAGGTTATTCATGAGAACATAGAAATAATTAGTTCATAATTCTCCCTTTATAAGTTATCTTGAGTAGACCTTTGTAGTAAAGCCAGCTTATGTGGTCTTTAAAAATAAAGTGGAATATCAAAAAATAGGAAAACCTGAGAATCTTTAAAGGTAATATTTCTCTTTCAGTAGCTTGCATTGTGCTTAAATTGGTCTGAATAAATGGAAAGCAGAAGATGAGGAGGGAGTAGTTTTTGTGTATGTTGCACAAAACATTAATACTGAGAAGTCACTTGACATCTCTCAGAACCCAGGAAGAAAACTTAGGGTCATCTCTGTAAGGGATTTCAAGAGAGATAAGAAATAGAACTTCTGTAGAAGATCACTTCTGCCTGTCCCTTCTGGTGCAGTTCTCATGTATAAAAAAGGCAGAGCTACTTTGCTTGTTCCTGAGGCAGAGGGAAGTCAGGTAGAAAAATAGCCTTTAGTGCAACATCAGAAGTTGGGAAGAACTTAGAATGTCATCTTCATGAATATTTTGAGATATTATCTGTGGTGGATCAGAGGATACTGAATGGATAAATAGGGGGTGACATCTTTTTTCCTTTTCTTCCAGGTGAGCTCCAAAGAAGTGAATAAATTTCAGATGGTGAGTTCCTAGTGTTGCCCATGTCCCCCTTCTCATGGCAAGAGAGCATAATGGTGAAAACTTGAGTTAAGATTGATATTTGGGGAGCTGGGCATGTGGTGCATACCTGTAATCCCAGCTACTTGGGAGGCTGAGGCAGGAGGATCCCAAGTTTGACACCAACTTAGCTAGACCCTGTCTTAAAAATAAAATGGAAGAGAGTGCTAGGGATGTACCTCAGTGGTAAAACACTCACCTCACAAGTGCAAGGCCCTAGGTTCTATCCCCACTACTGGGGTGGGGGGGTGGTTGATATTGGGTTCATTGCTGTCCTGTGATGTTTTACCAGTATTTTTCAGGTAAAAGGTGATAAGCTATGAATTTCAACACTGATATTATTTTTCCTTTCTGGTTTTTCATCTAGATTTTGTTGTCTTAACTTCAGATATACTCTGTAGTATAGTTGAACAAGAAATTGCTTGCCTTTTCCCCTTTTTGCTTAAAAATAAAGTAAAAAAGATGCAGCTCACTGTGGGTGAGTGTTTTAAAAGGTACTATATTCTCTATTAGGTAGGCTTTCTGATTTTGGAAGTAGGGCAGCTCTCCACCAGTTGGTACCTCCTCCTGTTAATAAGGTCAGGCTGTGTGTTTTTCAGGCTTATTCAAACCTATTGAGAGCTAACATGGATGGGCTGAAGAAGAGAGACAAAAAGAGCAAGAGTAAGAAGAGCAAAGCAGCACAGTGAAGAGCACTGAGTTCCCTGCTTTTACCAAACCACTGAATTACATATTTCCATTTTGTTTATAGTTTTGTTCATAAATCTAGGTTTCTGGTTCCCCCATTAACTGTTTTCATGTGATATTAGGGTTATTTTGGAGAGAAGAAAGGTTGCAGTGTTTACAAAGTATTTGTGGTAAGAAAGTAGTTTATTTCAGATTTATGATGGATGGTTATAAATTCCTAAATTAGTTTTAAAAAGTCTCTGTAGTCATCCCTGTGAAGAGCATTGTATCATTAAACACCTGTTATCAGCACTGTGCTTATGTGATCCTTCCCCCCCCCAATCTCCCCCCCCCCTTTTTTTTTTGGTGTTGCTGGGGATTGAATCCAGGGCCTCACAATATTACAAAACATTAAAAATAAAGATTCTAAGGTAATGATTTAGGACATTTTCATGTGCTTAGTCATTAGGATCAAGGGAAGAACAAGGATACTTTCTAATGTTCTATTTCCATAAAACCTTCAGTTTTAACAGATTTGCAATTAAAAAAGCTACACATATGACAAAGCATTTATTTTACCCAAAAAGATAAATTTATAATATATTACACATGAAAAACTGACAAAGCTCAGTAGGGCATTTTCTTAGAATTTAAAGTTAATTTAAAATGACAGTGAATGTACAACATTCCATTATTCCAGTATAAGCCCCTGTCTGAACAAGGTAATGAGTTCTTCAGGGTTAAAATAAGATTCTATAGTAGTCATCTCTGTAGCTATATAGAAACAGCACAGATACCCTGCAAAAGAAGGGAAAAGGCAGATTATAATGACAGTTTAGTGAGTGAAGAACAAAAACAGTTAAATACTTTTAGGAGATACGAAGGTAGCTTTAATTAAAAACAAGGATGGAAGGCTAGTCACTAAAAACTTATGTAAGTTTTACAGAAGCTGTGACTGCAGTAAAAGGGTCTACACAAGGAGATCCCCATTTACCTCACAGCCTCCTTGTTGCCCTTTAAGTGGAATGAGAACATGAATGAATGACATTCTGACATAAGGGTATAAAGTTATATTTTATTTCATTTAAACACTTATAGAAGTTATCTGGGTGAACAAAATGATACTTGGGATAGCTACTCCCAGCTCTGCTGTGTTTTATTATGGACAAGATCATGACTTGTGATTCACAGTCTCAGGAAGATTCATTGGTTGCCAGCTGCAGTTCTAACAGCTTGTCTTTAGCCTTCAAATCTCAATAAGAATAAAATATGTCACTCTAAAAAGCTCTTCCTGAATTTTAACCCTGTGAATGAAATCTGCTATGCCCAAGTGATAACTTACTTTTTTTCAACTTTGATGTTATAAATTTCGTCACAGACTAATTTGAGGTACCTTTGCTTTGGCAGGCGTGACAGCAGCTGCTTTACAGTTGTGTTAAATGCCTGTTCATCAGCATCCCACTGGGGAAAAAATAGATAAGACTTAACAGGGCAGAAGGTTTATTACTTGGCTTCTTCTGGGTCAGTACTGAAATGCCATTGTTCAAGTATACCAGAAGAATGTATTGTAGAACCAGCAGGGAGACTGCTGGGGTTCTTCCTTTCAAGCATCAATTTTCTTTTATTTTTTTTCAGAATTGTTAGTGATTTTTTTTTAAAAAAAGATTTTTAGTTGTAGATGGACACAATATCTTTATTTTTTTTTATATGGTGCTGAAAATCAAACCTAGTGCCTCACATGCTAGGCAAGCGCTCTACCACAGCCACAACCCCAGCCCTCCCTTTTCTTTAAAACAAGACTATAGGTACTATGTAGAGTCTAGATGCCACAGCCCTGATGTGCTAATATCCTGCCCCAGTGTGCTGTGACTTTAGATCAATTAATTCTGCCTACTGTTTACTTTGTATAAAATGGAGCTATTGTCTTTGTGTGTCCATCTGACTGGATCATAAATCAGTAAATTGCCAGTAGAGGGGTATATGTAGTATATACTTGTGAGAGCAACAGAAAATGTAATAATAACTTTGGGGCAAAGTTCATTTTTAATTTAACCTGTGACTAAACAATGGGTAGACATATATTCTTTGATATGTTGCAAAAATCATTTGTAGCTTTCATTAAGTATTCTTAGTAGTAACTATTCAAAAATGTTAAAGTTCTTATTTAGACTATTTGATAATAAATGTATATACCACCTATATAACAAAAGGGATCTAAATTAATTTTTACAAAAGGATCTTTTGTATAGTTCTAGTCTACAAATGACCTTCCCTAGCTGGAGTTTGACAGACAGCATAGTAGACAGACTATGTCAAGAACAGATTCTGCCAGGAGTGGTGGCACACATCTGTAATCCCAGCTGCTTGGGAGGCTGAAGCAGGAGGATTATGAGTTCAAAGCTAGCCTCAGCAAGTTAGCAAGACCATAACTCTAAATAAAATATAAAAAAGGGCTGAGGGATGTGGCTCAGTGGTTAAGCACCCCTGGATTCAATCCCTAGTACCAAACAAAAAACAACATCAAAAACCCCCATGATTCTGCTAGTCTGCCTGAGTCTAAATCCTGGCTATGCTACGTATTAGTTGGGTGACCTTGATTTAGGAATACATATAACATATGAAAGGGCCAATGTTATTAAATTCCTGGTGTTGCCAGTATTTTATGATACTAAGAAAATGTAATTCTGTTTTTAATTTTCTTTTGGTAAATCAACACAATGTAGAACAGTTTGTATTGCTTACCTCTAATGATAAAAACTGTAAGATTGTTTCTTTGGGTAGATCCACCTGTTAATTCACAGAAATGAACATCATATATCAGAACACATTGATTCAGGACTTCAGTGTCACTCTGGATAGACAGTATGAACAGGGCCTGCAGAGTGTGAAATGCCTCTGTACTTTATAAAGTAGACTTGATGATCTGTGTGGTGATAAGATCTCAGTATTGTGGGAACTATACCCCCTATATGCCATAATTCAAAGCTTTGTTGACACTGCTACTTGTACTTAGTAAAGCAAAGCCCTGAAACATAGAAAACTGATTTTGGTTTTCACTGCTTTCCTTCCTCCGTCTTTCAGAGGAAGAAAGGAGAGAGAAAAACAAACCTTCAATTTTCTCTCCAGTATTTTATATGTTTAGATTAAATGTGGTTCACTGACAAAGGCCAGTCCTCCTGGCCCAGCTGAATGAAGAGGATACTGACCCCTTTGCCTCTCCTGTTCTTTCCTCCCTCTATTCTTTCCCCTCTCTTGTGCTGTTTCTACTTAAGAAAAAAAAAAGCCTGTCATTGACTTTTTAAAGTCTACCCCAAGTAAGTTCCCTACGTAATTCTGAATCCTGAAGCCGGTGATCCATGCGGAATTGTAAATAGTTTCAGGAAGCCCCTATAGGGCTTGGCTACCCTTAGTGTGTGCCTCAGTATTTGAACTTGTGATCACCAACTGAAAGTGTCTTCATAGGAGAGAGATGCATGCTACTCTTTGGCTCTTTCTGTCCAGCTTTTCTAGAAATGACTCAGTCTATTAGGATCTGTGAATACTGTGTAAACTAGCCATGTGAAGTAGCAGTGGATGAGACAGAACGTTCTTTTCCACAAGCCTCTCTCTCCCACACAAGCTTCTCTCTACCTCCCACAATCCTCCTGCTCTTGAGGCCGATTGGCTGGGTCACGTGGGCGGAGCCAAAAAAGTCCCCCAATGAGCAGCTCCGTGGTCTGAAAGGGCAGGGAAACAGCCCAATGAGCATCACCGCAGAGGAGCCAATCAGCTAGATGTTGCTGGGTCCGAGGAGCCAATCAGCTAGATGTTGCTGGGGCCGCTGTGAGCCAATCATCAGCCGGCAGCTGGAAGTTTGCTGGGGCCCCTTCTGCTGTGGCTCTCAACATCTCCCCCTCTCTGTTTAAACAACAAGCATGTGGCTTAGGGACCGTGCCTGCCTTAGGTTGTCCAATAGTACATATGGTCCTTAGGTTGGTACCTCTCAACAGTTCACATCAGTAACAATAAGGTCTACATCCAGATACTCGTGACACTGAGCAAAAAAGCCCTGAAGTCTGATGTCACACTTTGACATTATGGACAGAGGCCATCTTCAAAATATCCAAAAATAACTTACAGCCAATATTTCAATTTCACTGCTTTTCTGATGTAAATTGGCAAGAGTAGTTTGAAGTCGGGTTTGTACCTAGTAGGAAGAAAATGTAATTCAGAACATGTTAAACCAAGCCATCTTATTTCCTATTCCACAAAACATGACAAGGTGACAAATCAAGGCCTATAAAAGTTTCCAATGTGGGGCTGGGATTGTGGCTCAGTGGTAAAGTACTCGACTAGCACATGTGAGGACCTGGGTTGAATCCTCAGCACCACATAAAAATAAAGATATTGTGTCCAACTACAACTAAAATATAAATATAAAAAAAAAGTTTCCAGTGTGTAAAGATTTGCTTTTACTCTACCTCAGAAAGAAGGGGTTATCTAGTCATTTTGATCACAAGGAAAATAAATTTTCTAACTTCTTTATTACTTATTTCTTTTTAATTTTGAAATGATGCCAAATAAAGACTCAGAATAATGAAATAGTACACGTGTAGGCAGAGAGATTTTAGGATTAAGCTAAAGGGGAAAGGGGAAGTATTGTAATAGCAATAAGAACATGGAACTCAAAAAAATGGGTCTCCACCCATAAACAATCAGAAGAACTTAAAAATGAGGTATTTGATTTTTTTCTACTTCAGTCCTATTTTTTTTTTTTTTTTTTGGTGGTGCTGGGGATCGAACCCAGGGCCTCGTGCATACTAGGCAAGCACTTTCCCACTGGGCTATACACCCAGTCCTTAACTTCATTTCTACATAATGGATGCTTTCCTAACATATGTCCATGGCACATTCTAAGACTCATATTCAATATACTTAGCTTGGCATTTTATTACTTAATTTCTTCTATTCTCTAACTATATTGTGCATATGCTTGCTTCCAAGGTTATAAGCTCTTTGATGACTGGGGCCTTGTAGTGTCTCATATTTTACATAGCCATTAGCATAGCATTAGGCATACAGCACACACGAAAACCATGTAAGGAATGAGAAACCTGCTTCAAGTCATATCATTGACCACTATTGCTTTGTTATTCAGATTAAAAACAAACTGCCATAAGAGGCAGATTAGAAAAGTTCTGTTTAGATGCGATCATTCTGACAACAGTTGCTTCTTTCAGTGTACACTGACACCTCTTTGGAGGATAGATGGGGTTGAATTCTGGCATCAGAGATGCTTTGTGTTGGTGAAATCTTGAGAAGCCATCAGGTCAGGGAAGTGGGTAGAAAGATACTTCCAAGAAATTCTGTGTTTCTTATTTTCATTTCCTGCTTGCTTTCTTCTCTGATGCTCACATTAGAAAGCCAAGGAAACCTTGACCAGATGTACCTGAGTTTCATACCGCCTCCTTGTGCTGGCTGACAGCTTCTCAGGGGCTATCACACTCACAATGGGAACAACTGTTGCTCCATGGATTTCGAATAAGCCTGAGACAAGAGAGTTTCAAAATTTATGGTATTATCTACACAGTTTCTAAAACACCACAGAAATGATAACAGTTTATTTGTAGCTCTCTTTTTGTGATTCTGGGGGCTAGGTCATGTCTAGGCTTTGTATTCTATCTGTGCTACTAGCTACACTTAACCTAGGAAGAGCCTAGAACCACAACAACCCAGTTTGATTGCTCTCTTATTGGGTGGAGATATACCAAAGCACTGGGAGGCAACATGAGTCCCCCAAACTTCATGAACCTCAGAAAATAAAACTCTTGTATTACTACTACTACTTTTTTACTTTTATTTTTTGTGGTGCTGGGAATTGAACCCAGGGCCTCACACATTCTAGGCAAGTACTGTATTACCAAGCTATATCTCCATTTTTTTTTTTTGAGACAGGGTCTTGCTAAGGCTGGCCTCAAACTTGTAATCTTCCTGCCTCGGTCTCCTGAGTACCTGGCATTACAGGTATGTACCATCACACCCAGTCCAATACTTCTTTCAATTCCTCAAAGTATTGGAATGTGTTGGTGACATAAAGTTAATCCTAACAGAAATAAAAGGAAAGACCTGATTCTGTTAAAAGCCAAATATGCCTTCCTGTGGGCTTAACCAGAATGTTTCCTTTTCAGTTTTTTTCAGAAGGGTTGTTAGAGGTGATGAGACTAAAGGCAGAATCTCTTTGTTGGATTTCATGGAAACCAAAAATGTACATAACGACTATCTCCAAGGAATTTCAAAATATTTTTCTCAAATCCTCTGCTTGAGGGAAATTTTCAAGAAAATGATCCACATTTAATCTATACAATAAACCCAGTCTAAGAAAGATTAAACTACTTGTAAAAATAAGACAGTAAGACAAAGATACAGCGGATCAGAAGAATCACTTAACCAATTTTATCTTTTTCTAGAATATGGGTTTCAAAGCACAGATAGGAATTCCATGTGGTACAATTTGTTGTATACGTGTTACTTTAAAAAGATATTTCCAGTGTCACAAAGAATTGGCTACAGTCATAAGTGCTTTGAGCAAACGTAAACACAAGCAATATTATGTTCAATTGTAATTAGTAATTATACCTGAAGCATTAGACCCCTTCAGATTTTGCACTGCAAGATTATCGGAAGCTTCTCTAAAAACAAGCAAACAAAAACAATTAGGAAAACAGTCAATAAGACAGAAGCAACATAGAAAACTCACAGTGAGCTATACATATAGTGAGCCACTTTTTCTACTGACTATAAAAACACATGCCTATTGGTTATTAGTGGGAAGAAAAATAAAAACAACAAAAATTGCACTTAGTTATGCTTTTGGTCAAGAGCAAGTTAAAAAAAATTATAAAGGATGTCATTTCAAGTTAACAAATGCCTAAAGAAAACATTCTGATTTATTCAGCTGGGTTTGAAATCCTGGCTCCACACAAACAGCTCATTTCAATGAAACAACATGGGTGTTCTTTCCGCTCCCCTCATAATACAAGGAAACATTAGCAACAGCATGCTCTGTCTTCATGTGGCAGCAGCCTTGGCGACCACCCACAGGAGAACATTTGGTAAATAAGGATATTCTTTTAAAACCTGTAAGTGAATGTTCTTTCAAATGCTGTGAATTAATTTAAAGCTTTTGTGAGACACAATAGCACTTTATGTTGGGAAAACCAGGGAAAAAAGATTTTGAAACTTTCTCTGTTAAAACTAAATCTCATCCAACTTTTTAAGTGTCTTAATAGTGTTCACCTGTTCTCACTGTTATGTAGTTGTTGTGTTTTTTTTTTTTTTTTTTGGTTTTGGGGACTGAATCTAGGGCCTTGAGCATGCTAAGCACATCTCTGTCGACAAGTTACACCCCCATTAGTTAGCCACTTTTTGCTTTTGCTTTTAAAACTCTGTCTGATTTGGATTATAATTCTAATATCTGGTGACTTTAAGAATATTACATTGTCTCAGAAAAGCCAGTGAATTTATCAAAGTTGGTTCGAATGGGAAGAGGTGGCGCTAAGGAGGAAGAACAAAGGAAGGAGTGTTTTTTTTTTCCTGTAAGCCAGGATTTCTCTATCTTGGTACTATTGACATTTTGGGCCAGATAATTCTTTATTGGAGGGGGGAGGTCAGTCTTGTGTACTGTAGGATGTTTTAGCAGCATCCTTGGCTTCTAATAGATACCAGCTACACACTCCTATTGTGACAACCAAAAACGTCTCCAAACATCGCCAGATGTTCCCTGGGGACAAGACTGCTACTGACTAAGAATCACTAATATAAAGAAAAAGAAAGAAAAAAAATTGAGTATTTTCTGATTACAAGGTTATGTGTGTTATAAATAACAAAGAAATTTAAGACTCGCTATAATCCCACTAACCCCAAAGAATCACAGTTAAATATTTAGTACATTTCCCCAGACACTCTTCTATATATAGATTGCATATTTTGGTTAAAACAAAAGTTGGATTATACTAGCCATCCTACTTGTGGACATCCTTCTAAGTCAATAAACTCAGCTTTATTAGAATCACCATTTTAAAAGGTGGTACAGTATTTTGTTGTGTTTTCAAAATTTAAACAATCTTCTACTAATGTGTATATATATGTGTGTGTGTATATATATATATATATATATACACACATATATATATATGTATGTATGTATATATATATATATATATTTATATTTTTTTTTTAAAGAGAGAGCCAGAGAGAGAGAGAGAGAGAGAGCGAGAATTTTTATTTTTAGTCTTTCGGCGGACACATCTTTGTTTGTATGTGGTGCTGAGGATCGAACCCGGGCCGCACGCATGCCAGGCGAGCGCGCTACTGCTTGAGCCACATCCCCAGCCCCTACTGATGTATATTTTGATATTATTATTACTACTACTCTGGGGATCAAATCCAGGGCCTTGCCCATGCCAGGTAAATGCCACATTTGCAGCTTTCATATTTTGATATGAAAATTCTCAATGAGAAATTCTCAAAGTACAGTCCAGGGATCCTTGGAGGTCCCTGAGATGTTTTCAGGGGTCTGCAAGATCAAAATGATTTTCACAATAATTCCAAGATGTTAGTTGTCCTTTTGCTTCATCCTCCCATAATATGCAATGGAGCTTTCCAGACCACATGATGTGTGGATAATACAACAGACTGCAGAAGCAGATATGAGAATGGTCTCTTCCAGTAAAGCTTTAACGAGATAACAGGAAATGTACAACAAGGTCTTAAAGAAATTTGTCTAAAAAATGCCACTTTTTGTACTAAATGTGTTTTGTTTTAAAAACGTTGCTCTTATAGAGTGAGCTATTTTTCATTAAAAATATGTTATTTAGGTTAGCATGTAATTGGGTTACTTTTGTTATTTAAAGCAGAATAAATACATATTTTTAAATGTTTAAATTTTAATTTCTAACAAAATATTGATAGATAAAATCCAGTAAACAGAAGTTCTCTGTGGTTCTCAAATAATTTTTAAGGATATAAAGAAGGCTCTGAGATCAAGAAGTTTGAGAACTGCTATTATAAAAGATATCTTGATACAAACCTTTTTTTTTTTTTTTTGGTGGTGTATGATTTGATGAGTTTACAACAAATGCAATCACCACAGTGCTCTATGAACAGTTCCATCATCCTAAATATTTCCTTATGTGGTTCCCCTCCTCTCTTGCTCCCTGGCAACCACTGACTTCTGTCCCTAGAATTCTACCTTTTCCAAAATGTCAACAGACATCTTTATTCATGCCCTGATGAAAAAAGTTTTACTATAAATTCCTGAATTGCTGAATCAATTTAAAATTATTTTATAGTTTTAATGCTTTTAATCTTTGCCAAATTTGTATACAGATGGCTGAACCAATTTCTCTCTCATCATGAGGATATGGCATTTTTTCCCAGAACATATTATATCTTTCAAATAACATGAATACAATACTACTGAAATTCATGATTAACAGACTGAATAAGATAATGACAGACAGATTTTGGCTTCTTAGGCCTTTTAAAATGAAAAGAAAACCAATTCTTGGAAATATCATTGCTATGGTTTGAATATAGATTCATGTGCTGGAAGCTTGGTCCCCAGTGTGGCAACATTGAGAGGTGAAGGAAGCTTTAAGAAGTAAGGACTAGTGGAATATAATTAGATCCTGGAGGCACAGTCTCCAAAGAGGCTAACGTTGGTCTTATAGAGTGAGCTGGTTCTCACAAGAGTGGGTTGTGGTAAAGTAATCCCACCCCATATGCTTGTCTTCTTTTACGTGTAGCCATTTCCTTTTTCCTCATCTCTCCTTTGTTGTGATGCAGCCAAGAAGGCCCTAACCAGAGGCTCTATGAATAGACTGCCCAATCTTGGATTTTTAGCTCCCAAACCATGAGCTAAACAAACCTCTTTTCTTTAAAAAGTACCCAGCCTGAGGTACTTTATAAAAAACCAAACAGAACAAAACAGACTAAAATGGTTATGATAAACAAATGTTGAAAGCAAGATATGACCTTATCTAGGTTATAATTAAATTGCTGACTGAATTATTCGGAAGCAACAGAATGGTTCATTTAAAGAAATTTCCCTAAAGGATCAAATTAACTTTTAAAATAAATTTACCTAGGTTCTATATAGGTAATTGTAGTCAGGCTTCTGGGCTTTTGTTTACTAAGTTACCTGATATTCTTTTCATCATTGACTTTAGTTCTCAGTTTCTGCACAACATGGTCCACAAGATCGAACTCCAGCACACGCTTCTCTGTTTGCCTTTCCTTTTCAAAAGACTTAACCTAAAAAGAATGAGACAGATCTATCATTTGGAGGTTTTCAAGCCAAAAGGGTGGCTCTGAGAGACTATTAAATGAACAGTTTAGGTCAGTGGTTCTTAACCAGCAGTGATTTTGTTCCCTGGGGGACATTTGGCAGTTTGGAGTCATTTTTGAATGTAACCATGGTGGGGCTGCTTCTGGAATCTTCAAATAGAACATTAGCCAGGAATGTTGTTAAACAATGCATAGGGCAGTCATCCACAACAAATAATTATCTGTCCCAAATCATTAGAAATGTTGCTGCTGAGAACTCTGATCTGGTTTGAACTAGTTCATAATAGATGACAGAATTAAAAAAACAAACCAAATGCGTATGTGTGTGTGTGTGTGTGTGTGTATAAAAGGCCATGATGAACCAACTCTCATTTAACTGAATTCATTTACATTTTCTTCCCTTTTAAACATCCTCAATGAGTCACCAAGTTTTCTCATATCTCAGAACTGCCTATAATTCCTCCCTCTCCTATACAAACCCAAATTCTACCATCCCATTTATGGTACCTGCTTTTTTTTTTTAGAGAGAGAGAGAGGGAGAGAATTTTAATATTTATTTTTTAGTTTTCGGCGGACACAACATTTTTGTTTGTATGTGGTGCTGAGGATCGAACCTGGGCCGCACGCATGTTGGGCGAGCGTACTACTGCTTGAGCCACATCCCCAGCCCCATGGTACCTGCTTTTTAACCTTCACCAGCATCCAACCTTGGCCTAGGTTAGCCTGACACTCTTTTTTTTTTTAATTGATTTAAAAAAAAATTTTGACAGCAGAATGCATTACAATTCTTATTACACACATACAGCACAACTTTTCATATCTTTGGTTGTATATAAAGTATGTTGACACCAATTTGTGTCTTCGTACATGTACTTTGGATAATGACGTCCATCATATTCCACTATCCTTGCTAATCCCATGCCCCCTCCCTTTCCCTCCCATCCCTCCGCACCATCTAGAATTCATCTGTTCCTCCCATGACACTCTTCTTACTGCCTTCCCTGTCTTACAGTTCCTTAGTTACTCCATTCCATGCTATACATCCCTGCAGATTAATTTCTCTCAAATACAACTCTAATGTCCCCTTTTGTCCAAAAATTCACTGGCTCCCTCTTGGTTGCTAAATAAAATTCCATCTCTTTGGTTGGGCATTTGGGTTGTCCATGATCTAGCTATAACCATTATTCTGCTGAAGTACCATTTTGTACAATACTTCTACTTCACCCAAAATATATTACTCAGGTTAGATTAGAATTATTCTCTCCTACCTGTTCTGATCTTTGAGACAACCAACTGAGAAAAACTACCATGACTTTTGCTATTCCCTCTGCTTAAAAGGCTCTATATCTATATCCTAACCATTCCCGAGGGTCTGGCATAATACCACCACCACCCTGAAGACTTCCCAGCTTCCTCTAATGTGGTTTCCCAGGTCTCAGAGAACTTTATCCATAGGAATTTGATGGCGTTCAGCATTTTCTAGCTCATAATTATGCACAAATGTCTTATGTTCCCTACTGGATGATAAAATGTACTTGACAGCAAGGCCTGAGGCTTAAATATTTCTGTATCCTCTCTGGTTCTAAATTTAATTCCATCCACATTGTGAATGTCTAAAACACATTTGCTGAATGGACATGTGAAGGGATGTCTTGCTTCTCAAATATGAAGATGCTACTGACCTACCAGTAATAGACAGGAGCAAGATTCAGAAGAGCTTGACAGGCTGGGATGATGTATTGAAATAAGATCACATTTAACAAAGATAAATAAATTCCTGTGATTAAAACTCTTGTTATAAAAGGCCAGCCAGACATGGTGGTAACTGTGGAAAGGCCAGTGGGTTTTACTGATGATAATTTTAGTATGAATCAAAAGAAGCACAAGATTGCTAAGCGTTAGTTTATTCATAGGCTATGTTAGGACAAGTATGGTATCTGGATTGTGGGAGGTCAGAGACCCTTCCCATTTAATAGGAACATGTTTAAAGCATTCTAGAATTCCAGTGTCACACTTAAAGACAGATGCTGACAAAATAAAATGAGTCTAGAGGAGGTTAACTACGAGGGTCAAGGATTGGAAACTGTGCCATGAGGAACAGTTTAAGTAACTGGGATATCTAAATCAGAAAAGAGGACACTATAAGTATAAGTGACATGGAAGCTGTCCCCTAAAATTTATTTCAGAGAAAAGAGGAAGAATTTGACTTGTTATTTTGACTATGCTAGAGGGCAGAAGCAGAACTAGTGAGTGTGAATATAAAAAAATGTGTGGGATCTAACAGTGAAATTTATAGCACTAAATGCTTACATTTAGAAAACAAAAGGAAAACCAGTTCAAAGCCAGCCTCGGCAAATTAGCAAAGCCCTAAGCAATTTAGCAAGACCCTGTTTCTCAATAAAATACAAAAAAGTGCTGGGGATGTGGCTCAGTGCTCCTGGGTTCAATCCCTAGTACCAAAAAAAAAAAAGCAAAGAAAAGGGTCTAAAAGCAGTGACTTAAGCCAGTAGCTGGCACTGGCAAACTTTTTCTTTTCTCTTCAGATACTTTTTTTTCTTTTTACAAACAAAGAATATAAAAAGGACTTCTAGTTCATGGGTCATAAAAAATAGGATATGAAATTTGACAACATATTAATGAATAAATAAACAAATGATTAAACAAAAACAAAAACAAAAGGATGTGAGCTGGATTTGGTCCAGGTTGTTGTTTGTTAAGCCCTGATCTAAAGTTCCATATGAAGAAACTAGAAAGAGAATAAATCCAAACTCAGCAGCACAAGAAAATTATTAATAAGAATGCTCTAGGGTTGGGGTTATGGCTCAAGTGGTAGAGTGCTTGGCTAGCATGCATGAGGCACTGGGTTCGATCCTCAGCAGAAAAAATAAAAAAAATAAAGAAATTGTGTCCACCTAAAACTAAAAAATAGATATTAAAAAAAAAAATAAAAGTGCTCTAGAGTGTCCTAAGCATGTTCCTACTAAACGGGAAAGGTCTGTGACCTCCTACAATCCAGTGGAGTGGAGATAGTAAAATAGAAAACAAATGAAAGAGTAGGCAAACAACACCAAAAGTTGGTTCTCTGAAAAGACAAAATTAATTTACCTCTAGCTACATTTATCAGAAAGAAAAGAGTGAAGACACAAATTACAGATATCAGGAATGAAGGAAGGGACATCATCACAGATCCTAGAGATAGTATAATAATAATAATAATGATAATAATAATAATAAACATCTGAAAGATGAAATGGAAAAATTCTGGGAAAGATACAAACTGCCAAAGCTCATTCTAAAAACAAAGAGGCACCTGAATAGTTCTACATTTAGGCCCTTGTGGCTTTATGGGTAAATTCTACCAAATATTTGAGGGTGCAATTCAAAAAATGATTGTACAGAAAACCTATAGAAACAAAAGAACAGAGCCTACTAATTCATTTTATGAGGCCAACTTTACACTACTCTCCAAACCAGACACCACCACAATAAGAAAAACAGGAACAATAATGAAAAAAGTTGATGATCTTTTTTTGGTATCAGGAATTGAACTCGGGGAGCCCTCAACCACTGAGCCACACTCCCAGCCCTATGTCATATTTTATTTAGCAACAGGGCCTCACTGAGTTGCTTAGCACCTTGCTGTTGCTGAGGCTGGCTTTGAACTTGTGATCTTCCTTCCTCAGCCTCCAGAGCTGCTGGGATCACAGGCTGTGCCACTGTCTCAGGCAAAAGTTGATTTTTTTTCCCTTTACAAATAAGAAATAGGAGCTTGGTTGTAGCTCAGTAGAGCACTTGCTTAGCATGTGTGAGGCACTAGTTTCGATTCTCAGCAACAAATAAAATAAGTTAATTAAATAAAGTTATAAAAAAAGAAAAATTTTTTATTGTTGTGTGGTGTTATATTTATGAATATATTTTTTAATATTTTATTTTATTTTTTTAGGTGGACACAATGTGTTTATTTTATATTTATGTGGTGCTAAGAATTGAACCTAGTGCCTCCCGCATGCTAGGCGAGCATGCTACCACTTGAGCCACATCCCCAGCCCAATTTATGAATATTTTTAGTTATATAAAAAAGTTAAATTGGTTAGGAAGCAGCCAGAAGATATGCCAATCAGCAGGTATTTATTATTGTTATTATTATTATTATTTTAAAATGGAGAAAGAGAATAAGGGGAGAAGTAGAAATGTGCTCAGCATGATTCCCTCTTCCTTATTTTATACATTTTTTTTTCAAGAAGCCCAGCAACTCAAAGGGAGAGCTGCACTAATGGATTTCCACCCCATATAAGGCAGGCTACAGTGGCAAGGCCAGTGCTCCACAAGGAAAATGTAGTTTGGGAAATTTTCCTGCAGTCTTTACCTTGACATGGCTTCCTTCTTTATCCGAGACAAGGGCCACATAGGTGATTTCATGATGTCTGCAGTACTCTTGTAATTCCTCTTGGGACTGAAACAAATAAACACAGTGTACTGAATAAACACAGACCACCTGGAGCCACTTCAAGTAATTAAGGAGAATGAAAATAATGGTCTTCAATTGTATTCCCAAAGCAATTAATAAATATGCTGATTTCAGGGAATATAAATATTAAGCAAGAAAAGAAAAGGATAAAGAATTTCTTGCCTTCCCTATTTTCCTGATTATTCTAAGGGGTCCTGAACAATCAATGTGGCAAGGCATAGTAAAAGGTTTTCAATAGCTTCAAGTCTTTTTTTATTTTTGTGGAGCTGGGGATTGAACCTGGACCCTTGCACATTACTAGGCAAGTGCTCTACCACTGAGCTACACCCTTAGCCCTTCAAGAACTTCAAGTCTTAATGGAAGGTGCCAAGAATTATACAATGTGTGTACAAACAAGCACACATAGTGAAAAAGCTTTGAGGAAAGCAAAAGAACCAAAAGGAATGCTGAAAGGTGAAAAGCAACAAGCCAGAGAAGCCTGTGGGGGATGCCACTGTGCAGGACTGAAGTCACTGGTCATGGGTTTATATTTCACTGTAAGATACATTTCTCTAACAATCTCAGGTAAAGAGGATGTTGCTGTCAAATGATTAAAAACTGATGGTCAGCACTCTTCTGATATAATTAAAATACAGAATACATAAAATGGACAGCAGCAGTTGTAGAAGCCTCTTGGTAGGTGATATGAATGGAGCAGGAGGGTGGCAGGTTGGTGTCCCTGTTCATCACCAAGCCCTGGGGCACCTTTAGCGTGGGTGAATATGCACTGAAGATCACCCTGGATGATCTCCTGGGAGCACACCCCTTTTGTGATCTATTTGTGACAGCACGGATGCTATTTATCTAGAGCCCCCCGAAGTGTGCCACTTTTATCACCTTTGCACCCAGGGCAGGTGTCAGATCTTATACTGGCAGTGAGGCTGAGGAGACAAAGTCATAGATACATTAAACCCAGAATGCCTTCAGAAGTATGGTACATTGGCCAGGGGTGGTGGCGCATGCCTTTAATCTCAGCTTCTCAGGAGGCTAAGACAGGAGGATCACAACTTGGAGGCTAGCCTGGGCAATTTAGAAAAACCCTGTCTCAAAACAAAAAATAAAAAGGGCTGGGGATGTAGCTCAAGGGTAAAGCATCCCTGGTTCAGTCCCTAGCAAGACTGAAAAAAAAAAAAAGAAGGGGGGAAAAAATGAAAAAGTAAAAGGTAGGCTAGCATATGGTCCTGAAAAGGTGTCTATATCCTAACCCCTAGAACCTGTGAGTGACTACCCTGGTTTATCTTGGTGGGCCCAGGGTAATCACAAAGGTCCTCATAAGAGGCAGGCAGGCATAGCAGAGTTAGAGAAGATGTAAGGTAGAAGCCTGGATTAAAGAGGGAAGAAGATGCTACACTGCTGAGTTTAAAGGTGAAGAAAAGGGTCATAACGCAAGGACTGCAGGAGGCCTCTTTAGCTCGAACCTGGAGGATGAGATTCTTCCTGGAGCCTCCAGAAGGAATGAGTTCTGCCAACACCAGGATTTTTTTTTTTTAGTATTTTTTAGTTATAGATGGACACAATATCTTCATTTTTATGTGGTGCTGATGATCGAACCTAGTGCCTCATGTGTGAGAGGCAATCACCACTGAGTACAACCCCAGCCCCAACACCTGGATTTTAACCCAGTGAAAATGATTTGAGACTTCTGACTTCCAGAAACGTAGGATAGCAAACACATGTTGTTTTAAGCCATTAAGTTTGTTATTGCAGCAATCACACTAATACAGGAAGCAACTCCAACCACAGGGATAAGCAGAGTTGGACAGAGTCTAAGAAACAGAGGATGATCTGTCATCCAAGCTGTAACTCTCTGCCCTTCACTCATAGGTGCTTTCTGTCCCATTACCTGTGACCAGTCGTACAGGATTTCTGCCATGATTCCTGCTGACCAGAGTTTCTGGGTTAAATTGATAGCCCTGGACATGGACATCTGGCCGACACTTACAACCAGGAGGTCACAGGAGCTTATTGTAACCTGGAGAAGAAATAGTGGTTACACTTAAAGAATGACACTGCAGATGTGGACAAACAATATGAGAGAAGGTGGCACTCATGGGTAAGAAGGCATTCTTAGAATCTTGTACAACAACGAGGAAGGCTTTGCTTAAAAATGACATTGGGAAAAATAAGACACAGTAAAAAAAACTTTTATATTCCATTTTTAAGATAGAAATTAGCTACTATGGGCAAGTAAAGGAACCATTCTTAACTTTGTAGGCAAAGAGGTTCCATAAGTGTTTGCTACAACTAGAACATCTCCCATTTACATATTGCATGACAGATGAGGAAAAATGAACATCTAAAGTCACCTTGCTGGAGCAGAAGACAAGGACTAAATTGCAAGGATTGCCTATCTATAGCCTTGTATCTATTATATGAAAGATCATTTCCCAAATCCTCAGCCTATAGCTGCTACACTGATGAGATACATATGTGATCTCTGTTCCTGGCATACACTTCCTAAAATCCCTAGAATCTTCAAAGTACTTTTTCTATGCCAATGAGGTGACTGACATGGGGACTGGTCACTGAAAAGACCAACACAGGATAAAAGGGCTAGGACTTTCAATCATATCCTACAACTTCTGGGGAGGGAAGGGAAAGGAGCTGAAGGTTAAGTTGACTACTAATGGCCAAGGATGTAATCAATCAAGCCTATGTATTGAAGCTCCACCAAAAACTCAAATGACAGGGTTCAGAGAACTTCTGAAAAGCTAAATCTGTGGCATTTTCTGGAGGGTTGCATGCCCTGAGGAAATGACACTATCTGCAGTGAGGAGGAAGAGTAGACAGAAAGAACTGACTTGGAGGTCACCCAGAGGGAGTCTGCTGTTCAACACTGCTTCCTTGATGTGTGACAATACAACAGGAGAAAATAAGTTTTTTTTTCCCTTCTCAATTACAAATAATGCTTTTAGGAATGAAAGATATAACAAAGTATGATAGAAAGCCAAGCTGGGACTTACAGGTTCTTCCATATTGAGGACAGCAGCAAATATCTTGTCTATTGCAATACTGATACCAACCGCAGTGGGAACTGGCCCCAGAGCCTGTGGACCTCTAAACTGGGGAATCTATGGAGAGACAAACAGTTCTGGTTGTGAAATACAGAATAAACTGCGACTATCAGGAAAGCAATGATTAATGAGCAAGCTCTCTGTCAGCAACTTATCAAAGGATTCAATGAAGAGTGTGAGTGTGTGTGAGTGTGTATGTGTGTGTGTGTGTGTGTGTGTTTTAAGACAGAGACACAAATTTAGGAAAATAACAAATATTAAATCTAGATCTGCATAGTTCAATATGGCAAATCTGAACTGACAGGTGCTGTACATGCAAATGCACACCAGCTGCAAAGACTTGGAGTAAATAAAGAACGTAAAATAGCTTGTTGATAATTTTTGGAAGTTTGAGTAAATGTTGAAATGAAATTTTGGATATAACTAGGTTAAATAAAACATATCACTAAAATTTCACTTTTTATTTACTTATTGTTACTAGATAATCTAAAATTATATATGTAAGTTCCAAACCAAGACAGAGGAGGTATACTTTTCCCTACTCTTCCTAGGTATAGCTAAAAATCCTGGATGTTACATATAAAACAAGGAGACTCTACAAGTGGAGAGAGGCAGACTGTCTAGGGACTGCAGAATGCGAGGATGACAATGGTGAATTCTCAGGTTTGCTCTTTGCTTCATACATCATGGATTAAGTACTGGAGAAACTGGCAACCCAGAAATGCCAAGAGGAACAAGAAAGGGGAAACCCAGTAAGGCAGATAACTTTAGACAATAATTTCCCTGCTCCAGCTAAACATCATAAAAAAAAAGCCCAGGCCCACTCCCACCAGTGAAGGCAGGGTGCAGAGTATAGTCACCCTTACCCTGGCAAGGTGGCTTCAGAGGAGAGCAAGCAGAGAGCTAGGATTTTCACATCTGCCTAGCAGTAATGCCCACCACCTACCCACAACAATGCCAGTGGAGGCCAAGATCCCCAGGATACTGGATTTTACCCTCACCCAGGCAGCAAGAAAGTATCCCTCCCTACTGGGGTGGGGCCAGAGGAAGCTGAGTGGGAAGATGTGATTATCACTGGCCTCCTGCCAGTTCTCTCCCCCTACCATGGATAGGTGGAGGCTTGTGGGAAGCAGTAACATGGTGCCCTTTCACCTGGAGGTGTAGATGGAGGATGAGTAAGGAATCTGGCACTCCGTGTCCATACCACGTAGCATCAGAGATGGCCTGCTAAAGCATAAGATCCAGATAAGTTCCAGTCTCATAACATGAGACTGCAGATGTCCAGGACACATACATCCTGCCAAGAACTGAGATATAAAAGTAACAGAGAAATATTCAACACACACTAAAACCAAGATCACATACCTGTTGGAATTACATGGCAAAGATTTTAAAGCAACCAGCATAAAAATGCTGTAACATGTATCATGAACAGGCTTGAAAACAAAAATAAACAAAAATCTGAATGCATCTCAGCAAATGAGAAGATAAAACAAAACAAAAACTTCACTGAATGGGCCAAATAACAGACAAGAGGAAAGAAATGGTGACATTAAGTTAAAACAACTGAAGTCACTCAATCTGTAAAAGAGAGAACAGAGGCTGTGAAGTAAAATGTGCCAGAAGCCCAAGGTTAGAGACGATAAAGAGACAGAGTGGCTCTCTCTTTCTCTCTCTCTCTCCAAAGAATGCCTGAAAAATTCCCAGGGTTGGCAAAAGACAAACTTGAGGATTTAAGAAAGAAGCTAAGAACAGAGCAGGATAAATCTGAAGAAATTCATGCCAAGACATATTATAGTTTAATTTCAAACTCAAGACAAAAACAAAATCATGAAAGTATCAAGAGAGAAACATTTTTCCTAGAGGGTAAAAGTAATTCAAATTACAGAGGATTTCTCATCCGAAACCATAAACTTAAGGGAAATTTAAGAGAATTTTTTTCTCCTCTTGAATTTTAAAAATTGTGTTTGACAAAGCAAAAAGTTTAACATTGTTTGATGTGGATCTCAATGGCATAGAGCAAACACTGAGGGCAATTAGATCATAAATGAGGCACAGGTAAAGGGATGCAAAGGGAGGGAGGTTTTTGCCCTTGAGCTATACTGATAATGCCAGGAGATAAGTAATAGAACAGTTCTCTTGATTGTGGCAGTCCTTACAGGAATCTATACTTTTGATAAAATGGCACAGACTGTACAGATACCTTGTGCCAATGTCAATTTTCTGCTTCTGATATTTTATAGAAGTTAACAAAGGATTGTAATCACTAGAGGAAACTGGGTAAAGGTTCTTCAGACCTCTCTATACTATCTCTGCAACGTCCTGTGAGTTTCTAATTATTTTTTTAAAGTTTAAAAAATTACAAATGTGGTTCACATTATATTTGTATTTCTAAATGAATGATACAGAGATATTCAATTGTATTACTGGTTTATGTAGGCTTATAAATATTCAAAATAATAAGCTCAGGAAGAAATAAAATTAAGCCAGAACTAATAAACACAGGGTGAGGCCTCACCAGCAGATCATATCTGCCACCGGCTGCAAGGATTTCAGGTACGGCTCTCTGCCTCCGTCTGATAAATGCCACAAACTGGAAGATGATTCCATTGTGCTGTTGTACCTTATAAACCAAGCCCAAGTTGATCAAGACCTAGAGTAAAATGCCATACAAATGTGTCAAGGACTGGAGATTTAGAATACAGAATACAATACTGAAAATGCTGTTTTCCATCAACAGCATCAGAATAATCCATTTAGCATAAAGAAAATACTGAGCAATTTCTGGCATGAAGTCTGTTTAACTGTAGCCTGCCACGCAAGAGAAAATATATTCTCTTCAAGAATAAACATCGCTGGCTAGGCTGTGGCTCAGTGGTAGAGTGCTTGCCTAGCATGAATGAGGCACTGAGTTCGATCCTCAGCTCCACATAAAAAATAAAAGAATAAAATAAAGGTATTGTGTCCATCTACAACAAAACAAAAAACCAAAAAAGAACAAACACCTCTCTGAGGCTAACACAGTAAGAATTTCTATAGGAGGGCTTGGGGATGCAGCTCAGTGTTAAATAAAAATATGATGACATGAGGCTCTAGGTTTGATCCCCAGCACTGAAAAAAAAAGAAGAAGAAAGAAAAAACTGCTGCATGGTAGGAATTGAGATGCTTGCAAAGAAATCCTAATTTAAGCCAAAATTATTTGTAGGTATCAAATGCTCCAAAACATAGAAAGTAGAGCTTTTCTGTTAAAATAAAACACTGGCATTAAGGAAATAAAAAACATTTCCCCCTTGAGCTATTATTAATGCTACAAATTTGTCCTGCTACTATCAAATAGTTGCCAAACCTGTAATTTTATGCCAAGTTTCTTCAACAGTCCAACAACCTCCTCTAGGTCTTTTAAGCCATACTTCACCAACTGGGCAACACCTGTTTTCTGTTTTATTAGTGAATTTATTGTTGGTGTTAAGTCTTGCAGTTCCCCCTTCTGCTCGATAAACTTGTAGAGTCGGCAGAGCTGGAAAGCAATAGGCAGAGTTAGCAGTCAATCCATGGCAGGGAAAGACTCTTTGTTCATGTGCTCAGGGAGTTCGTACACTTCTAGGAAGGGGGATTTTGTGGTCAATGGTAATTTAAGCCTTTGCTGTAATCAAAAGGGTCATCCTTGTGTGATAGTAGAAGCAAATGTGACTCCATTTTGTTTTTGACTTCATCCTGTAAAACAACCATGCCAAGAAGAAGGGTCATGAGTGGGGCAAGATGTTCTTTTCCTTTTGCTATAGAAACCTTTAAGAATGCAGAACTACCTATTGGGGCATTGTTTCTGTAACTAGGGTAACGGGGCTCTGTTTCTGTAACTGGGGTGATTGGGCTGTGATTGGCTAGGCTTCCCACCACTTGACTGCACTCTCCTGCTTCTGTAACCTGGCTTGCTTGCATTGGCTAGACCCCCGAACATCCCTTGTGCGGTTTTCAGGCTTATAAGGAATGACCTTGCAATTGTTTGGGGCTGATCAGGGGAACAGCTTTATGTTCTGGTCAGTTGCCACTAGTGTGCTTCAATAAAGGCTTGATTTGATTATACATGAGTGGTCTGGAAGTCAGTTTATGAAACCCTGGGACGAAGCTTTAACTATAACACTTGCCCCCAACTATAAAGCACTTCACAGAAGTGCTTCAGACACACACATCTCACTTTACTAACATGCCCTTACAGTTGATAATGACCCCAGCAAAGCAGAGCCTGGCACTAGCAGAGCCTCTATTGTACATCTTCAGCCAACATTGCTGCTCTTTACCTTTCTCATTCCCATGAATTCCCATTAACACAGGCACACAAATGGAGAGACAAGAAGGCAGAGTCTGACTTGTTCTAATACTCAGAATGAGTCAGAAAGCTGCCCGTCTTCCTTTTGCTTGAATAATTCCTATTTGGTGCCTTGGGATGTCTTTTCCTGCAGGCAGCCTCTGGATCCTTCATTCCCTTGTGTCAGACCAGGATTCTTCTAGATGCATACTTTGACCAACTGGTTGCTTTCATTCTGTTTGTCTCACAGGAGGGCAGTGCTAGAAATTATCTAGCCTTGGGCCAACCACAGTCTCTGGCACACAGTAGAAGGAAGAGGAAGGAGCTATGGACATACAGCCAGAGAGAAAAATCCTAGGAGCTAAACTGGAAATTACTAAGAAACAAAATTATAGCTATTTTTCAGACTGTAGGTAGAATCCAGTTCATCTATAAATTGGCACATGAAAGCTAGAAGCTGAATGAAGACTCAGCTTAACATAATCAAATTAATCATAAATTACTTAAATATTTTAAAAATGTTAAAATCTTTTATATTTTTATACTGTTTGCTATATTAATGTTTTAAATACAAAATCATAAGTCTTTGATTTATATATTTTTTTCCTATGGCTGGGGAAATAGCTCAGAGGAAGAACCTTGAGGCCTTAGATTTGATTCCTAATACTGCTGGAGGCATAAAAAAAAAAAGACAGAAAAAAATTTTTCTTCTTAATTAAAAAAAAGTGTCTCTTCAATACATTTTAATGTTAAATTACCCCATTAATAAACTACTAGAAGTCAATACCTCCAGATTTTGGTCTTCATCCAATCACAACTAACTCCATATGACGCTGGACAAATCACATCTTTTTGGGGTTCAGGTATCTTATATGTAAAATAAGACTGGGCCAGATACTCAAAATTCTTTTGCAGTATTTCTGTTTCCTTTTCTTTCTTTCTTTCTCTCTCTCTCTCTCTCTTTTTTTTTTTTTTTGTATTGGGGCATGAACCACTGACTCACATCCCTGGCCCTTTTAATTGAGACAGGGTCTTGCTAAGTTCCTTAGGGCCTCACTAAAGTTGCTGAGGCTGGCTTTGAACTTGTACAAGATCTTCCTGCCTCAGCCTTCCAAGCCGCTAGAACTACAGGCATGTGCCAACATGCCTGGCTTTACTTCCCTTTCTAACATCCTCAGTGTTCCATTTTAAAATAAATAAATTAAGTACCCAATGTCTTTATTGATAACATTTTTCTATTTTAAAACTACTTAAATATACAACTTCTAATGCTTAGTATCATCAAATGATCATGGGTACAGATTTAGCAAAAAGAAAAGAAGCCAACATTTAGCAATCAATGCAGCTATCATATACAAGTGTGTGATATTTGTGATCCTTTTTGTGTATGGAATCAGTTAAGTGGATGGTCTCTTGATAAGATTCTTGGTACCATTTATTTATACCTGGGACTATTTCTACAAATAGAAGTGTGCTTTGTACATGTGCAGGGCACATGTAGATACTGTTCTTCACACCTGAACAGTGAGCTGCTAGGTCAATTTGCATATCACTTTTATCTCTTCTAATATTAAATATTTAATGTTTAAGCCAGCTCAGTTTTCAGAACTCCTAGTGCTATGCATCTCATTTACCTTCTCTACCTGAAAGTGGGTTCATGTGTCCCCAGTGAAAGTCATTTTAAAGAGCTGAGAGCAAATAAATGCTACACACAACCCTTTGTGACATTTTAGAGGCCAGTATGAATTAAGAAGTTGTATTGAGGGGCTGGGGTTGTGGCTCAGCGGTACAGCACTCGCCTAGCATGTGCAAGGCCCTGGGTCTATCCTTAGCACCACATAAAAATAAATAAATAAAATAAAGCTATTGAGTCCATGTACAACTAAAAAATAAATATTAAAAAAAAAAAAGAAGTTGTATTGAGGCCAGGGGCCTCTCTACTTACTCCTCTTGTGCTCCAGCACTCTGTCTACCACACAGTAGGTATCTAAAAGACTGCAGGGCTTTGCTGGGTGTATATACAATCATATTTTAGTCTATCCTACATGTGACAGATTAAACCACAGGATCATGTAATCAAGTGTCAACTCAGAGGCTAGAAGGCTTCTGGGAAGGTTAAAACTCTTCTTATGTAAATATTCAGGAAATGTACAAAAGTCTGCTGTCTTCTGCCATGTAGCCACTTGTTTACTGTGCCAAAGATCTGGGGTTAATCTGATGCCTGTAGAGAGAACATGACCAATCTGTTTACCCCACAATATTTTCTTATTGCTGATGGAATTGAATATAAGATTTTAGGAGTAGGAAATTTTGAAAGCAAAAGCTGTAATTCAACTCTCAGGAGTTAGAAGACTGGGGTGGGGTGGAGGGCACCAGTATTTACAGGGCTCTGTGCCTCCTTCTGATTCCATATGGTCCATTTCAGAAAAGGACAACTGGCACTACCTTTGCTCAGCAGGAGACTCTGGTAAGCACAGGCTGTGTGAGGGGTGAAGAGAAAGGATTTAGTGATCCAGAAGGAGCAGGATGATTACAGCACATCAAAAAGATGTGTAGAGAGACATTTTTGATCACAGTGTTAGTTTCTCTCTTCTAATACCAGAGGTTGCTATGGTACCTAATACTCAAGGGAAAACTGTGTCTTCGAGGCAGCAGGAAGTACAGCTACCTCACTGCTACAAGAATTTGATGACATTTTCTTGCATCATAAAATTACAGAGAGAGCTGTAATAACACCATAAGAAAGTACTTACGCTATTAGATGACAAAGACAGATTACAAAATTTAGCTTCCACTTCTCTTCTTGTTAGCTTCTCTGTCTAAAGCAGAAGAGAAAGAGAACAATGAGAGTCACCTCACTGAACAAGATAGAATTTCCAGGCGAATTCTGACACTCATATCCTTCATTTTGGACAAAGTAAAGGATGCATTTAATTCTGTGAATAAAGAACTCTTCCCCCCATTTTTCATAAAACATAACCCACACTATTTAAAAATTATTTTTAGAAGGAAAGTTGTACTTACAGAATGGGGTGGAGACCCAGCTCTTGAGAGGCTTTACCAGGGCATTTCTGTTTAGGTGGGGAGGGAGTCATTTTGATCTGTGTTCCCTTAATAAAAGCTCAGGTCTGAGTACTTCATCCCATAACAACTACAGCCCTTCTGCACAATCCCCAAGGCTTCTGCCAGTGTCCAACTGACATAATATTGTATCTGTCACTGCCAAACAGTTGCAGCACTTTGAGGAGAAGACAGACCCACTAAGAAACAAATAAAAGCCGAGTTGTGTGGTGGGTACATGCCTATAATCCCAGTGACTTGGTAAACTGAGGCAGGAGCAGGAGGATCTCAAGTTTGAGGCCAGCCTCAGCAATTTGGTAACTTAGTGATCTTAGTGAGAACTTAATAACTTAGTGAGAACCTGTACCCACCTCCAAAAAAAAGGTTGGGAATGTTGCTCAGTGGTAAAGGGCCCCTGGGTTCAATCCCCAGTACCAAAAGTTAAGTGTGGACCCTTGATGTGTACCAGACAGACAAATGAAATACTAGTCAAGTCTTTTGGTTTATAAAAAACAATAAGCCATTATGGACTTCTATTATTCATTCTGCTTTAATCATAGATTGTTACTATTAGTTACTGAATCTCCTGGATGTCCCTTATTTATTATGAAAAAACTAAGCATGAAAAGAAATTAGGAAATATAAACATTCACCTCCCTCCCAACATCAGAATATAACACTAATTTATTTTTTAAAATATTTTTCTTCCAGGCTCTGCATGCACATCCATAGTATAAAGTAAGGAATACTATGGTATGGCTAAATCAAGGAAGAGTAACTAGAGATGCCATAGCCCTCATTCTACAGGAAAAGAGCAGATAATGAGGCCCTACCAGATATCTAGGCCCCTAATTCAAATCAGTATGATCTATAAATGACTTAATTGATAAGCATAGGCAGGCTAAAAGAACAAAGGGAAGGGTGTAGATCTTTTATTCCCAAACAAGCACTCCCTCTCTTGCCTCCATAAAGTAGCACTGTCATGAAAATGAAGTGGGTTAATCCACATAAAGAACTTAAAACAATTTTAACCCAGACAGGTGCTCAGTAAAGGTTAACTATTTTAAAATGATTACAAGCAAGTACCAAAACCAATTAGTTGGTGATTTCTTACCTCATGAAGTGAATTACTGAAGAACATTTTTTTTTTTTTTTGGTGCTGGGGATTGAACCTAGGGACGCTTAAACTCTGAGCCACATCCACAGCCCTTTTTTGTATTTTATTTAGAGACAGGGTCTCATTGAGTTGCTAGGGTCTCTTGCTGAGGCTGGCCTTGAACTCATAATCCTCCTGCCTCAGCCTCCTGAGATGCTGAGATTACAGGCATGTGCCACCATGCCTGGCTTAAAGAACTTTTAGTCTCTTAAAAATTTCACCCTTTGGGCTGGGGCTGTAGCTCAACAGCAAAGTGCTCACCTGGAATGTGTGAGGCCCTGGGTTTGATCCTCAGCACCACATAAAATATCCTGGAAGTTACTAGTAGTACAGGGCTTAGTATAGAATAACACCTCAACCAATCCTTGCTAATTGTTGATATAATTAAAGCCCATCAGTTCTTTCATCTTAGAGCAATGAAGAAAGGAGATAAAACTCACAATTTAGTTTTATGGTTGCAATAATAAGAAAATAATCATAGACTATTATTATTATCTTTCAACATCAAATCAAAGTAATTACATGCTTACCACAGCATCATATAGAATAACATAGACTTGACTGAGTTTATCTTCTGGGATCCCACAGTGTAAGAGTATTGCTTTCAATAACATTGTATGGTTCAAGTAAATACTGTAATTTCTTTCCTGGGATATAAAGAAAAATTATTATTATTTTTCATTATACAAGAATACAGGTATATGGCCAAATCTAGAATCTTAACTGTGAATTTATTACCCTAAAACCACAGAAGTACTGAATTTCAGCATCTTTCCTTCTAGTTTATTCTTTCACATACATTCTTTTTACATTGCTATAGTTGAAGAATATGATAAAGTTTAACACTTTTACTACGTGCATCATAATACTCTTGCTGTTCTTTAGCCATGTTAAAAAGCCCCAAATCCACACAAATTTCAAACAAGGAAAGATCTGGTTCAGTAGTAGCTGACTTATAAGCACAGGCTGATGGAATAGTTATTGTTACTTTTGTCTACATCAGTCACTTAATGAGTGTTCAGAATGCTGAGCTGGGTGCTGAGTTGGGGCAATGAGGTATAGGGAAAAGTGGAATCATGGGCTCTGCACTGAAGCAGTACACAATACATTTGAAGAAAACACCACAAATCAAGGGAATATGTGGATGCCTCATGTCAAGAGTCATGAAAGTTAAGAAAAGGTGGCAGTCAGGCTTCATAGGGAGAAAAGGGCCCAAACCATGGCTGGGTAAAGAAAAGCCTGTTTGGACAAGGGGACACCTGTGACTGGTAGTGGCAGTAATGCAAGGCATGTGTGGGGGACGGGGAAGGATGCCAGAGGAGAGCTGGCAGCTTTTTCAAGACAAGATAGTGTGTGAACATGGTGAAAAGGCATGGGGAGTTAAGCAAGCAGATGTAGGAGGAGCCACTGAGGGTTCTGATTTCTTGCATTTTGCAATAATGTGCAGAGAAACAACACTGTCTTCCTAAATAAAACCAGTTTCTGTCATGGTGGAAGTGAGAGCCCAAGATGAACCTCAAAAGCAACATGATCAAACCTTTGAAGCTACTTTGGGAAAGATGTCATTCATTGCCTGCAGAAACCGAGAAACAGGTCTGTGGTTGTTGTAGACACTTAGTGAATGAAACTAGCAGGGCAATCTCAAAATGTTAAAATTTGGAAGGAACCTGAAGTGCTGGAAACTCTTGGATAATCTCGTAGATAGTATAGATGGTTTCAGCAGTGGGCAGAGAGCTGTTGGTAGTAGAAGTGACGATGTCAAATGCACATTCTAGAAGTTCTTTGGGATGAAATCGATCTAACTTGCGGGGTCTAAATACACGTTCTATGCAGTATCTGAAGAGAAACCCAGATTTCCAAGGTCATTACTTATTAGAAATAAATATGTATGAAAAAGATAAAAGAAACGAAGTTTGAAAAAAATCTATCAAGAGGGCTTAAAGACAGAATAGTCTTGCTTTGTGATCTGGGTTCTAATTCCCAGTTTTGCAATATTAAACTATGGAGCTTACTTTTTTTGTGTGTTTTTTTAATGTCTGAAGTAGAGATGAAATTACACACAAAACCAATTTTACCTTAAGTGATTGCTTTCTACACAGACACCCACACCTTAGGACTGACTCTAATTGCTCACTTGTAGCTAGAATAAAGCACGTGAAGAGCTTTCATTTGAAGAAAGAAGCTGGAAGGTAGGGCGCCTCGTTGACAACAATACTGGCTCCAATTTATGAAGATCTTGGTGTTTGACCCCTGTGGTATCTGAATATACAGAGAACCTGTCCTCAATGCTAAGTGCCAGGAGCTGCTCAGTGTTCAGCATTCCTGCTGGGTCGACTCCACTTTTTTACAAGTAGCTTTTGTTCAGTTACCTGTGTAGGCAGTTTTCACACAGAGACCACTGGCTATTTGTCCCTCCAATTAAATTTTAAAAGGGGCCATCTGTGATCAAGAATAGCCAGATTTTTTTCCCCCCCAAGCAACCATTTGTGAAAATAATGAGCTGTGTACGTTGCCTGGGGACATGAAGAAGGCACAGAATAGATGTCAGGTCACTTAAATGTTACATTCCTTCTATAGAGGGGGCTGAACTCCCAGTCCCCTGAGAGAAACAGGCACTGGGGCTGGGCTTTCTGACCCTATTACAAGCTCAATACTTTCAGCTCACAATTCTTTACTGTACAGGAGTCATGGAACATAAAATATTCTTCCCTGGTTTCCTTCCCACAGCTACCAAATGGAAGAAAGCCTCTATTGTTTCTTACCGTTTTAAATTCAATATATTATTTCTTGCCACATATCTTGCAAAAGGGACCTGAGAAGTAAACAAGATTTTAAAGGTCAATGTCAAGATGTGCTAAAAATTATATTCTTCCAGTTTTAAAAATATCAACTTTATTGACATATAACCCACATACCATAGAGTTTATCCTTTTAAAGTGTACAATTCAGAGGCTTTATTATAGGCAAGCAATACACAATGATGTTTAGGTTAATGATGGAAAGTATAAACAACAGTGGCCCTATAAGATTTTATCACAAAAGGATGTTGTAGCCACCTTAGTTTATGTAAAAAGTACACTCTAAGATGTTTTCACAGTAACAAAATCGCCTAATGATTCATTTCTCAAAATTTATCCCCCTCATTAAGTGACACATGAAGGTAGTGAGACTTGTGCACCTCTCACACTCCTGAAATGTTCCCTAATACTTCAGTCAGCAGTAGACTCCACTGCTAGACACCAATTTCTGTCACTGAGGCATTTCCTAGGTTATTTAAACTTGAGGAAAATTTACTTTTAGTTGAATATATTTTGCCATACACACACACACACGCACACACACACACACATGCATTTATTTTTTTATTTTTTATTTATTTTTTAATTTTTTATTGTGGGTTGTTCAAAACATTACAAATTTCTTGACATATCATATTCCACACTTTGATTCAAGTGGGTTATGAACTCCCACCTTCACCCCATACACAGATTGCAGAATCACATCAGTTACACATCCATTGATTTACATATTGCCATACTAGTGTCTGTTGTGCTCCGCTGCCTTTCGCATTTATTTTTTAAAATTGGGCACTTTACCACTGAGCTACATCCCCAGTCCTTTGCTGAGGCTGGCATCAAACTTTCGATTCTCCTGCCTCAGCCGGCTGAGTTGCTGGTATTACAGGGGTGCACCACCCTACCTGGCTTTGCCAAATTTTTATTATGCCAAATTAAAATCTGTGCAAGTTTTTGGTTATCTATGAATTTTAAAAAATGTCATTCATAACAATGCAATAAAAATAGGTATTATCTCTTATGGTGAATTTCCTATCAATTTTTTGGGAATTTTTTTTTTTTTTTAAGTGCTGGGATTGAACCAAGGTCCTTGCACATGCCAGGCAAGTGATATACACTGAGCTACATCCCCAGTCCAAGATATTCTTAATAACCACCCACAAAATTACAAAACCACTGTCTGATTGCCCCAAGAATTCTAACACATTATCAATAGTTAGGAAATCATTCTCAAAAGATAATAACTTTCCCCCACCCAGTACTGGGGATTGAAACCAGGGGCTCCCTACCTGAATTACATCTCTGGCCCTTGTTATTTTTTATTTTGAGACATGATCTTGCTAAGCTCCTGAGGCTGGCCTTGAACTTGTGATCCTTCTGCCTAAGCCTCCCAAGTTGCTGGGATTATAGGTATGCACCACCATACCCATCAAAAGCAATCACTTTCTATTTTTTGTAGTTGAATATCAACTTGCAAGGAGCATATGCTTAAAAATCTCACTTAAATATCAGTACTTAGAGAATAAGAAGCCAGTTTTAAGTATAACTATGTAACTGTACTTCTACTCTTTCTTTAACAGGGCCCAAATATCAGTTATGTGATTTGTCTCTACCCCAAAACAACCCCCAACTACTTTCCTTACACACATACGCACACACAGGATATAATCAGGTAGTTCTCAGAAAAATTCACAAGGCTAATAAACTTCAAAAAAGATGTTCAGTCTCACTAGAAATGAGAAGCTATCTCAACTTCACTCATCAGACTGGCAAAAGATGTTTAAATTAATATCATCCATATATGACCATGGTATAGGAAAATAGGCACTTTCACACACAGCTGATGAAGAGTGCTAGTTGCTAAAGCTTCAGAAATGTAACCTGAAACTTTACAATAAAATTTTCAACAATATTATGCATATATTATACTTGAACTAGCAATCCCACTTTGAAGAATTTATTAAAAAAATAAAAACATATTAGTGTATGAATGTTAAAAGGATGTTCATTGCCATATTATTGTGGTGGCTCAAAACTGAAACCTGTCTGCATGTTCATCAACAGTAAAATAGCTGAATGATTTGCTATCAATATTACAGAATATTAAGGAGCTATTAAAAAGAAAGTTTAGATTTATATTTTATATAGATCAAGTATATATATGTATATAAGATGAAAATGTGATACATTTGCATTTATATTTGATATAATATAGATATTGAGATACATTTATATCTCTATTTGATCTATAGGAATCTAAATTAGATTAAAAGAAATGTAAGTTTCAATAGAATTGGAATATTCCATTTTGCTATACAGAAAACAACATTAAAAAACCCCAAACCTATGTGTATCTAAGTATAAGTGTAGAAAAGGAAAATAGAAGCTAAGAACATGGAAGGATAGGCTGAGGATATAGCTCAGTGGCAGAATGCTTGCCTAGGGACTCACTCATGCTAAGCACCCACTCCACCATTCACGTCTCTATTTATAAGTGCCTTGTTTAAATTAGGGCTTAAACCCTTGCCTGTCATATGCACTCATGTTTTCCTCTGATCTGTTCGGGTACTATCATACACACAGACGGGCTTGACAGCAGCTAGCACTATGTAAGTGAATGATTGGTAAAACTGCTACTTAGGGAGTCCTGGGGGTCAGAATAAGCAAGCATGGCAAAAATCAGTGCACCCAACTAGCAGCAACACTTGTTACAAGAATGTAATTGATTTGGAATGTTAACATGTTAGAATTTTACTAAAGAATTAGAAAGAAAGTAGAAAATATCCTGTGTTTATTTGTCTGAGTTGACCAGGCTAACCTGCTGTGGTTGCTCAGCAGAGCTCAACACTGAAGTGCACATGTGGCAATGCAGGGTTCTGGTTCCTAGAGCCATAAACACCTGAGGTCTTAGCAAGGTGGATGGCATTCAGGGTCAAACATTTACTAAACTTCAGTAATGCTCTTAACCCTGAAAACGCCTGTAAGAATATACTTCCTTAAAGTGACATTTGTAATATAATTCTGGGGGGAAAATATCTGGTAATTAACAATGAACAGATAAGCCATTCCTGTAAGCAGACACAGCACCCAGATTGTCAGCAGAGCATTCTGAGCCTTACCCGCAGGTCGAAAGGAAGCATCACCAGCATCCCACTGTGGTCCATGAACACAGCTGCTTCATTGTGCTCATATATTTGTTTATTTCGGGGAAGCAGTAGTGGGGTACACAACTGGACAGCTCCTAACCAAATTAGAAAAAAATCACTAATTATTAGGTTCTTATTCTCCCTAGGAGGCAACTTAAAACAAAAATCTGATAGCTAAGTAACTTGCTACTGGGGCCATTGAACTCAGCTTTTCTTCAGTTCTCTAAATTTTACAGGTGGAGAGCTCATCTAGGGCTAAATTTGTTAATTCTGTCATAGTTCTGACTCTACAAGCCAACTGTATTTTAATAGCAAGTTTACAATATTCAAATTAGTTTCTCTTCAGCAAGGCAAGTTATAAAAATAAGCCTAAATTTAATGATGTCAATTGCTTATAAATGAATTTTAATATATGGTTGTACCAAAACCCTCAGATAGCACTTATTATTAATGACAAAGTCTTATGGAAAAATATGATATTTTAAAATAGGTCATACCATGCCTTTTAAAGATGCGGATGATGGTTTCACACACATGTTGTTGTATCTTGGCTGTACGGATTGAGAAGTTGCCCTAAAATGAGACGAATTAAAATGTCATCATCAAAGCCTAATTAAAGATATCCCCTAGAAACCCTGTCTCAAAAAAAAAAAGGGCTGGGGATGTGCCTCTGGGTTTAATTCCTGGTACAAAAAAAAAAAAAAAAAAAAGAGAAACAACAGATAAGCAAAAAGACACAAATAAAAAAGTCATCAATAGCCCTGCAAATAAGTTTCTAATATTGCCAACCAGAAAAAACTGCTTCTTAAAATCTATGTTGATCGTCCACAAATTTTACCAGTACTTCCTCTATTGGTCTTCTAAAATTGCATCATGTTAATCATACAGAACATAACCAATATCTGTTATATACTCAGTTGACTTTATCAGATTTTAACATTTTGCTATATTGATTCAGGCATTTTTTTCCTTTTTAAAAATTTGCTCTTTTTAGATATATATGACAATAATATGTCATAATATGTCATATTACACATACATGAAGTATAATTTATTCTAATTAGGATCTCATTCTTGTGATTGAACATGATGTGAATTACACCAATCCTGTATTCATATATGAACATAGGAAAGTTATATCTGATTCATTCTGCCTTTCCTATTCTTATTCACCTCCCTCCCCTTTGTCTAACCCAATGAACTCCAACCCGCCCCCCACCTCCACCCTGTGCGCCTTATTGTGTGTTACCATCTGTGTATCAGAGAAAAGATTTGGCCTTTGGTTTTTTGGAATTGGCTTATTTCACTTCAGACATTTTAAAGAAAAAAATGTTAAAGATTCCTCAAACAAGCAACTCAGTTACACTTCAGAAGTCACCTTGGCAGCTTTAAAAAAGAAGAACTTTTTTTTTCACTAGGGATTGACCTAGGGCCTAGCATATATCAAACACACATTCTATCACTGAGCTACATATGCTCCTAGTCCCTTAAAGAAGATTCTTTTTCCTTTCTTTCTTTCCCTTTTCCCCACCCCTTCTTTCTTGTTTAAAGATGGGATCTTGCTATGTCGCCCAGGTCGGCTATGCATTCAAGCAATCCTCCTGCACCACTGTACCCAGATCCTTAAAGAGACTCTTAAAGAGCCTCATACCTGGAAATAGAAGCTAGAGATGCTGGGGAGCCTTGGGCATCTGTGTTGACAGAAAACCTCCCAAGTGTCGGGATAGGTAACTCCACTGGGAGCCGCTCTACTACTTAAATCTGGATCTGATTGATTGATGTTTTTGGCCATAAGCAGCAGAGCTAGGGAACAATACCTTAATCTCCTGGGTAGGTGTAGAAGGGGATGGACCTAGAATTCCTTAAAGTAAGTGATTAACAGTGTGGCTATTCTTTCCAGAATAATGCAGGTTAACACTTTTTTTTTTTTTGAGAGAGAGAAATTTTTTAATATTTATTTTTTAGTTTTCGGTGGACACAACATCTTTATTTTATTTGTATATGGTGCTGAGGATCGAACCCAGTGCCCGGCCAGCACGCTATCACTTAAGCCACATCCCCAGCCCAGATTAACACTTTTTGCATGTACAATTTGGGGCTTTTTGGAGCTCAGTATATGGTGGAGGCATTAGAGGAATCCATAAGAAATAAGAACCTGACTTAATCTTTTGGTGGACCAGGTTAAACTCTCTGTGCTGTGGAGCTTAGCTCACCTTCAGTATGTCACTATCGTAGGTGTAATCGATGGCAGGGGAAATGCGCTGGGAGAAGATCTGGGCCATCATGGTGCGGTAGGCTTTCCCATCCACGTTGGCCAGCGTGTGATGCAGTACTTCATGCAGCTCAGATTCCTCCATCTGGGGTGGGGGAAGCAGCTCACTCTTCAGCAGTTCTGTGGCTGTGGGACGTTTTGCTGGGTCATGGTTTAACAACCAGGAGATGACAGATTTCTATAATGAAACCCAGGCATGCAGCTGAGAGGATGCAGTAAATGATGCCCAGGAATCATCCTGACAAGCTGATGGTCAATTCAGGTCAAAGAAAAGGTACCACACTTCTTGCATTTAGTAGGGGCATTTCAAAAGTTTTTTTTTTTTTTTTAAATTTCTAAATATGTCATTTACCCCCTACACCTTGTTATGACCACAGAGTTGTGTAACAATTTAACAGTAGTATTTCTTAAAAGGCAGAAGCCTTTAATATTTCTTGTCACAAACAATAAAAAAAAAAATTAACCCAGTAAACATAGAAGTAGAACTTAGGGGTTGTGGGTGTGGCTCAGTGGAAGGTGCTTGCCTACCCCATGTGAGGCATTGGGTTTGAGCCTTAGTACTGCATAAAAATAAATAAATAAAAATAAAGATATTGTATTCATCTACAACTAAAAAAATTTAAAAAAGAAAGAAGTGTAACTTAGGTCTTACAAACACACAAAATACTACATAGAAGACATAAGCACAGAAACCAAATAGCTCTAGATGCCCAGTGTTAGTGATATTATAAACATACTAGTTGCTAGAATCCTTAAAGCATATTAAACATACTGTTTTATTTTTTCTTCTCCATTTGTGTTATTTGTACTGATATCAATCATTCCCTCGAATTCTCTCAATTTATGCTATTTATTGGTTATACTCCCATAGCAGGGAGCCTCTTGAAGAAAATCTAAAACTTGGAAAGGTTGCTTAACAATTCTTAATCCTCTTGTTCATAACAGGATTTATTTAAAAACGTTAGATGAACATTTGAGATCAGAAAGCCTCAATTTTTAGTTTGGCATGGTGGTGCATGCCTATAATCCCAGCGGCTTAGGAGGCTGAGGCAGGTGGATTGTGAATTCAAAGACAGCCTTAGCAACTTCGTGAGGTCCTAAGCAACTCAGTGAGACCTTGTCTCTAAATAAAATACAAAAAAGGGCTGGGGATGTGGCTTAGTGGTTGAGTGCCCCTGAGTTCAATCCCCAGTCACCTCCCTCTTCCGCCAAAAAGAAACTCTTAATTTTTAGATGTATTTTATTAAGCATTTTCCTACTATATATCTTTTCTAAATTACTTCCACTCCTGTTTTAGTGTGAAATAAAAACACCCATAATTACTTTTCATGTAATATAGGAGTTTTATATTATAAAGATAGGAACTGATATGATTCAACTTTTAAGAAAAAGTTATGTAAAACAGGTAAAAACAATGATACCTCATTCAGCATAATAGACCCTATTTTACTGCTAAATTTCTGTGTGTGACAAAAATTATGTAATACTCAGTCTATCAGCATTTCCCGTGTTCCCTCCTTTGAGATGAAATGCAGTGACATGGAAGGTGGTTTGGTTGTGGTTTGTGTGGTTTGGTTTAGTGTCACTTTAATACATGCCTAACTCAAAGGCTCAAGGGAACCTAATACAGAGTTGATGATAGGACAATAATCCTCATTATGAGAAATGGTTTACATGGTTGCTGTCATTTTGGTTGTTTAATAAAGTTCCTAGGCCACTATAGCTGTCACCATGTTAAAGTACTGAATAAGCCAGGTGCGGTGGCATACACCTATAATTCCATTGCCTCAGAAGGCTGAAGCAGGAGGATTTCAAGTTCAAAGCCAGGCCTTAAGGAACTCAGTGAGACCCTGTCTCAAGATAAAGTATGAATATGAAAAAGGGCTGGGGATGTGCCTCAGTGGTAAAGTGCCCCTGGGCTCAATTCCTGGTACTAAAAAAAAAAAAAAAAAAAAAAGTACTAAATAGGACTAATCATGTGTTATGGTTTGGATGTAAGGTATCCCCAAAAAGCTCATGTGTGAGACAATGCAAGATGGTTTGGAGGAGAAATGATTAGGCTATAGCCTTAACCTAATCAGTGAATTAATCCCTAATAGGATTAACTTTGGTAACTTGAGGCAGGTAGGGTCATAACTGCAGAAATTGGTTCATCAGGGGGTGTGGCTATGGCACATATATTTTGTGTTGGGAGAGTGGACTCTCTCTCTGCTTTCTGATCACCATGGGAGCTGTTTCCTTTTGCCACACACTCTGCCATGATGTTTAGCCTCACCTCGAGCTCCAAGGAATACAGCCTGCTGTCTTAGTATGGAGACCTCTGAAACCGTGAATCCCTGAATACCTTTTCTCCTCTATAGTTGTTTTGGTTGGTCCTTTAGACACAGCAGCGAAAAAGCTGACTAAAGTAGCATGCTATAGGAAAAGACTATGAAATAAACATTTAGTTATGATACCCAGAAACCAAAACAAGGGGCTCAATTCAAATCATTACTAACAGCTAACAAAAGAAGCGGAAAAACAACTCAATGTGTTTTCTAATGGTTCTTCACTAACTAAATAGATGTGGTAGAGTGGGTCCCTATTGCCATAAATAAATGCCATGATAAATATTACCAAATGATAGAATGTTAGTGTTAATATAAATAAAGCATACTGACTCTCTTTATTTTATAGGTGAGAAAAATTAAAGTCTAGAGAAGTAGCATGTCTATCCAGACATAACCAATAAGCAAGAAATAGCAAATTTTTACAGTGTTCTATGTTTCTGTTCTCAATATTCATCATTTAAAGGATTTTTGCCTTGACCATAATTGTCAATAAAAGTCAGTTTAAGGGACAAACTTCCATATGAAAGAATCAATCACTGCAGGCTCCACCAAGACAACCAACTGAACAAAGAAGAAAGGCATAACAGAAGTACAATACATTAATTTGCTACTATTCTTTCACATTAGCTGGATGCCAGTATTATTTTATGACGTGAAATACATAACACCCACACACTCAGATATTTATGTTCTGTGGGAGAAATTATCTTGCTTTAAAATTCTGTCAATCAGATTGTCTAAAAAAAGTCCAACACTTCCCCACAAAGTAAGTTATTTCACCCATAAAACAGAACAGAATTACAGATTTAAATTGTATTTTTGTCTTAAAGTCCCAAGTTTTATCTAAAACAATGAGCTGTAAATGTATTTTCTCCACCCCCCACACCCTCAATAGGCAAGCTAAGGGTCCAAATAGCACTTCAAAAATACAATGAATCACACAAAAGAACCCTGTAGTTTGTTAATTTTCTCCACCAGCCCTTAGCATTTTTACAGTGTATTTCAAATCCAATAACATTTTAAGTGTTTCATCTTTTGATACTTTCTCCCATATTGTTCCCAGGACACAAGAGAATGAGTAGCAGAAGATTACTAATTGAAAAAGAAGAAAAACAGTAATTAAAGCCCAAGTCTGAAGACAGCAATTAAAGCATCAGAAAATTACCTGCTTTGTATGCTCTCCATCACTGAAGTCTTCTGGAAACTTGGGGGATGTGGGCTATAAGAATATTATATTCAAATCAGGAAGTGCTTGGAAAACTGCCATTGTGAAAGCATTTATTCACCATAAGTAAGAAAACCAAATAGAGAAATTAAAATCTGCTAACAGGGAAAGATTGAGGAGACACCTTCTTGAAGCCTGATGCTCACTTTTTCATGTATATACACATTATTTTTATACAAACTTCACCTAAATGACAGCCTAGGTTCTAGAAAGTACCTCCTCCAAGGACAAAGTATTTAAAAATCTAATGGTTTCAGAGACAGAAAGAGCAGTTATTAAACAAATAGCTGAAAAAAAGTCAAATAGCCCCTATCAAACTGCTAATATAAAGTGCTGAGAGCCACGGCCGAGTCTGTATGGCCCCTGGCATTTTGCCAACAGTATTGATTGACAGGCGAGGCATTACTATCCGCCTCTGCCGCAACTTTTGAGTTCTCGCACTATTTTGGAGTTCTCATGGGGATTTCCGGGGATTCCCCGAGAGTTCCCATTGGTTGGGGAAGTGCAGGAGGAGGGATTTCCGGGAGAGATATTTCCGGCTGGGGGTTGCTGGACAAGCCTCCTGGCGCGTTCGGGAGGATTCCCCGGGAGCTGTGTGAAGTGTTTTCCTGCAGTTTAAAAATAAAGTTTGTTCCTGCTTCAGTGGCTCGTGATTTGTGCCCAGCCAGACTGCGGCAATAAAGTAAGAAAAAAACAACATTAAAACCACTATGTCTCCAAAAGGTCTGGTATATAGGACCTAAATTATAACATTAATTTGATGGTTTATATATTCTTGAAATGAAGGAGGAAGCATGAATTTTAAACTGAAGAAAGTTACTTCATCAAAGACATAATCAGCTAAGAGCATTCTGATCAAGGCTAGGTGATAGTAAGCACTTTATCTACTTTTTCATTACAGCTTTCCATACTGCACTGACAATAAAAGAATGCAATTACTTTCCAAAATACCTAGAGAAGAATACTTAGTTACAGTGTATGACATTTAATTTAGTGAATACTCCTGCTTTGCTTTGCTTGGCAAGGAGAAAGAAGGCTCTCCAGATCTCTTGCTTATGGATATGTGAATCTTAAATTACCATTGCCCAAACCTTACTTTGCACTTTCACTTTAATGCCGTTAAAGGGCACCTTTGACCTCACACACTGCAATGTTAATCCTTTTTAGCTCAGGCAGTAAAAGAGGCAAGGATTAATCTCAAGAAGACAAATGGAAATTTCACTGGGGAAAACAATTCAGTGGCTGATATTTTCACAGACTATATTAACTTTTGATCATGGTAGTTTTCTTTAGGTCTCACTATACCAAGTCCATTCAGCATGAATTTTTCTTTTCTACAACTAAACATTCCTTATTCTTAAACCCATTCCCACACACTAATAACTGCACTGATAGCATACAAAAACTTTTAGATTCTTTTGTTTTAATGTTAAGATTAAATCTCTCAGACTAACTTAAAAATAATAACTATAATCTAGCAATTTCTCCAAGCTTTCCAAAAACAAACAACACTGGGGAAATTTATCATTATTGGAGACATGTAAGCAGAGTGGATTTCTACTTATTAGAAGTGCAGAAGACAGATCAACAGACCATACTAAGTGCTGATAGTCTTTGGTTACACAAATTTGCTATTTTAGCAACTTAAATGAGGCAACTTCTCTTGTTGAGAAGACATTTCACTGCAAAGGGAGAACTAGTTAGCTTGGCATGTCTCAGCAAGTAAATCATTATAGTTGGACAACCTCTTCTATATTATAAATGCCAGGAAAATATCCTGCCTCAAATTCTAATCTCCATGCTAAGACTGAGGTTACTAGAAATTTATGCATCAAACACCCGATACATACATCTCTAAGTTGGTTAAGAACAAAGATCCTTTCTGAGGCTGTCACCATGGGGTGATAGGACATCTCAAAGAAGATAATTCCCAGGCTGAAGAGATCCACTTTCTGAGGGGAAAAAAGAATTGTATTTAGAGATACTTTATATGAAAGTATAATTTACCAGAGAATTATAGAATCAGCACTGTTAGCTGAAATAAAGTTTGTGTAAGTGCAAAACAAGTCACACTGGAAAAATTTGACTATTTTTTCTAAACCATTACAGGTATAAAGATTATTTGGTTCACAGTAAAATATTTGGCATAATTTTGCTCAATATTTTTTTTGAAAAGTAACTGTAATCAGTTTATCTATACACATAGATAATGCCTGGCTAAAGACTGAAAATAACGGCTAAAGGGAAACAACAACCAAGACTTGCCATAATATGCTTTGGCTGGGAATATAGCTCAGAATATTTGCCTTACATGCTCCTTGTCCTGGATTCAATCCCCAGCACTGTCACATAAAAAAGAAATCTGCTTTATTTTGCATCTTCACGAATCATTTCAAAAGTGAAACAGACCAAAATCTGCTGCTGATAGTAAAGGTCAGCTATTGACTACAAAGCCATACCAGTGAGGATAGAGGAAAGGTACAACTGAAAGATCATGTGACTAATCCCAGCAAAATATGGAAATACAATTAAAGAGGAAAAATAAATTAAAAGGCAACCTGTAGAATGGGGAAACTGTTTGCAAAACATACACCTGATAAGAGGCTAATATGAAAAAAATGTAAGGATCTCATACAACTCAGCAAAGGAAAATGTTCACATTTTTTTTCTGAGCAGAAAATTTCCCAAAGAAGATGTACAAATGGCCAACAGATATATAAAAAGATACACATCACCACTAATCACCAGGGAAATACAAATTAAAACCATAATGAGGTATTACCTCACACTTATTAGGATGGCTATTATAAAAAGTTGAGGGCTGAGGTTGTGGCTGAGTGGTAGAGTGCCTGCCTAGCACATGTGAGGCACTGGGTTCAATCCTCAGCACCACATAAAAATAACTAAAATAAAGGTATTGTGTCAGTCTACAACAATAACAACAACAACAACATCAAAAACCAAAAAACAAAAAACCCCCAAAACAAAAAGTTGAAAGATAATAAACGTGAGGATGTGGAGAAAAGGGAGCTCTTGTGCACTGTTGCTGGGAATGTAAATTGATACAGCTGATATGGAAAACAGGATGAAGGCTCTTCAAAACATTAAAAAGAGAACTACCATGTGATACAGCAATACCACTTCTGGTATATACCCAAAGGAAAGAATATCACTGTCTCAGAGATATCTGCATGCTTATGTGCATTGCAGCATCATTCATAACAGTCGAGTTGGTATCAGTATGTCAGTGGACAGATGAATGAACAAAGAAAATGTGGTCTCTCTCTCTCTCTCTCTCTCTCTACACACACACACACACACACACACACACACACACAGAGAGAGAGAGAGAGAGAGAGAGAGGGGGGGGAGGGAGGGAGAGAAAGAGAAATAACAGAATTTTATAAAGCTTTAAAAAGAAGGAAATCCTGTCATTTGGGATAACATGGATGAACCTGGAGGACATTATATTAAGTAAAATAAGCCAAACAGAAAGATAAATACTGAAAGATCTCACTTTTATGTGGAAACTGAATTAAAAATCCAACTCACAGTAACAAGGTAGAATAGTAGTTTACCAGGGGCTATGGATTGGGGGAAAAGGGAGATGTTGATTAAAGGGTACAAGCTTGCACTTATAAGATGAATAAATTCTTATAATGAGCTCTAACATACAGCATGGTGACTATAATGTATTGTATTTTTGAAATTTGCTGAGAGTAGATCTCAAGTGTTCTCACCACCTCCACACACACACACACACACACACACACACACACACACATACACAAAACAGTTAACTGGGTGAGGAGATGGATGTTTAGCTTGATTGTGGTAATAATTTCACAATGTATATGAATATTAAAACATCATACACTGCTGAAAGCGGTGGTGCATGCCTGTAAACCCACCACCTCAAGAGGCTGAGACATGAGGATCATGATGAGTTCAAAGCCAGCCTCAGCAATTGCAAAGCATTAAGCAACTCAGTAGGACCCTGTATCTAAATAAAATACAAAATAGGGCCGGGATGTGGCTTAGGGATTGAGTGCTCCTGAGTTCAATCCCTGGGGGGGAAAAAAATCACACCATACACTTTACATATTTGCTTATTTTTTTTAACATATTTTTTTAGTTGGAGGTGGACACACAATATTTTTATTTATTTGTATGTGGTGCTGAGGATTGAACCCAGTGCCTTACACATGCCAGGCAAGTGTGCTACCACTGAGCTACAGCCCCAGCTCCACACTGTATACTTTAAATATACATAATTTTATTTATTATTCATACCTCAATAAATTGGGAAATAACAACAACATAAACAACAAAAGGCCAGAGAAAGAAAATAGAGTGAACCCAAAGACACTAAAGAGATAAAACTCAAGATAATTATTAAATAATGAATACAAAAAGACAAAAAATAAATGGCAATAATAAAAAGGAGAAGAAGAAAAAAAAAAAGCAAAAGGGTAAGTTAGTGTACTAAAAATCTATGCAGGGCCTAAGAAGCACAACTGAGTGGGATGGTGTGTCCCTCAGGAAGCCAGCCATAATCAGCTTGCAAAGACTACTCCTTATCAGGTGCCAGGAGAGACAGAGCCCACTCTCAAAAAATCCTCTTAAATGAATGTGGATTCAAAGAGGAGTAGGAGGCCAAGCAGGATGGTGCTTGCCTCTAATCTCAGTGACTAAGGAGGCTGAGTATTACTAGTTTCAGGCCAGCCTTAGCTCCTCAGCAAGACCCTGTCTCAAAATAAAAAATAATTACAAGGGCTAGAGATGTGGCGCAGTGGTTAAAAACCCTTGGACTAGGTCTCCAGTACCAAAAGAGGGAAAGGAAAAAAAGAGTAGGAGGACCTCCTGACTTATCCCCAGTCATGTTCAAAGTCTTAAATACAAATATCCATTTGTCATTTCCTACATGTCTGGCTGGAAAATGCCAAGGGTAAAACAGTGATCTCCCTAAATCCCACTTTTTGTTTTTAAATATTCATACATGTACATACTATAAAACCAGAACCACATTACTGTTTCTTTTATTCACTTAATAGAGTGAGAATATTTTTAATATTATTACCACTTTTCTAAAATGGGTTTCTAAAATGTGATATTAATGTCATGAAGTATTCAATTACATGAAGTCTTATAGTTAATGAAATAGATCCCAATTTTCAGACACTGTTATTTTTTTATTATATGAAACAACACTGTGATGAACCACTTTCATATTACCCTTCCCTAGTTGTTTCCTTTAGATGAATCTAAAGGTAGAATTGACAGGCCAAAGGACAAAGCACTTTTGAAGATTTCATAAAAATCTTCCACTTACCTCAGAAAAATGACCCTAAGGTACCCATGGTGTGTACCCTCCTACTCCCCTCTTCTCTCTGGTAACAGACCTCCCTCTGTGGTCTGTTTCAACTCTGCACTGCTGCTCAATGCTTCCGTCAGCATAAAACCCAGGCTTGAGTTTCCAATGCAATCCTGACGATTTGCTTTTATATACATTGCCTGGCTGATGTATTTTTAAAATTTTGCATTTATACTTTAGCCCTGGGTGATCTCAGTCTCATGGCTTTAAATCCCATCTATGTTCTGACAATCCTTAAATTTATAACTTTGACTTTGATCTTCTCTCTGAACGCAAATCTTGGGTCTCTAATAACCTCTGTCCATCTAAATTAGATTCCTCATCAGGCATTTCTAACTTACATACCTCATACTAAAATTTTCTACCATCTTCTTCCCCTTCCCTATCTCTTTGCCCACATTTCCTCACTTTAGTCAACTATCCTTTCACCCAGGTTCTCCAGGCAGAAAACCTGAACCTCAACTTTTTCCCCTTCAAACATCTAGTCCATTAGGAAAATCTCTCATTTCCCCTCTATTGTAGCACAACTTTCTCCATTTCTATTGCTACCACTTCAGTGACAGTCACCAGTTCTCCCCCTGGACTTCTGCAGAGTGTCTAGCACAGCTGGAGTGAACTTTCTGCTTGTGATTCTTCAGTGGCTTCCTGTGCACTTCAAATAAATTCCATAATCCTGAATGTCATCCTTTTAGGGAGGCCTTCTCTGATCAATTTATTTAGAGAAGATGCTCCCTAAAGACAAGATGTTGACTTATAACTTGACTCTTATTTTTGCTTCGGTGCAAAAATAGCCCTTATTATAATTCGTGATTATTCCTTTTTTTATATGTTTATTGTCTGTTTTAGTCACCACTGGATAAACTCCCGGAGGACTGGGGTCACTGTATTCTTAGGACAGGGGTTAGCTCAGTTTCTTTGGATGGATGGATGGACTACACGCTCCTGGCATTAACAGTGCCTGTTTTAGTCCATGCCCTCAGTAACCACATGTCCTACCTGGAGCATGAATTGGCTCCTATTTCAGCTGGTAATTAATGCTGTGATTTTTATGTTCTTACTATTATTTCTTTCTTGAGAACTTTCCCTTTCCTAAAAGCTCTGTACCTGGTTGTATGCAGACTTGGTGCTTCCTTGGACCTCTGGGCTTACGTACAAAGCAGTGCCAACCATCCCAGTCAAATGGCCTGTGTGGAGGAAACCAGAGGGAAAGCTTTCCAGTATTTGGACTTAAAGATACAGCAAATTATTAAAAAAATAAAAAAGAAAGAAAGAGAAAAAGAAAGAATATTTCTTATGAGTGGGGCCTGATCTATTAAACGTCTGCAGCACTTAAAGGAGAAAGCAGTGTGAATTGCACAGTAAGCATAGTTACGTATGTCCAAACACCCTGTCTTTGCTGTTGTCAAGGAGGGACTGGGCAGAGAGAAGACCCTAGACCAACCAGGCCCCAGAGAATTTCACATGACCACTAGTGTCGGACAAAGAGCTGTTTGCATGTGGGAGCCAATTATTCTATTAACTGAAGTCCTTAAAGTGCTGAAAAACAATTAACACAGTGACAAGGAAAAAAATTAAGGCATTTTCATAATTTTGTTAATTTAGTGAGCAATTAAAATTTGCTTTAGAATAGAGTCTTTACAAGTAAATCTGAGTAAAGACTCAGGTTAAAGAAATGTTGTGGTCTGCTTTTAAATACATGAATAAAAAGTTCAGTCTTCTGGATTTACCTGAAGGGTCTGATTTTATCAAGTGATCTCCTGCTTGATCATCTTGTTTCCCATCAGCCTAAAAACAAAAGTAAGCCAATTAGCAAATTCAAATGTTATAGCAATAGGAGTAGCTTGTCCATTTCTAAATGAAGATACATTGAAAAAATATTACATGAAAATCAGAATAATTATAATAATGCTTTTATGAGTTTAAATGTTTTGTTTTAGTTATTTACTAGGAAGAGTAAGAGAACAACAAGCTGGGTAAGGAGGTGGATGCCAGTAGTAATCCCAGCTACTCAGGATGCTGATACAAGAGGATCGAAAGAAAGTTCCAGGCCAGCCTTAGCAACTTAGTGAGACCCTGTCTAAAAACAAAAAGGGCCTGGGATGTAGCTCAGTAGCAGAGTACCACTGGGCTCAATTCCTAGTACTACAAAACAAAACATCTACTTTCTAAACTTTCCCACTGCTACTCTGCTACTACTTTTTCAGAATCAGTTTTTGACTCTTCCTTGCACCAGGTCACCAAATCTGTTTCACTGTCACTCACTGCTAACATCTCTAAATGGCTTCACCTTTTATATATCTCTGAAGCGCTGTCTCATGCAACACTTTAATCACTACTGTTATGACATCTGTCTGCTGGTTCCTATTACAAGCATGGCTATCAATAACAGCTTCTTCACCATTCTTAGTGCCAAACCATGTTCCAGGCGCTTTACCTGTATTCTGATTTTATTTTGCTGAAAATTCTTTGAGGCAGGAACTAGTATTAGGTGCACTATGAGGTTCTGAGAGGCTTAAAATTTGCCCAAGGTTGTACCAAAAGCAGTGGCAACAATAGGATTCTAGTCCAGGTCAGCGAGACTGCAGAGCCTCTGGTCATCTACCTCCCTACACCTCCAGAAGTTGAGGTATAATCTTTAGTTTGGGATCAAGATCCCATCATCTGCCCCTCCTTGGCCTTAGCATTTTTCAACACCTGCCCTTCCCTGTTCTACTATCTGTCTTCCGTCTTTCCCCTCCCTCTCCTCCTTCTTGTAGTATAGGGTATTGAACCTAGGCTTCCTGAATGCTAGGCAAGTACTCTATCACTGAGCTACATCCACAGTCCTTCGTATTTTTTATTTTGAGACAAGGTCTCCCTAAGTTGCGCTCAGGCTGTCCTGGAACTTCCAATCTTCCTGCCTCAACTTCCTGAGTCACAGGCACCACTGCACCTGGCTCTCTCCATTTCTTCTAACTTACCTTCTTATTTAGCCCCTGTGATTGTTTTTACCATCAATCCAAATCCTATTTTCTTTCTCCAACTACCCTTGGAATGAACTGCATTTTTAGAGATTTTGGTTCCTCTTATGTTGGCTATGACATAGCCCCCCAAAACTCCAGAAGGCAAAATGATTAATTATGAGAACCATAACTTAATCAGTGGATTAATCAATTTCATGGATTAATAATCTGAATGGACTAATTGTGGGCAGGTAGGGTGTGGCTGGAGGAAGTAGGTAACTGGGAGATATGTCCCTTGGGATTTATAATTTGTCCCAAGTGTCTTGCTTGCTCTCTTCCACTCCCTATTTGTCATGGGCTGAGCAGCATTCTTCCACTATGTCCTTCTGCCAGGATCTTCTGTCTAAATTCAGGTCCAGAGAAGTGGAAACCAGCCAACCATGAACTAAACATATGAAATCATAAGTCCAAAAAACCTTTTCCTCCTCTAAGTAGTTCTTGTCATTTATTTTGGTCATAGTGATAAAAAGGTGACTAACACAGTGCCTAATACCTTTGGCTAATGATGTTAAGTAAAACTCTGGCACTGAAGGCCAGAGAACCTTCTAGCATTTTTTCTTACTCTCTACTACACCTTACACTTTGAGCCAATCAGAACATGTGGTCTTCAAACAATCACATCTGCTCACCCACAGCTTTGGTTATGATGAAATACCCTGTCCTGATGTCACTAGGCCCTGTCTTCAACTTGGTCTGCTGGACTCCTAAGTTGAATGTTGTTGTACAGTCTTTCTTTCTTTTGGGGTGGGTGGGTGGTTACAGGGTCTTACTAGGTTGCCCAGGCTGGTCTTGAACTCCTGAGCTCAAGCAATCCTCTCACCTTAGCCACTAGAGCAGCTGGGACTAAAGGTACACACTATTGCACTCTATCTAGATAGTCTATCTTTTTCCTGAGCCACAACCCAGCCCTATTTTATATTTTACTTAGAGACAGGGGCTCACTAAGTTGCTTAGTGCCTTGCTTTTGCTGAGGCTAGCTTTGAAATTGTGATCCTCCTGCCTCAACCTCACGAGCTGCTAGGATTACAGGTGTGTACCAGCAAGCCGAGCTAACAGTCTTTCTTGATTCTCACAAATCTATGTTAATTTCCCCCTATCTTTTACTCTTATATCAGTACTTTGCTCACCTCACATTAATTAGCTTTGTATTTTAAGTCACTACAATGTTGTGAAGAACAAATATCTTTTGAGTTATATGTTGTTTAGGGCTGGGTTATCCCAGTGTTTAATGTTTTTGAGCCTCACTTTCCCAAGCTAAAGACTTAAGTATAAAGCATGGCAGACCAAAATACCAAATTATTTCATAAAGTACTGTATGCCTTTAACCTAAATATCATTCACAGCCAATAATTTTGTATCCCTCAAGTGGAAGGCACTTATTAAAACATAATTACAATTTCAAAGCCTACAAGATCACTTGCAGTATATGCCTTCATAGTTGCATGGCAGGGTTCAGGCAACCTGATAACCTGTTGTTATCAAGGAACCTGGGTCTACTTTCAAGTATAGTCTAATTATTAAAATACTCACAGCAAAGGCTAGATGATCTGTTGCCAAGCCAAAATCACCTATTTTTACATGGTCATCAGAATCCAAAAATATGTTGACAGGCTTCAAATCCCGGTGTATCATTCCCTGTATTAAGAAAGTCAAGAATCTAATGATTGTTTCACTTGCATAGTTTATACTTATACCTGTTTTCTAATCTGAAAGGCCAGCCTAGTGATGCAAACTGGGTTAGGTCTTCTCTCAGACCACCATAGTCCAGGAATCTGGTCTCTGGAATGTCTCCCAATTGTCTGGTAATCTCTCCAAAATCTCCCTCTTTCATCTGTGGTTGTCCTGATCAAGTGAAATCCAAATGGCTCCCTGTGGCACCCAAGGTTCCTTCCACTGAGTTCATCAAATTATCTTTCACTCTGCTGCATCACAAAACCCTGGTTCTGGTCAGTGAGACATACCACTTTTATTCCTTTTCTATTCCTTTCTTTGTATTATTTCCCCTGCCTAGGACATTATTGCTTTTCTCTACTCATTCAAATTTTTTTATTTGTTCTAATTAGTTATACATGACAATAGAATGCACTTTGATACATCATACATAGATGGAGTATAATTTCTCATTCTTCTGGTTGTACATGATTTAGAATCCCACTGGTCATATAGTTTATATATGTATATAGGGTAATAATGTCTGATTTATTCTACTATCTTTCCTACTCCCATATCCCCTTCTCTCCCTTCACTCCCCTCTACCTAATCTAAAGTAACTCTATTCTTCCCTAGCTGCCCGCACCTTCATTGTGAATTAGCATCCTCATATCAGAGAAAACATTCAGCCTTTGTTTTTTGGGATTGGCTTATTTCTCTTAGCATGATTTTTTCCAGCTCCATTCATTAATGGCAAATGCCATAATTTCGAATTTTACCAACATTTACAAGTGCCAATTCATTCATTCTTCCATGAATTAATTCTAACAATTCACTTTGCATCCCCAGTACACACAGTAGATACTCAGTGATTACGTTAAATGAATCCTGCTTTCTCCTCTTCCTAATGGCTTATCATAATACTTATAGTTTCATGTCCTATAATACAAAAAATAATTAATGGACTTCATTAGAACTCATTTTTATTTCCAAACTTAGAAATTTCTGCTTCCAACAAATTATTTATAAATTAGTCGTATAAATTACAGGCCTGGCTTCTTGGCATAGTAAAAACATTTTGAGTTCATGAAAATTGAGGCAAAGAAAAAAAATTAATATATTTACACTAGCTAATACATTAGACAATCCCATTTAAAAAATGTAAGCAGTGGGGCTGGGACTGGGGCTCAGCGGTAGCACTTGCCTGGCATGTATGAGGCACTGGGTTTGATTCTCAGCACCACATAAAATTAATAAAATAAAGGTCTATCCCACTAAAAAAAAAAAAAATTAAAAAAATGCAATATTTCAGTTTGAAGCTAGGCCCTTTAGCATTTACATCATAACAGCAATTTCTAGCTTTAAAATAACATTTTATACACATAGCAAGCTATGTTACTAAAAGACTCTTATTCTTCTCCTTGCCAGATGTTTTTCTAGTTTCTTTTTATTTCCAGAAAGGGCAGCACTAATTGTTAGGATCAAATTTGGTATGTATCAACCACACTGGTATTTTATTCTAAACCAATCAAGGAATTATCTTCTATATTCCATATATGATCAAATATTTTTTCCTCATTCAGCAGTTTGGCAAACTTTCTATAAAGGACCAGGTAATAAGTTATAGGCATTTCAAGCTGTATAATCTTTGTTGTAACTACTCAAATCTGCTGTTACAGCAGAACAGTCACAGGCAATATGTAAGCAAATGAGCCTGGCTTTGTTCCAATGAAACTTCATTGATGGACAATGAAATTTGAATTCTGTTATGAAATATTATAATTTTGATTTTTAAATAACTACCTAAAGATACAAAAGCCAGTTTTAGGTTACAGAACTAAGAAAAAGAGGTATTAAGAGAGTCATAGTGTGCTAATCCCTGTCCTAACCTTCAATGTTTTCTTTGAACTTTGATACCTGGTACTATTTCTTTAGCTTTTGATACTTTGTCCTACGAAACAATATACAAAGTTTTCTATATTTTTCTCCATTTTCACCTTTGAATTTTTAAATTTAGTCATAAATTTATGTAAATGTCAGTTTTGGACACAAAATATTGTAAAGTTTACTTTCTCATGGATATAAGCCAATCCATCCAGAATCTCTCGAAAAAGTCTCCACAATCTGATGGTGTCTCGATACAACCCCTGGTCAATGGTGTCACGTAAAGTACTCTTTTCACAGTACTCCATCTGCAGACAAGAACAGACCAGGAAGGACTTGGTTGCAAAGTATAAATTAAGGAGGTTAACTGCAATTAATGTAATCATCTATTTAAAAATTTGTGATATGGATTCTAAACAGTTATAGGAAAGACGTGATTTTTTTACACTGAAAAGAAGTATTTAAAAAAATACTTCAAAAAATATTTTGGGGTGTAAAAATGTAGCTCAGTGGTAGAGTGCATTTTTAGCAGGCACTAGGCCCTGGGTTCCATCTCCAGCACACACAAAAATGGTAAGCAAGCAAACAAAAACAACACTGGGAGCAAATATGTATAATCTTAGCACCCCAAAATAATCATTAAAAATTTAATTTTTTTTCTGTGTTGAGGAGTAAACCCTTGCATGTGCTAGGTGAGTGCTTTACTACTAAGCTTCCATTCCTACTCATATTTATTTTTTATATAATTGGTTATTTTAAAAAAGATTTATTTGCTTAAATTCTTATTACAAATAATATGAAAATTCAGAGTGCAGTAAAATTTTATTTATTGTCTTATAAACTGCAAACTCAAATTTCCAAGAAGGGCTAATTAATCCAATGATGTCATTAGTTTTTATTTGTACATTATGACCTTCAAGTCAAGAGCAAAACATTATAAATATGTCACAGAATATTATTTCCCTTTTGATTTTTTAAAATAACCACTCAAAAACATAAAAGCCATTCTTGGCTTACAAGCCAAACAAAAACAGACATAAGTTGGATTAGACTTGTGGGTCACAAGGCCTCACCTGTATATACAGATAGTGCACAGCTTCAGTTGTCACCGATGGCTCACTTTCATGGCAACTGTTAATTTCATTGTAGTCCTCATCCTAACCCAAGAGGAACATATGAGAACTCAAACTGGGGGCTGAAGTTAAACAGGACCATCACAGCATCAAATACCTCCCCTCTCCCCACAAGCTATCCTGGTACTCTAGGAGGAAGTCAGTGATAGAACTCATCCAACGCCTATAGAAGCTTAATGTGGTTTTAAGGAAAGTTTGCTATAACCAGAATCTTCTATGTAGCTCGTAAGTCTGTTGCTACACAGAATGATGATGGGGAAAAGGAAATCAGGAGGTTTTAAAGTTGTGCAATCCATAGAACGATTCCTTGTCAAGTTAATTCTTCACTATTGATGACCTAAGGATGAGAAAGGTAGAATGTATATATGCTATTATTTTAGGGCTTCAGTGCTAATGTAATGCCTTCCTTTGGTGGGAATTAGCTAAAGCAATTTAAATGTGACCGGACTATTAAAAGAGAATACTGCCCTCTGATCTATGCCCTCAAAGAACAAGCACTCAGCTGCCACTTACAACAAATGATCCTCTTGTCTTACCTCCACAGGGCCAACCTACTGCTAATTTTCTTTTTAATACCTTTTTTAAAAAAAGTATTTTTCTTCTCATAGATGTATTTAAATACTTTAAACCCTAAGTATAAAAAAGGGGCTAGTCACCATCTGACCATTCAATTTACATTTTTTATGAGGAAGGAATTTTCAATATATATATATATTTGTACCAGGAACTGAACTCAGGGGCACTCTACTGAGCCACATCCCCAGCCCTATTTTGTATTTTATTTTGAGACAGGGTCTCACTGAACTTAGTTCCTCACTGTTGGTAAGGCTGGCTTTGAACTTGTGATCCTCCTGTCTCAGCCTCCCAAGCTGCTGGGATTACAGGTGTGTGCCACTGCGCCTGGCATTTTTTCCATTATTGAAAGGGAAAAAAAGAGCTCTGCTTGCTCTGGAAATATACTATACTCTGGGGGATTATCTATAGAAGAATATTAATCTCTTGGCAGCTCCAACCCATCAGTTAGAATGCTCATGTCATGTTGCTCATAACCAAGAAAAATCAGGAGCATAAATTTGGGGTCCCCCTAAATCTGTGCTAAGAGATGAGATGACTCAGGATATGATGAGAAGGTTGTGACCTTGAGTCAGGTGGCTTCCGGGAAGGGACGGAGGGGAGGGCAAAGTACGGGTCCTGGGGATAAAAAAGGCTTTAGACACCATCTGACCATTCAATTTACATTTTTTATGAGGAAGGATTTATATATATATATATATATATTGTACCAGGGTTTGAACTCAGGGGAACTCCACTGAGCCACATCTCCAGCCCTATTTTGTATTTTATTTTGAGATAGGATTTCACTGAATTTAGCTCCTCACCGTTGCTAAGGATTCAATTGTGTGGCCAATGATTTAGTCAATTCTAACTACCTGATGGAATTTCAATAAGATATCTGGACATGGAGGCTTCGTGGGGCTTCCAGGTTGAGCACATGGCCGGGTGGGAGGATGAGGGGCTCTGATTCCATGAGGACATAAAATATATTAAGATATATTTTAAATGAATATGGCAGGGAAGCTTTGCATTTGAGATGCTCCCAAACTTTACCTTGTGTCTGGTTCTGATTTGTGTCTTTTATGATAAAATTGTAATAATAAATATAAAAAAAAAAATTGTTGTCTTCATAATAATTAAATGCATACCACTAAAACCAAAACCAAACAACTTTGTTTTGGCAGTAGGTTAGATTACATATGCTCTTTTTAAATTTTTTTTTTTTTAGTTATAGTTGGACATAATACCTTTATTTTATTTATTTATTTTTATGTGGTGCTGAGGATCCAACCCAGGGCCTTGCAAGTGCTAGGTGAGTACTCTACCCTGAGCCACACCCCAGTCCTTGTTTATGCTCTTACCCTGATTAAATTTATAGTAAGTAATTTAAATTGAGAGGAACTTAAGGTGATTTTACTTGATAAGGGAAGTACTTACAAAAAGCACAATAACTAATTCATTCAAACAAGCTCCAAGTCAACTTAACTGCTTATCTAAGAGAGTTCACATGTATACTTTTATCTGCTATGAATACACACTTAGAAAGCTTGACCCAAGTCCTAGGCACCACTATAGAAGGCTCTGCTGGCCTGGGCAGAGGAAGATGCAGAACTATGGGTCGGGTCCAAGGCCTGCAGCAACGTTTTTCAAACTTTCAAAACCATGAATCACATGAAGAAATGTTTTATGTCACACCCAGTACACATACTTATGAGACAAGTCCAGAAATGAAGTTTACTTTAAGTGTGCAGCTTTGTGTTCTCTATAGTATTAAAAATAAAATGTCTGGTTATAATATTCTAAATTGATATTATAACTCACTACAGGGTCATTACAGACTTAAAACTAGAGGATAGTTTATGAAAATAAGAAATTAAGAGTAATTGATAAGGGAGAGATCAAGGTAATTCCATGATGAGACTGTTTAGTTAATTAATTTATATTCAAGTCTCATCCCCAATCATATAAAATTTTCTCAAACCCTCTAGGAAACTTTTAAAATTTTTATTTGTTAGAGGTAGTGTCTTGATTTACTTCTCAATACTAAAGATCAGTATGCTCTGTTATATATAGACTTATGAAAAACACAAGTAAAACATTTTAAATGAATGATCATGTTTTAAAATTGGTATTTACATATCACATTAAGGCTTTAGTATTTTACCCAAGGTTTATAACATCAGATAATAGTTTCCTTACATACCTACTCTGATGAATAAAATAGTATAATTTTTATATATTTACCTGATTCTGACTTTTACTGTTCTCATCTTCATGGTCAAAGATGATATCACTTTCAGAATCTGATGCAGGTCTTAAAAAGAAACAGAAAAGTGCTAAAGAAATCAAAATCCCTGTAATAATTCTAAAAATTGACATTCAAATTAATAGAAAGCAAAAGAGGCTAGAGACATTATATTATGACTCCATGGCATAAATCTGTACATATCACCATGTGGATTTGTACTTCCCTATTATGCAAAACATATATAACTCTTGAAAATTAGCGAAATTAAGTCTCTTAAAACAAATGTCATAGCTAAGAGTTATGATAAATTGTACCCAACTGGATGTGATGAAATAAAACCATGAAGGTAAATGGCCAGGATTCTGAGATGAATAAAGTTTAGTGTAGGGTTATAATTATTCATTTGGTACTTTCTTGGGAACTGCAGTTGGTATTGTATTAAGACTTCAAATTAGTTCTGTGTGTGTGTGTGTGTGTGTTACTGTACATTGAACACAGGACTTCCCTGTACTAGATAGGTTCTCTACCAATGACCTTCATCCTCAGCCCTAATATTTTTATTTGTGAGATAGGTTCTGGCTAAGTTGTCCAGGCTGGCCTGGAACTTGTGATCCACCTGTCTCATCTAACTGAATAGCTGGGATTACAGGCCTGCACCACTATGCCGATTCCAAATTAGTTCTTAAATGCTCCATGGAGTTGAATGCCTATTTAAAGCAATGCCCTTTAAGAAATTTTCTTAAATGTTTTAAATGCTACAAGTAATTTCTGTTTTCCTTTCTCCAGTGCTTAGATTTTGGAGATCTTCTGAAGATAGTGGAAAAAAATTCCTTTGGATTGCATTTGACGTACTGGGTCCATTTCTTAACATTGTCAATATTTCCAGTTTTCTAAATTATTGCCCTTTCCCCTGGCATGGGCTTGGTGGGGACTAATGACGGGGGCACATCCACGCTGCCTGGCTGGTGCCCACGCCTGTGCATGTAAGCCCTGTGCTCCTTACAGGAAGGACTGTGAGAAGACACCATCATGTTCATCCTCATCATCATCCTCATCACTGCTGGAGCCTGGGCCAGCTACAGGGAAGCGGGCGTTGGATGAGCGCTCAGCTGATGTGCTCCACTCCACTGAGCTGGTGAGGATGGGAGGTGGCGCGGCAGCCTCCAAGCTGTCCAGCTTGTTGGTGTCACTTTCTGGCTGCCCATGTGCAGCTTGTCCATCCTGGGCCAGGGGTCTTGAGTCTGGAGGTGGTGTCCCTGGGCCCGCTGGTCGCTCATGCCGCTCAATCCAGGCATTGTAGTAGCGCACGATGTTCTCATGGTGCAAGCGCGACAGCAGTGTCACCTCGCCCTTGATCCTGCGGAAGTGCCTACTGGCTGGGTTGATGGGGATGCGCTTCACAGCGTAGCAGCAGCCATCCAGCTTGTTTTGGACCTACCATACAGCAAGGGGAAGAGACCCAGGTAAGGCCCATAACCTTGCTCAAACTGGCATTTAGCTGGCATGGCCCCATTCCCTCCCGAAGAGAAACCGGAGTTCTGAGAACCAACAACTACAGTCAAGAACTACAAGGTTGAAACTCTTATACTACAGAAAGTTTTTACACTCAAATTTAGTAACAGCTTACATAGATCAGAATGTACCAAATGTGCTAAAAGATCCTGGGTAAAATGTAGCTTTCATTCACATCATTAATTTTACTGACAATTAGTTCCCTGTTCTTCTAATGTCTTATCTACTATTTAAATTTTAAATAAATTTTGGTTTTAAAATAAAAATTATTTTCTAAAGCCAGTGTAAGTTCAGATGATGATTTTAGTTTCTGCTCTTTTTATATTTAAAGCACTCAAAACAAAGTAAACTCCAGAAATTTTAACAGACTAAAAAGCAAATGGCTAATTCTTAATTTTACAAAGCTGTCGATTTGGGCAAGTTACTTTTTTCCTTAAGACTCAATTTTCTTACTTACAAAATAGTATTTTTGTTATCAGGAAGTACCAGCACTGCCAAGGAGGAAGAGGCTAGGTGTTATGGTTTTGATTTGAAGTGTCCTCCCAAAAAGCTTATGTGACAATGCAGGAATGAACAAAGGTGAAAGGATCAGATTATGAGATTATAACCTAATCAGTGGATTAATCCATTTGATGGATTAATAATTTCAAAGTTTGCCTGAAGTTATACATATCTACTAAGAGATGAAACCAAGTAGGAAGAAAAGAGAGAGAGAGAGAGAGAGAGAGAGAGAGAGAGAGAGAGAGAGAGAGAGAGAGAGAGAGAGAGAGAGAGAGAGAGAGAAGCCAGGGGACAAGATATATAATCCCCAAGGGCATGCCCTCAGTGACCTGCTTCCAACAGCTGTTATCAGGTTATTGCTGTATTGAGTAGAAATTATAGGAAGGTAGGGTATGGCTGACAGAAGGAGATTACTGAAGGCATGCCCTCAGGGATTATATATTTTGTCTCCTGGCTTCTCTCTTTCTCTCTGCTTCCTGCCAGGTTTCATTTCTTAGTAGATATGTATAACCTCAGGCAAATTATGTAACTTCTCTGAGCCTCAATTCCCTCAACTGGAAATGGAGATTACATCTATCCCATAAGAATGTCTTGTGAGGGCTGGGATTGTGGCTCAGAGGAAGAGTGCTTACCTCCAATGCGTGAGGCACTGGGTTCAATCCTTAGCACCACATAAAAATAAAATAAAGAGATTGTGTCCACCTATAACTGAAAAATAAATGTTTTAAAAAAAAAGAATGTCTTGTGATCAAAAGATGAGGTCTGTAGAGCCACCTGGAACACAACCTGAAATATGGAATGTGCTCTGAAAAATAATAGTCCTGTGTTCCCTGGCTGCCACATTAATAGAGAATGTCGTGGTGCTTTCAATCTTATGTCTTCATATACACCAAGTATACTCTAAGTCACTGACTTAGGTGTGGAGCTTGCTGGAAATTTTCATAGAGGAGTTCATTTATTAAATTGAAAAGGTGTAGAAACAGTAAAGAATCCAAATGCTAACAAAATGCTAGATTACTGAGCAGACTCTCATACTCAGAGATAGAAATACAGAGGTGTGTGAGTTCTCCAAAGGAGAAACTGCAGGAAAAATGTGGGGCGAAAGGTATGAAGATTCTCTTGTTGTATGAGGTTACAAATATTTTTTAAGTACTTAAAAGGAAATGAACTTTGTTAATATTTTAATTCAATAATCTAAAAATATAAATAAGCTGAAGTACTTGATCAAAAATGACAAACCATGATCTTTCTGATCAGGACACTTATCTTGTTTAATTAAGATTGTTTTTTTTACTGTAGGAAAATTCTTTTACTGTAATAAAATTCTTTTTTTAGTGTAGAGGCCTTTTACAGTAAGAGTACTGCTTCTTCATAATATTCTGAAAATCCTAAACAAGACACATGATCCACTAATGGTGGGTCATCCTCATATGTGAAAGATGGCATGTGCTTTATATGTACTTTATAATACAATATTAATCTGTGTTTCCCAAAGTTTTTAAAAAAACAACTCTTACATTATATAAAAATAACTAAAACCTCTTTCTATCAGGGGCAGATAATAAGTCACCCAAAGAGACTGAAATGAAGAAAGGAAGACCTAACACCAGCATACCTTAATAACATGTCACTAATTTTCCATCTCAATAAGAGCTGGGAAATAAAAGCCATCAAAGCCATCTGGGGCCATCTCCCAGCATGAATTCCATCTCTGTTCTAACTTTGGAATCCTTTTCTCTACAGCAACCCTAACAGCAAATGGGAGAAAAAGAGAACAATTTTCTTCCTGAACCAAAGCATACAAAAATGTTCTTTATCTAGAGGTCTTGGCTCCACTTGAAGCACTGTGTTTTTCACGTTAAGGCTCCGGCCAAGCAAGGACAGGAGAAAGAAGCACTCTTAATGTGCCTAGGGCAACTTTAGCTTCAGGAAGGTAAAGGTGATCACAGTTTCAAATAGTCCCATTCACTTCCCTCCCCAACCTCAAAATAGAAGTCAAGCCTGTAAGTCTGCAGAATGGAACAGAAGAAATTCTAAAAAGGACTGGGGCCAACTATGTGTCACACCTTGATGACTGCTCCAAAAGCTCCTTTGCCGAGAAGCTGTAATTCTTCAAACTCAATGAAATACCGGGAAAACTGTCTCTGTGTCTCACTGAAGAATGCAGCACTGGGAAGCTGGCTGCTAGGTATAACAGTCTCAACATAATCTTGTCCTCCAGAATCTAAGAAAAAAATGATTGCATTAAAAATACAGGAAGAGCTAGAAAATCCAACAGGGATATTAGCACTGGCAAAAGGGGGTGTGTAAAAAAGTACCTCTTGCTTGAGTGGCCCTTGTATACTTTCCCTCATCTTGCCTTCCTTAAAATAGGTAGAAAAATATAATTAGCCCATTTTATGGGAGGGGATAAGTAGAGCAGAGAGTAAGTGATGGAACTACAGAGCCAGCCCCCATCCCAGGTCTCCTAGCCTAGGCACTACCGAGGTTCTTTAATCTGCTACGTAAGTGTCAGCAAAAAATCCAGTTACACAGCAATAAGGGTAACAAAACAGGAAGGACGATTAAATACTCATAGAGGCTACACCAATGGACACTTTATCATAGGGACTGGAAAACTCAGGCTGGGAAAACAGTCCCATGCACACAGGGACTGCTTATTGCTGAACATAAATGTATGTGTAGCTCAGAATAAAACAGATAATCCATGCAGCCCCTTCCAGTTTTAGGTTTATGAATACTTTCAAAATAATTTAATGTTAAACAGGGTATCAAAGAAGGATGGCAAGAGACTCACCTTCGGGACTTTGTTCCACTAAAGGCATTTTTGGCTGAGGGTTTATAAAGCCATGTTTCAACAGCTGCTGAGGGCTCCATCTTTCCTTGTCATCCAAGCAAACACACCTCAGTGAGAGGGAAGGGAGAATCTCAGCAACACACAAAATAAACACTAACTTAGCTATGGGTTTATTTTAAAAAAATACACATTAGAGAATTCATGTTATTTATGGACCAAAATATACATATATGTGAATATAAATCAACAAATATCCCTACAGAATCTACATGTGAGTACTAGGCTACATGCAAGTAGAGAATTTGAAAAACAAAAACAAAAACAAACAAACAAAAAACGTGCAGTTTCTTTAGAGGCATGGAACAAATTTTTTTAAATTTCAGATAGTAGTATAATATAAGTAGGCTAGGAATTTTCAATCCCATTAACAATTTAAAAACTTGCCATGCTTAATTCTTTCTAAAAATTAGTTATAAATAAATCTTTCTAAAGGCAAAGTAAATCAGCTGGGGTTGGGGACCAGTTTGATAAACTTCAGATGAAGCCTATACACATCAAGTGTGTTGGTAACAATTAGGAATACTTTAAAAGTCCCATATCTCCCTCCCTCCCTCCTTCCCTTCTTTTCCTTCCTCCCTCCTGAATACCTTCCTTCTTTCCCAGTGCTGGAGACTGAACCCAGAGGCACTCTATCACTGAGCTATATTCCCAGCACAGCTGGCCACAAACTTGTGACCCTCCTGTCTCAGCCTCTCAAGTACCTTGATTATAGGCCTGTGCTACAGTCCATGCTTACCATATACTTTCTCTTAATCCTCAATCTTTAATATACTAACTCAGCATTTAATGTTCTAATAAATAAAAATAATTTTCTATTATTTTATTTTATTTTTATTTTTTTTGTGGTGCTGGGGATTGAATCCAGGGCCTTGTACATGCGAGGCAAGCACTCTACCAACTGAGCTATATCCCCAGCCCACAAAAACAATTTTTTAAAAATTTTCCCTCCTAGATGCTTTAACTCAAGCTAAAACCTAAGAACCACTGTTCTCAGTAAGCTAAACTGTGGCATTTATAACAATGACTCTAGTGGTACCACTTGGTAGCACTTGGCCCTAATTATAAACAATACACTTAAGCCCAGAACTTGACTTAAAACCTATAAAGTGGTGACAACAACTATCATGAAGGACAACATTTTACTTTTTATGACACTGCACTAAAAAAACACTCAAGGTAGAAAAAGACCCGGAAAAGACAAGATTCCAGTAAAACAGTTTGTGTAAGATTCTTTATCTCCCCCTAAATTTAAAATTCATTTCAATTATATTAGTAAGCATATATACCTTTCCCTTACAAATATTAAAACATGATTGATAATGATAGTCTTTGACCAAATCCTTCCTCTCTCCAGGTCTTCCCTCCTCTGACTGTACATCCTTAGACTCTTTTATGCATTTATATAAATAAACACACAACCACCCAAAATAATACTGTATTTTAAAAAATTACATTTAATTAACTATTTTTGGTAGTATTAGGGATTGAACCTGGCCAGGGTCACTCTACCACTGAGATACATCCCCAGCCCTTTTAATTTTACTTTGAGACAGGGTCTCACTAAGTTACCCAGGCAAGCCTCCATCTGGTGATCCTCCTTCCTCAGCCTCCCAAGAAACTGAGATTACAGGTGTGTTCTACTGTGCCCAGCTAATGTATTGATATTTTTGGGCAGCATCATCCTGTACATATTATTCTTTAACTTGCTTTTCTATGTGTGTGTGTGTGTGTGTGTGTGTGTGTATAAAATATATATGACAGCGGAATGCATTACAATTCTTATTACATATATACAGCACAATTTTTCATATCTCTGGTTGCATACATAGTATATTCACACCAATTTGTGTCTTCATACCTGTACTTTGTAAAAAATTTAAAGCCTGCCCAGAATAAATTGTATTCTTATAAATAAATGAGATTTTATACCATCAAGATCCCACTTAAAACAATGAAATTCTCTAAACCAATCATTTGGGCAACATAGTAGCCATAAGTGGAAAAGGCAAATGCTAGGTCTGACTTTGAACAAAAAACCTGTACTTTGGATAATAATGGTTCTCACATTCCACCATCATTAATTACCCCATTCCCCCTCCCTTCCCCTCCAACCCCCCTGCCCTATCTAGAGTTCGTCTATTCCTCCCATGCTCCCTCTCCCTATCCCACTATGAATCAGCCTCCTTACATAGGGGGGATTGGCTAACTTCACTTAGCATTATCTTCTCTAACTCCATCCATTTACCTGAAAATGCCATGATTTTATTCTCTTTTATTGCTGAGTAATATTCCATTGTGTATATATGCCACATTTTTTAATCCATTCATCTAATCCTGTAGTATGCTGTTTTTAAGTCCTTTGGGTATAGACCGAGGAGAGGGATAGCTGTGTCAAATGGTGGTTCCATTCCCAATTTTCCAAGAAATCTCCATACTGCTTTCCATATTGGCTGCACCAATTTGCAGTCCCACCAGCAGTGGATGAGTGTACCTTTTTCCCCTGCATCCTCACTAACTTGCTTTTCTCTTTCAATCATGTGTTTTAGAGATCTTTCTAAGCCAGTACTTAAAGATTTGTTATTGATTTTTGTAGATGCATGAACCTACTAGAATTCATTTACACACTCTCCTATTATTATTTACAATTATTTCATATATGTGTGTGTTTGTATATGTGTTGATATATATACATATACATATACATATATACATACATAAAAGCTGCAATGACCATCCCTACACTTGCCCTGTTGGGTTTCTGAAGTGTATCACCTCCAACTCAACTATGACATTAATGTGACATGACAACAGATCTTGATCAGAAAAAATTTAAAGTCTGACCAGAATAAATTGTATTCTTATAAATAAATGAGATTTTACACCACCAAGATCCCACTTAAAACAATGAAATTCTCTAAACCAATCATTTGGGCAACATAGTAGTCATAAGTGGAAAAGGCAAATGCTAGGTCTGACTTTGAACAAAAAGGATGAAATGGGGCTGGCGTTGTGGCTCAGCCGTAGAGTGCTCACATAGTACATGCGAGGCCCTGGGTTCGATCCTCAGCACCGCATAAAAATAAATAAAGGTACTGTGTCCAACTACAATAAAAAAAATAAATATTTTTAAAAAAAGGATGAAATGTGGAAAGTTCTCATTCAGGCAGAGAACTAACATCGATTCAGTCAAGTGCTAGGAAGGGTTTGAAGCTCTTTACAGGTGTTAACTCATCTGATACTCACAGCAAGGGCAGGGTGTCTCAGTCCCTCAGCCAAGAAGGAGTAGGAGATGTGACCCAGCTGTCTGGCTCCAGAGTCTGAGCTCTTACCCAGAACCAACAAATAAAACTGTAACTACAGATGGAATGTTGCCACACTTTGTGAATGATTTTTTCTTTGGTTAACTGGGGTGAAACAGCGAAGGTAGTAAAATAGTATCTTGCAACTCTTTCCTAAACAAACAGGGTCTATTGAAGCACTTTTGGAAGACAGAGGAATGGATACAATATTCTGAAGGACAACCATGTTAAAAGGATAAGAAACAGTGCTGATCTCAAGTTAAAAATTGACAGAACATAGAGTGGTTTCTTTTTCTTTTCTTTCTTTTTTTTTTTTTTTGTGGTACTAGGGATTGAACCAAGGGCCTTACACATGCTAGGCTACGTCCCCGGCTCAAACTAATATTTGGGAGCCATTTCTGTAAGACAAGAACTAGGAAAGTTTTATTCCTGAGACTATCATTCTGCTACTAAATGTGAAAAAATATCTTCTAATTAAACCCTCCTGTGCTGTTTAAAAATAATACACAATGCTATTGCTAACTTTTACTAAATTACTCTTGATCAATCAAGAACAGAAAGTTCAAAGTGACACTTTGAAGACTAAAACCATTTTTTCCATCAGCTATTCCATTGCCATATTTGTCATTTCAGCCAAACTCATAATTAGGGTGCACTAAAATAAGTATTTCTAAAGTTCTATCACACTTAAAAGGAATCATAAAAGATTTCTTTAAAAATCTTAAGATTTTTATATACTCTATGGAAAGAATACAGCATACAGAAGAACAAAGTTGATTTCTTTCTACAACTATATGTATATTGTGTCTACTTCTATTTTGTGGTACACAAAAACTACCTCACTTACACATGGTCATATGTTGCTTAACAACTGGGATACATTCTGGAAACATGTCTTCAGATAATTTTGTCATTATGTGAATATCATAAGTGTGTTTCCAGAAATGAACATGAGCTAAATCATGTCTTTGGATGACACAATCTATGGGACTACTATAAGTACAGTAGGTTGTTGAAAGAACCTGTTATGTGGCACATGACTATACAAGAGCAAGTACTATTTATAACAAGTAGGATAGTAACAGGGAATAATACCATGGGGTCAGCTGGCAATTGGTAAAGATGAGAATAGGGAAAGAAATGTGAAGGGTAAAAGAAAAGAAATGTAGGGAGTAGACAAAGTGAATTAAAGCAAATAACTGGGAAAAAGAAATTAAAAAAACAAGACAGGGTCGGCCAGAAAGGGAAGAGTCAAAGGGGAAAAAAACAGTCTAGGTCAACTTCTGCAAGAAAGCTAGATCAGGAGAATATCTGAAAAATCCAGACAGGAAGGATCTTATCTCCTATTTAACAGAAACTGAGGGAACTTAGCTCTGGCTTGGACCGAGAACAGATATGGCGAAAGTAGAAAATGCTGAATTGAAGAATCCAGACAAAGACTTTAGGCCCAAGGAAAACTCTCCAGTCAATGATTCTCTTAAATCAGATTAAACTTGGTTTTATAATTAAATGTGCACCTGTAATTCACAGGTGCTGAAAAAAGTCTGGCTAGAGTCAGGAAGTCATTTGCTTCTCAAGACTTGGCTGAATGAGACAGCCAAAGAAGAATGAGAACACGAGGCAGCATCACCCTTGAAGCTCTTTTTTAAAAAGGAGGTCTTGTGATGTGATGTGATTCAGCAACCTGTACACTCAGAAAAAGGAATAATTATACCCCATTTGATTCAAATGTATGATATGTCCAGATCACTGTACTGTCATGTGTAACTAATTAAAACAAATAATAAAATAAATAAATAAAATAAAAAGGAGGTCTTGCCTTTGATCTGCATAATCAAAAAAGCAGGAGTAAAACGCAATTAGAAAATTTCAATGACACTCACTTCTTGAGGAAATCTTGAAAGTCGGCTGGTAAGTCACTGGGGATGGTCACGGGGTACTCTCCACATTCCTGTCCTTGGCTGAGGGAGAGTAGCAAAAGGCCAAGATGCCAAACATCCCCCTTCTTCCCTGTTTTATAAGGCAGGGCATTGTCACTAAAACGCACTCGGGTTTGCTCAAACACATCCTCCTTGCAAATGTCTGCTAGGCGTTTAGAAATGCTGTAATCTGTAATCTTGACAGTACCCTCTGCATCTACCAAGACAGTCGATGCACTCAAGACCTTGTGCACCACAGAATTGCTGTGAAGATAATCAAGGCCTGACAAGAGCTGAGCTGCATACTTGCGAAGCTGATGCACAGGGATGGGGCCTAAGTGACTCAGGTGTGTAGCGAGAGAGACCCCATTGATGTGCTCCACTAAAATGTCCACGGTGATGGAGTTGTCTTGCTCTTTGAAATTCATGGCAAAGTATCGTACCACATTTGGATGACTCAGTTTCACCAGTGAGTTGAACTCTGTTTCTGCCCCTTGAAGCTGATAAGGAAAAAAATTTTAAAAAAAGATAATATTGGGTAAGTCAGCATTAATGGATGTTTCACTTTAAAAGTGAAGTACTTGAAAGAAAATATACTTTCATGAGAGGAGAAAAAATATTCCCTGAATAGAATAAAGGTGAAAAAAATTCAATTCTTAATTCAAAATCTTAGTGTATAAATACTATAAAATTAGTGAATGGCTTTTAAAATCAACTTATTTTGAGTTAAGCCATGGAGGCAGGGGAACCACTCATTTTAAAATAACCTTTTTTGATTATAATAAAATCACTATAAAAGTTTTTTAAATTAGGGACTAGGGGTATAGCTTGGTAGTAGAGTACTTGCCTACCATGCATGAGACCTGGAATTCAATTCCTAGTACCGCAAAAAGAATTTTTAAGTTAATACAAAGGTAAAAATATCCACAAATTATCTATATTATCACCATCCAAAAAAAAAAACTTGTGATTTTTTGCATTTACAGTTTTTCTTTCTAAACATAAGAAAACTCACATTTCTAAACACCAAGCTTTATCTGCTTTTTTTCCTTAAGCTTGGTATTATAGATTAATAATAAACTCTTCTTTCAATCCCCAATATTACAAAAAGAAAAAATCTGCAGTTCCCCCCAAATCAGTTTTGAAGCAATATTTTTAAAGAGTAGAGAAGATATATGTAACTTCAAAAAGCACAACTTTGGGGGCTGGGTTGTGGCTCAATGGTAGAGCGCTTGCCTAGTACGTGTGAAGCACTGGGTTCAATTCTCAACACCACATAAAAATAAATAAAATAAAGGTACTGTGTCCATCCACAACTAAAAAAAAAATTTTTTTTTTTTTTTTTTTTTTGAAAAAGCACAACTTGGGCTGGGGATGTGGCTCAAGCAGTAGCGCGCTTGCCTGGCATACGCAGGGCGCTGGGTTCGATCCTCAGCACCAGATAAAAATAAAATAAAGATGTTGTGTCCACCGAAAACTAAAAAAATAAATATTAAAAAATTCTCTCTTTCTCTCTCTCTCTCTTTAAAAAAAAAGAAAAGAAAAAGCACAACTTTGGGCTGGGGTTGGGGCTGAATGATAGAGCTCTTGCTTCACATGTGTGAGGCACTGGGTTCGATTCTCAACACCACATATAAATAAATGAATAAAAAATGTCCATTGACAACTAAAAAAAAACAATTAAAAAAAAAAACCCATACAACTTTGAAATAGTTGGAGTGATGGTTGTTAATGCCATAAGGGCTGAGAAAGGAGAGCAAGAAGGCAACTGCAGAAGTTTTGTCCATATTGTGAAGTTCTCAAAGAGGGAACAAGGCTAAGAAAACTTTGAAGAAGATGCTTGCCCTCTAGTCCTCTCTTGGTTAAACAGAACTCATCCACTCTGGATCATCTCGGAGCCCAAACACAGAACTCTTTTGTTCTACCATCTCCATTTACTTTAGATTGGCCTTTTGCTTAGCCAGCCATGGTGAATACTTACCTGCTTTTTGCACTTATCAATTTTCTCTCTTTCTTGACTGGTAAGGAAAGGACCAATTTTTTTCTGCCATTGAAGGACCCACTCATACAACAGGACAAAGCTGCCAGTGGCTGTTTCCAATGCATTGTAAACTAATTTTCCAAGTTGTTCATCACTGCCTGCACATTAAATAGACAAGGTAGTTAAATCTCACTGAATGTTTTCTATGCAGGGAAACAAGGGAGGGACTGTATATTCATTCATTCAATAATAGATGCCATGTGCTAACCATAAAAACACGATTCTTTAATAACGTGCTTTGTAAACTACTTTTAGTATTTAACAATGTATTGAGAGTCCTAAAATATTAATTTTTATAAAGGAAAAAGAATTGACAATGAGATGCTAGTATCAGGTCAAATAAAGAGAACAATGTTTTATTCTGTTAACCATTATTTACCATTATTACTTTCCTAACCAGTTCACCTTTGCTGGCTATGCTACTGACCTACCTCACATAGCTAAATACCAACTCAAATGACAGAAAGAATTTGGAAATAAAGAATATCCCTCAAGATTATTTCAAGCTGGGTGCAGTGGTGCATGCCTATAATCTCAGTGGCTCAGGAGGCTGAGGCAGTTCAAGACCAGCCTCAGTAACTTAGCAAGGCCCTAAACAACTTAGCGAGACCTTGATTAACATCCTTGGGTTCAATCCTTCATACCAAAAAAAAAAAAAAGATTATTTCATCAGTAGGCTGGGGATTAGCTCAGTGGTAGAATGCTTGGTGGTGGTGGTGGTGGGGGGGGGCGTTGGGAGGAAGGGAATGATTATTCCAACAGTGCAGAGATTAATGTACACTACAGTAGAACTAGCTTTTAGTAAATTTGAAAATATGAATACGCCAATGACTTTCTAAAAACAAACTTTGAACATACCCTGTAAATAAAAACTGGCCAATGTTTTAGAGGGAAGGAAGTTTAAAGCTAGAAAGGGAGACATATTTATTTAGTAATAGGCATATGGTTTCCACTTATATCTGTGAGAACTAAATTTTTGTAACACCAGAAGTTTTCTTATGAAACTCTTCATTTTCACTAAGGACTGGAACAGAAAAGTATCAAAATACTAGAGAAAATGAAAAACATTCTTTTGCTTTATTTTTATTTATTTATTTTTCAACAGTGTCTTACCATGTTGCTGAGGCTGATCTTAAACTTGTTATCATCCTACCTCAGTCTCTCAAATAGCTAGGATTACAGGTTCATGCCATGGGGCCTATTTTGTTTTATTTCCTATTTACCAAATCATAGCATATATAGCACCCTTGGCATTACTGATTCTTCACCAGACAATCTTTTGTTGTAGGATGCTGTCTTGTGCCTAGCCTTCATCCACAGCACACACCTCTGCTCCCAGACTTAACCATCAAAAATATCTGCAAGGGCTGGGGCTGTGGCTCAAGTGGTAGCGCGCTCGCCTGTCATGCGTGCGGCCCGGGTTCGATCCTCAGCATGACATACAAACAAAGATGTTGTGTCCGCCGAGAACTAAAAAAATAAATAAATATTTAAAAAAAAAAATATCTGCAAGACTTGGGACACAGATCAACCATAGAACAGTTGCTCCCTCATGGGTGAGGGCTTGATTTTCATCCCCAGCACTACAACAACAAAACAAACAACAACAAAAGAAACTGCAGATATCATCAGATGTCCCCTCAGCTAATAACTGTCCCCAGTTGAGAACCACTGATATGTAGTATTCTTTTTCTTTTAGCATATAAATACTACTTTGATTTTTCTTCATAATGAAGAAAAAAATTTAAGAATACTGATTATTATGTTTTCTACTTGAAAAATGAAAAGTGAAGTAACTTGTATGTATAAAATAAAGTAGTCTTAGCAAAAGTAGTTTGGAGAAATATGGCTATACTGCCTCACCTAAATTTCTTAACTTCAGAAGTAATTCTTACTTCAGAGAAATGCTAATAATTAGAGATTTCAATTAAAATGATCTATTGTATTAGTAACTCCTGAAAGTCTTAGCTTAAGAGAAAAACTCTGATGTTTGAAAATTTGTCAGCCAAAGGAAGCAACCTGAGAAATGTGGGACTATATAGTTTACTGGAGACGAAACATTAAATGTTTATGAAATGGAGGCTGATGTGATCTACAGCAAGCCTAATTAAATGTGTGTGTTATATAGTTCACTGTCCTGTAATATTCATTTCTCCAATTCGGACTAGGAAGGCACTTCATAATTGCTAGGTTTTGAAAAAAAAATTACAATTTTATTATTGCCACCCTCTTGTCTCTTTTTCCATGATGGAAATGATAAAAGGAACAGAAGAACACACTGCTCTGAAGCTAAAGGAAAATGTTATCAAAAGAACTCTGATTAAAACTCTGTTATATTTTTGTAATGGTCGTTTATATATAGACAGTTCCATAGTGCTTCATCCACATATGTAAGTAAGTTCCTTTTTTTTCTAGTTCTAACAACTTTACATTGAAAAACAAATACTAATTAGTTGGTTTTTTAAAAATAAAAACATATCATTGAACATTAAAATTGAATTAGTTTAGCTTTTATAAAAACACTTTGTAGGAAATTTAGGCATGTTTTAAAAACTAGACTCATTGTGAGAAAACAAAATAAATTATTCACTACTTGATGATTTAATAAAAAAATTCTTCCGTTGTAAATATGCTTCCCAATGAAGGGATTAACTAAGGTGAATTTGTCTAATGAATACCAGTGAGAATAAGAGACCAAGTTAATTTGCCTTCCTGATTTCCCCAGGTTATTAAAGTTAGGGAGCTTGTGTTGTCAGTTTATGAATCTGAAAGTCTCTGAATTAAAGACAGTCTTGGTTCTCAAGCCAACTATCTCTACCATGGTCTTAATTTGCCCAAACAGTTGCTGTGAGTATTGTAGCCCTGTGTATGCAGAGCCCTATACTGTCCAGGCTGCTTTCAGTCAGTGAAGGTTAAATTTCCAGTTCTTAGACTACTCAGATGTTTGGTTCTTCGTCTACCTGTTGCCTATGCCCTGGCAATTCTTTTGCTTATTTGTATCTCCTTAAAGAGAAATGGCATAAAGACTCTGAAGGAAAGCAAATTCCATTTAGATAATATGGCTATCTTTTAACTCTGGCAAGAGTATTCATGGGATGAAAAATCAAAGTCAACTGTCAAATTATCAAGCAAATCTTACACCAATTAGTAGTTACATCAATATGGCTAAGAAAAGATAAGTTACATTTAGGAAGTAGATCCCCAAAACTTGATTTTAATATAAGCAATTCAAATTCTGAATTGCAGAGCCAGCTTTACTCCAAAAAGCTATCCATAGACAAAACTGGTAAATAAAACATAAAAAATAAAGTAATTTTCCTGGCCAGGTACAACATTCCAAGCAAGAAAATGCCAAATCAATGGATATCAACTTAAGAAAATGAGATTTGGTCATTAAACATCAGAGGCATTAGAACCATTTTGTTACACATTTTATTAGTATTAGAAGCACACGACTTAAAATCTGATTGATAATATTTAAACCTTTTTTGTTTCAAAAAGCTTAGATAATTTGATGACAAATTTAAGTTACCTTTATGACCAATTTAGAATTTTACTTATGCTAACAGTATTTCCAACAGCACAGTTTTACTTCCGTTTTATGTTAGGGGAAACCTGAACAACTTCTCATTCCAGTCACGAGGAATGGGAGCTAGAATGACCAACAGCCTGCTTGACAGCCTTCTTTGGACTATGCTGGTGTAGACAACATGGTATCTAGTCCACCCTGTTTCCTCACAATCAGCTTTTGTCATAACAATAATTTAAATTAACTTAGCTAGTTTACTCACCAATACATTTCCCTTTGTGCACCATGAGCTGATCAGGACTACCCACGCAGAAGTATAGGATTTCACAAGAGCCAGGAGAATCTTCACTACTACATAAAGAATACTGACGTTCTCGCCTTAAAAATAAATTTGGACAATGATTTTTTTCTTTAAATTAGGATTAGCACAGGACATTCCTGTTCCTGTGTTCTTCTGCTTAGCCCATTCACACTCCAACATCTGTATTTTGGGAATGGAGCTGAAAGGGCTAATGAGAAAGCTGTTCAACTCCCCTACTTCCCACCACTGCCTTCTCCTCATGGACTCTATAAAGCCCCTGTTCTCAGTTTGTGCTGACCAATATGTGGCTATTTAAATTTAAATTAAATAAAAATTCAGTTCAAGTGTAGTCACTGCATTTAAGTACTCAATCACAACATGTGGCTAGTGGCTACAATATCAAGTAGTACAGATGCAGAATATTTCTAGTGATTAAGATTAGTCCCACATCTCTTCATTCCCATGCACATATATATCTGGAGATAGCTCCAAAACAGGGGGTTTTAGAGCCCTCACATATTCCAGGTTCCTACTGGGTCCCAACCATTGAATGCTTATTCATTCTCTCATTTGTGTTTGGTAGATACTCCTTGTTATTTCCTTCTATAACTTCTCCAAAATACTCAAAATCCAACCTCTGCTTTTTTTTTTAACTTTATTTTTTATTTCTTTATTTTCCTACTTTTCCCCCACTAGATGAGGAACAATAGTTGAGAAGCTACATTATAAAAACAACAACCACCAAAAAAAAAAAAAAAAAAATTGAGGGAGAGGGTTGCACTGAAGAAGTAAGGGAGAAAGCTCTTGATAGTCACAAGTTACATAAGAAATGCTTTGATAAAATCTTACAGTAGTTTTGATTTGCATTTCTCTAATTACTAGAGATGTTGAACATTTTTTCATGTATTTGTTGATCTGTTGTATATCTTCTTCAAAGAAGAGTCTGCTTAACTCTTTAGCCCATTTATTGATTGAGTTGTTTTGTGTTTTGGTGTTAAGTTTTTTGAGTTCTTTATAGATCTTGAGACTAGTGCTCCACCTGATGTGGTTATGACAAAAATTTGCTCCTAAAATGTAGGCTCTCTCTTCCCCTCATTGATTGTTTCTTTTGCTGAGAAGAAGCTTTTTAGTTTGAATCCATCCCATTTATCAACTCTTGACTTTATTTCTTATGCTTCAGGAGTCTTGTTAAGGAAATTGGGGCCTATTCCTACATGAAAATTTGGGCCTACTTTTTCCTCTATTAGGCACAGGGTCTCTGGTCTAATTCCTAGGTCCTTGATCCACTTTGAGTTGAACAGCAGTTATCAAGAATACAAACAACAGTAAGTGTTGGCAAGGATGTGGGGGAAAAGGCACCCAGCCTACCCCTACATTAGTGATAAGATTATGTATTATGACACAAGTCTTTTATACCACATATTCTAAATACCAGGGAATAAGAACACATTGTAATTCTGTTTAAATTTTGGCTTTTGAAATTATTTGCGTAAACAGGGAGTACACTGACATTTATGGAAAAAAGAATAAATGCAAAGATTCAAAATGATATGCTAAACTACACAAATTATCCAGAAGCCCTTCAACATCGGCTCTGTCCCCTTCAACAGATGGTGACAAGATCCATTTTAGTCTAGGCCATCTCAATGCCCTTTAGTTGACAGTGTGCAAATACTTGATTTTAAGGTGTTTTAGAATATTAACCACCCTATTATGACTGATTCTCACAAACACAGTGTTAGGAGTGTTACAAAAAAAAAATAATTAGAATTAAGGGAAAAGTGGAGAAAATTTAAAAAGTGAAAGTGTCAACAAAATGACAAATGTGGCATATGCTACATGAGACAGACAACAGAAATAATTCTGGAGGTTAAAAAATACATCTAGAGTATGAAAAGAAGGTTTTCATCCAAAAAGCTCTGTATATATTGGATGCTTCTACTGTCTACTGAGACTCATCCACAAGTAAAATGTCTTCTCAATGCCATCAGAATCACAGCTCTACTGCAAACAAATGGTGTTTAGAAGCGAGGACACTGATGTCCTCGTCAATGGTCTATTCTGGATATGGAATGTCCATGGGATTTGCAATATTACTAGAAATATCACTCATGTTGTCAGCTTTGTCAACCAGCAGTACCCAATGTACTAAGGAAAGAGTGTTTAAAACAAAATTGCCAAATAATACTAAACATGTCTTATAAAGGATAGAGAAGTTAACATAATTCAATTTTAGAAGACTAAATTAAATATCTAGGACCTTGATAACAACAACAACACCCTAAAAAAACTGAAAAGGAAAAAAGCAGACAATTGACAGAAACAAAAACTGCAAATCATCGAGTGCCAATCCTTCAGAATCTGGCTGCCATCCAAGAGACTGGTCTACCCACACAATCAGAGTGTGGAGGTGCTACAGTCTGGATCTGAGAGGTCCCCCACAGGTCCCTGTGGCTTGGTCCCTAGTTAGGTGCTTTTGGGAGATGGTAGAACCTTTAACGTAGGGCCCAGTAGGAGGTCTTCAGGTCACTGAAGGGGACAGTGGGGACATGGCCCCTTCCTTTTCCTTTTATGACCCAGCCATGAGCTCCACCACACACTTCCTGCCATGATGCATTGCCTTGCCATTGGCCCCAAAGCAATGGAGACTGAAATCTCCAAAAGTGAGCCAAATTAAACTTTGCCTCCTTATAAGTTGATCATCTTAGGAATTTTGTTCCAGTAATAGAAAGCTAACAATATAAGAGGTTGGGATGGGAAGGAGAATCAACTCTGAAATTGGGACTGCAGCAGTCTAAACTTCCTGCCAAACTCACCAAGATGCTAGAAAAAACTCTAGCTATTCAGGATCTTTGTAGAAAAAAAAAAAAGAATTCTTGATATTGTTTGAGGTGAATCAGTCTGTGTCTGCTGGGAACCAAATTGAGAAACAGTAAGCAATGGAGGAACATGGGTTTGGAGAGATGTACAAAGGATCCCCTCACCTCCATCTACATTCCTTATGTTAGTGGTTTCCCAAACTTTTGAGGGGGGAGAGTGGAGAAAATCCCATGTCTTTTTTTTTTTTTTTTTTTTTTGTAGGCTGGGAGCTCAAATTCATATTTATTTATAGTCAATTGGTATAGTGTCAGAAACAAGCAACCTATGAGCTGAATATAGCCCATAACCCCAAATTTATGTTTTTCTTAGCTTTCATGATATTTAAAAACCAAGACCTTTCCTGTCAGTCTACATTTTGGCATACTTTGGTAGGGATGCGCCTGTCTATATTCCTGTTCCCACAGCCCCCAGTCTACCTTGTTCCTTAGCTGCCTGGCTCCTGGGGGCACTCGAGTTCAAGTCTCTGGGTTGGAGGCTGCAGGGAGAGCAGGAGAGACCACGTCCACTCCCTTGACTAAGACGTGGCACTTGTCTCCAGCAGGAGACTGCTATCCTTGAGCTCAGTTGCCTCTTCGGGAGGGGTTCCTCATGTAGGACGCTGACCATGGTCCCTGAGGCTTCAACTGAAAAGGAACTGACTCCAGCTTGAGAGACCGTCAGTCTCTCTTCTTCTGTTTCTTCTTTTTGGTGCTCTGGTCAGTGCTGATTCTCCTTCTCTCCTCCCTGAGTTGCTGCCGCCTCCTCTTCTTACCTCTGTTCTCTATTTCCTCAGTCCTGCCATTGTCACATTCGCAGCTTACATCCGAGACCTCCTCCTCTTTCCTGCACTGCTGTCTCTTCTTCTTGCTTCTGTTACCGCAGGGTGAGCTTCCTGCTTCCCTGGCTGCACCCTCTAGAGCAGTCTCCTCTCTGTCCCCATCAGCTACGCTCAAGTCCTCCTCACGCGGCTGCCTTTTCTTGTCTCTGCGGCAGGGGTCCCTGTGCGCTCTGCTCATCACCTCCTTTCTCCCAACACCACTTGCAGGATCCTTCCCTCTTCCTTCTCCACCCAACATCCCCGTCTCTTCCTCCCCTTCCTCCCCTTCACGGTGCTGTCTCTTCTTCTTCTTCTTTTTCTTAAGAGACTGATGGGTTTGCTCTCTGCTCCAGGGTTCCTCGAGCCCACCGGGCCCCGCAGCCTCGTCCTCTCCACTCTCTACGGCTGTTCCCCCTCTCTCATCTGAGACCTCCTCCTCTTGATGTCGTCTTTTCTTCTTTTTGCTTTTCCTGGTGCTGTGCTCAGTGTGTTCTGGGTGCTCCTCATCCACACTGTGCTCAGTTGCTCTAGGCTCTTTCTGTTTCCTTTTCTTTTTTGGAGGGTTGGGGGGCTGGCTTTCAGACTGTGGCTGCGAGGCCTCAGAGACATGGCCTTTAAGATGAGCCAGGAAGGCCTGCTCCTGGGCCTCTAGCCAAGCAAGCTTGGCCTTCATTGTGATCCCAAGACGTGCAGCCTTGTGTGCTGTTCGCCCCTTGCAGGCCTGGAGCAGCATCTCATCAGTCAGGATCTTTGGGGGCCTGGGCCCCTGGCTGTCGTCATTACTGCCACTCTACAAGTTTCTGTCTGGCTTCTCTCCACCCGAAATCAGCGTGGCCGTCTAGGAGGGATGAAGTGCGTGGATATGGCCCACTCAAACCCACTACCACCCCTCTTCCTTTTGGAAGCCTCCCAGGAATTCATAGCCTAGGCAGGAATTTGCCAGCCCCCAACTTGCTCCTTGCAGAGTCACAGGTGTGGGGGCCTGCATACTTCAACCTGGCAGAAGGTGGACTGCAGCTGCTGGAAGCAAGCAACCTCGGGTTCATAGCTTCACGAACTTGTGATACAGCATGTTCGGCTTGGGATGATTATGAGTGGTCTTCTTGGAAAGGCGTCTTATCTGCACTCCGTCCTGCCCAGTTTCTACTACCAAGGTGGCTGCAATCTTGTTGAAAAGCTCATTCCACCAGTGGTGTGTGAACTCCTTGGCAGGATCATGTCCCATCCCATGAGTATCTTGCATCAGAGTCACCTTGATGGCCTGGGTGATGCCATTCTCCTTCCGGCCTAGTCCTTTGCCTTGAGTCCATCCATGCTTTAGCAGCTGCTCCTCAGCAAACTTCATCCCATGACTCTTGACCTCTGGGGTGATGCTCATGGTGGGCAAAGAGGCTCGCCTTTCACCAGAGGAGGAGAAATGACATCATCCCTCCTTGAGAGGTGCTCTCTGCGGAAACATGCGCCACGCCTGACTCGGGCGCCGCCATCTTCTGAAATCCCATGTCTTATACCCTTAGTTATTTCTTCTCAGAACAGATGATTTACTAGCAGTTACCATACTTGGCTTTAGAACAGGGCAAACAAACTAGGAGATAACCTGATTTTGTTTGATGGTAGAAATGTGGGCAAGGACTGAGGAGAACTAGGTCTATACTTTACAAAAGACAACAACACTGAACTATCCACTTCAAAATGGTTAATATTATATCATTTGAATTTTACCTTAATTTTTTTTTTTAAACGTAAATCCTCAATCCTTCATGACTTGAAGGACACAGAAAATAAAATTCTTTAACAAAAACAAAAATTCAGCAGTGAAGAGCTGGGTCAAAGAGCCAGTTCCCCAATGATCAGGCCTTTAAGTCCTTGCCACCATGTTTTTTCATGCATGTTTTTCTTTTCTCTCTTTCTCTTGCTTTAAGAAGTAGAAATTTTGTGTTTAACAACTAATTTCTTTTGGTATTGGGGATTGAACCAGGGGTGCTTTACCACTGAGCTACATCACCAGCCCTTTTTATTTTGAGACAAGGTCTCAAAATTGACTGGGTCTTGATAAATTTCTGAGACTGTCCTCGAACTTGTGATCCTCCTACCTCAGCCTCCTGAGTTCCTGGGATTGCAGGTATTTGCCACCATTCCTGGCAAAACTAATTCTTGATATACCCCACAGATAAAGAAAAGCAGACTTGCTTGGGGTAAAGAGGCTGCAGACACTAAAGGCACAAAAATCACAATCTCTCGTTTCTTTCTATTGTTTTTCTCTTGTGCCCTCCTTTCCTACATCAGGTCATTTATTGAACAACTACTATGTATCTACCAGGCATTGAGGAAGACACCCATGTATCTTTGCTCTCATGAACTTTTCATTCTCCATTACAAAAAGAAAACAAATGAGTGAGAATTTCATCTAGTGCTAAGTGCTATGCAGAAAAACAGGGGTTGGGTGTGTGAATCAGTGGTAGAGAGCTTGCTTAACATGTACAAGGCCCTGGGTTCCACCCCCAGCGTTACAAAACCAAAACCAACCAAACAACAACCACCATCACCTCCTCTAGCCACACTTTACCTGCCTTTGGTTACCACACAGTTAATCCCAAACAAACAAACAAAAAACAGAAAACGAAAAAAATTAAATAGAGAATCAGATAATAGGTACTAAGCAGAGAAGTAGAGTAGAGGGCAGCTCAGGGGAGGTGTCTCTGAGGAGGTCATACTTCAGGAAAGAACTGAATTAGAAGCAGCAGCCACGCAAAATGACATAGGAAAAGCGTCCTAGGCAGAGTGACAGGCAGAGGCCCTGAGATGAGAAGGTGCTTGGTGTGCTCAAGGAGTGATGCTATGAGGCAAGGGAGGGGAGAGTGATGGGGAACTAGATGCTAAAACCACTCACTTTTTACTGTGGTTTCCCCAATGTCCATTCTCCACTTGTGGCCAGGAAGAAGAGTCCACAATTGTTTTAGTCAGCTTTTACACTGCTGTGACTAAAAAAATCTGACCAGAACAATTTTAGAGGAGGAACAGTTTATTTGGGAGCTCACAGTTTCAGAGGTCCCAGTTCATAGATAGCCAGCTCCATTCCTCAGGGCTCAAAGTGAGGCAGAACATCATGGCAGAAGAAAATGGCACTTGATGATCACTTGATGACCAGGAAGCAGAGAGAGAGAATCCACTTGCCACATACAAAATATATGCCCCAAAGGCACGCCCCCAATGCCCACCTCCTCTAGACACACACTACCTACCTTTGGTTACCACACAGTTAATCCCATCAGGTGATTGATTCACTGATTGGGTTAAGACTCTCACAACCCAGTGATTTCTCCTCTAAACCTTCTTGCATCTCATCGTTTCACACATGAGCTTTTGGAAACACCTTACATCCAAACCACAACAACAATGTAAATCAGAAGGTATCGTATTTAGTCCTGAGTAACACCCTTCAAAGCTGCTCATTTATCTTTGTTGACCCACCCTGGTCAACAAAGCCCTCTGTGACTGCCTGCCTGATCCTACCTGAACTATTCTCTCCATGCCTACTAATTCTAGCCTTACTGTCCTGCTTAATGAGCTTTGAGCACTGCAGGCCCATGCCAGCCTTGGATTAGTCAAACCAACTGTTCTCTGTGCTGAGCTGTTCTCCTTCTGATCTTGGTCTGGCTGGCTCCCTCTCACTTTTTAGAACCAGAACCCCCCACTCTAGATCCAAACTTTGTATGTTTTCCTTCAAACATTCTAAAATGGTCATCCAGCTTTTATTCAACACAGGCCTATTTTATTTCTCTGTGTAGCACTAATCCTTATCTGACATTTCTTTTCTGCTTATGGACAGTTTTCAATGAGAATATAAGCTCCACAAAGACAGTCCTTGATCTCGTTTACCAAATCCCAGTACTCAGAAGAGCGCCTGGCACATAGTAAGTGCTCAATAAGCATTTATTGAATGAATCAGTGAAACATGATTCTAGATTTTACTGCTTTTAGTCATAGTCAGTTCAAATATTGCTGCTAACAATTCAGATGACAAAGACATCTCTATTAAGTCTACCATGTGTATTTATTCACAAAAAGACAAAGTGGAACATTTTGCCTATTTCTTTGACTTTCTAAATGATGAGGACCAATGAACAGCAGGCAAGAAAAAGAATCACAAGTGTACCATGAAGTAATTTGGCACATCAATGACTTTTTATTTTTTAACCAAAGAAGCATTTAAACTACACTTAAGAAGGATTTGATCTTTTCAGTCAGTAGCTAACACAACTACCAATGCAGAGTCCATGTAGGTACATGCAACAAACTTGCCAAACAGATGAAATAGATGACAACTATTTATTGTCAGTTTTGTTCTTAGATACTCATGGAATGTCGTTCCATCCAAGATACATACCTGTCACTCTAAAGGCGTTACATAAAAAGTTGTTCTATCCATGGCAAGAGGAGAGACAATTTCCTGCCTTTTTCTGAATACACTTGCTATCACTGATCTCAAACGCAAGTCTAACCTTGGATCTACTGATCATAGTCAGCCACAAATAAAAACGTGATAAAACATAAAAAAGTTGTTTTTTCCATATCTAAAAAGACATATTTATAACATTGATTTAATTCTGCTATCTCTAACACAATAAGAATTTGCTAAATATTTCCCAGTGAAATTCTCTGACAATTTTTTATTCACTATTAGAACCCAGTTGCAAAAATAATCTAATTTGGTAAGGAGTTATAATCTAATTGGTAAGAAAGTATTCCTCAAAAAGATTGTCACCAGAAACAGTATTCAAAACATCTCTAGGTCTGGGGTTGTAGCTCAGTGGCAGAGTGCTTGCTCATATCCATGAGGCCCTGGGTTCAATCCCCAGCACTACATAAAAATAAAAAAAAATAAAAATATTGTGTCCATCTACAACTTAAAAAAAATTTTAAAAATATCTCTAATTCACCCTAATAGTAGGTAGTTAAACATTATCAAAATTGTTTCTAAGTTGGTTTTAAAAAAGGACATTAGGGAAAGAACTAAAATGTCTCCTTCTAATAAACAAACTATAACCTGAAATTTTATATAAATCTTTAGTTTGGTACCTAAAATGTTTCTTTTGATAGAAGCAAAGAGTTGGCTTTAAGTGTTGCTTGGAGACTCACAAGAGATAGTTTAAGAGCTGCAGTACCCATACTATTTAATGATGTGCTCATCCTCTCAAATTATATGGTTTCTGCACTAAAATTCCTTTCTACTCTCAAGGGAAAACAGGGAAGACTCCATAGCTTAGTGGGAAAGGATGAGAAAGAAGAAGCAGTGTTTTTCATGTGAATTCTGGTAACAGGGAGCAACACAGAAGCCCACTTCAGTCGTGGCAGAGAGGGGCTCCCTTCTCATTTAACTGGTGTTCTACATCTGTGCCCATTTTGGAGCACTCCCCAAATTAGTGGTTGCACCTAAGGAGTTACACACTGAAACATATACAGAAAGCATACAATTTGAGAGGATGATATTACAGATCGAAGGAAAGATTTAAATCATTTATTATATAATAGACAATTAAAAGTCAAATTGAACAGTACCGAAGGCAGAATTGTGAAGTGTTACAGGCTGTTCTAAGGGGGTTTGAGCTATGAAACTGGTTTCATTCAATACACTTGGAAAGTATTAAATGAAAATTGGGTTTTGTCCAGTTAACTAATATATTTATATAGGCTTTCTCTCCCTCTCTCCCTGCTCCTCCCTAATCTCTCCCTCTCTCTAATCTTAAGGGAAACAGGACTGCCTTTCTTCCCCATTTTAGGCAGATTTATCTGTCCTTGTACACACACCCACTATAGAAACTAAGTAATCCAGACTCTGGGGATGGTACCAGAAGATCTCAGAAATGATTATCTCCCAAATTAACAAATGAATTATAACTTCAACAGAGAACATGCAGAATACAGCCTTTGAATCACATCTTTAAAAGGCCCCTGTTCCTGCTGAAGGGCAGAACCATAGCCTCTGGGACAGGAGTCCCCGGTGTGTCTCCTTTGCTAGCAAAGCAATAAAATTTCTTTTTTTTTTTTTTTAAAAAACAACAAACAAACAAACAAACAAAAGATTTATAGGCTTAAGAGTCCTATCTGGAAATTTTATCAAAGTTTACCACAAGTTGTTTTGATCCTACAGCTTTCATCCTCCCAGATTAGAATCCCAGGGACTTACCTAGATCTTCCTGAAGAGTTTGTACGGTGTTTACCATTTCCTACAAAATCAGGAGAGCCTCCATGTAGCAAGGCAGCTGTTCTGTGTCCTCCGGGGTCTTTCTTAGAGGTATGGTCTTGGTTTGACAAACTAGCAATTTCCAAACGTTCCTAGAAAAAGAAAAGCATAACCTATTTTAGATGTAAGTCATATGTGTAAAACAAGCATGGTATGGTATTAGCAATTCAGTATAGAATGCAAATTTTATTTAAGCTTAGTGCTTACAAGTGTAATAAAGCTGAACTCAACTTTTAAAAGTTTAATGCCCAAATATGTACTGAGTCAAGATCTGAAGCCCAGGTTATAGTTTCAAGAGAATTTTATAAATGAAAATGTTTACAATTTTAGAATAAACATAAAAAATTAGGCAGAGGGACAAAAGGAGATGAACAGAAGAAGAGGGGATTCAAAGAGAATGCAGAGTGGCTGACAGGAAGACAGATCAGACACAGGATGAGAGAGTTGGTGGAAAACAAACATCTTAACTTGTGCTCAGCTTTCTACTTTCACATAGGCAGTACATCTGTTTGTGGGAATAATTACATGAAACAGAAAGGCATTATTAATTCTGTTTGAGAGAATGAGCAAAATTTTCTCTGGACTTCTGTAAACATGTATACCTTGTTCTTTGGGACTGAGCTGGAATCAGGGAAAATAAAGAAAAAGCACTTTATCCTTTTTTACCACTGACTTTTAAACCTGTTTTGTCACATCATTCTTTTCCACCATTGAATGAAATCTCTAAAACATGCATATTGTTTCCATTCACTCTTCAGTATGAACAAATATTTTCTAGGTATTAAGAATTCCAGTCCGGGTTAATTAACAAAGCTTCAATCTCCTCTTCCTTGACTCATTTTATAAATTAGTGTAACCCTAAAAGCTTAAATCACTTACAGATGACATAACTTAAAATTCTGCCACCTATTTGGAGAATCGAAAATATACAATACATTTAACTTTGGGGATTTTTTTTCTAAGCTTTACTACTGATAGAAATATGAAAGGAAAAAAATAACATCAATGGAAATAAAACCTTTTTATGTTTAGCAAAATGTAGATTATCTTAGTGTAGCAGAACTGATAGAGTACCTGCTTAGCCATTTCCTTCCTTTTTTTCTCTTCTTTTATCTCTTCTTTCCTTCTCTGAATCTCATGAAGGATTTCACGCTTCTGAAATAAATAAAAGCACCATCAGACACCAAACTCTAAAATACATACTATGTGTCAATTCTAAAACTATAGAATTCTGGCTTGAATTTCAATATACTTAAGCCCTTTTCTTCTAAGAGACCTGAATATAGAGAACTTTAGTACAAAATGCAGGTCCATCAGTTTTGTCTGAGTTCTTAAGCAATTAGCTTCCTAGCTGAGGTTTTAAGACTGTGTGAGGAGAGTATTATTTTCCATTCTTTACCTCTTCATATGGAGGGACTTTCACTATGGCAACGCTGCTGAATTCTCCCATCTCCCCACCTCTTATATCTGCCTATCTGTAGGGTACAAGAACTGTGGCTGTCTCTGCCCTAGGGTCTGGGGCTGGCTTGCCAGAGGTGGGTTGAGCTGTCCTCAATACCAGGCACCACACGCACTGGCCATAGACCTGTACCTGCATTTTTCATAAGTCTTTTGGTATAAAAAGTGATATTTTGATATCCATTCTTTTTTGTTAATTCCCTAAAATTCCAGAGTATAAGTATCAAAAGTACCAAGACAGGGCTGGGGGTGTAGCTCAGTGGTAGAGCACTTGCCTAGCATGTGTGAGGCACTGGGTTTGATTCTCAGCACCACATAAAAATAAAGGTCCATTAACAACTAAAAAAATATATAAAAAAAGTACCAAGACACCATAAACTAAAATAGTAATAAGAACTAATAGATAGTTATAGCAGCATACCAAAACAAAACTGTTAGCTAAATATCCACTATCCTCAAATAATATGGAACTGTAAACTTTAAATGATGACCAGGCTACACAATTTAATAGGAGATCATCAGTAAAAAAATAGAGGAACCCACAAAGAGGCAGTGATTACATAAGTTCAGAATGAAGCAGAAAAACAAAAAAAGAGCTAGACACAAGAATCAACAGAAGCTCGGATACAAAAACATATCAAAAAAATTGTGCACCATGATCAAGTAGGATTCATCCCTGGGATGCAAGGCTGGTTCAATATACGGAAATCAATAAATGTTATTCACCACATCAATAGACTTAAAAATAAGAACCATATGATCATCTCGATAGATGCGGAAAAAGCATTCGACAAAGTACAGCATCCCTTTATGTTCAAAACTCTAGAAAAACTAGGGATAACAGGAACATACCTCAATATTGTAAAAGCAATCTATGCTAAGCCTCAGGCTAGCATCATTCTGAATGGAGAAAAATTGAAGGCATTCCCTCTAAAATCTGGAACAAGACAGGGATGCCCTCTCTCACCACTTCTGTTCAACATAGTTCTCGAAACACTGGCCAGAGCAATTAGACAGACGAAAGAAATTAAAGGCATAAAAATAGGAAAAGAAGAACTTAAATTATCACTATTTGCAGGTGACATGATTCTATACCTAGCAGACCCAAAAGGGTCTACAAAGAAACTATTAGAGCTAATAAATGAATTCAGCAAAGTGGCAGGATATAAAATCAACACGCATAAATCAAAGGCATTCCTGTATATCAGCGACAAATCCTCTGAAATGGAAATGAGGACAACCACTCCATTCACAGTATCTTCAAAAAAAATAAAATACTTGGGAATCAACCTAACAAAAGAGGTGAAAGACTTATACAATGAAAACTACAGAACCCTAAAGAGAGAAATAGAAGAAGATCTTAGAAGATGGAAAAATATACCCTGTTCATGGATAGGCAGAACTAACATCATCAAAATGGCGATATTACCAAAAGTTCTCTATAGGTTTAATGCAATGCCAATCAAAATCCCAACGGCATTTCTTGTAGAAATAGAGAAAGCAATCATGAAATTCGTATGGAAAAATAAAAGACCCAGAATAGCAAAAACAATGCTAAGCAGGAAGTGTGAATCAGGCGGTATAGCGATACCAGACTTCAAACTATACTACAGAGCAATAGTAACAAAAACAGCATGGTACTGGTACCAAAACAGGCGGGTGGACCAATGGTACAGAATAGAGGACACAGAAACCAATCCACAAAACTACAACTATCTTATATTTGATAAAGGGGCTAAAAGCATGCAATGGAGGAAGGATAGCATCTTCAACAAATGGTGCTGGGAAAACTGGAAATCCATATGCAACAAAATGAAACTGAATCCCTTTCTCTCGCCATGCACAAAAGTTAATTCAAAATGGATCAAGGAGCTTGATATCAAATCAGAGACGCGCCGTCTGATAGAAGAAAAAGTGGGCTACGATCTACATACTGTGGGGTCGGGCTCCAAATTCCTCAATAGGACACCCATAGCACAAAAGTTAATAACTAGAATCAACAAATGGGACTTACTCAAACAAAAAAGTTTTTTCTCAGCAAAAGAAACAATAAGAGAGGTAAATAGGGAGCCTACATCCTGGGAACAAATCTTTACTCCTCACACTTCAGATAGAGCCCTAATATCCAGAGTATACAAAGAACTCAAAAAATTAGACAATAAAATAACAAACAACCCAATCAACAAATGGGCCAAGGACCTGAACAGACACTTCTCAGAGGAGGACACACAATCAATCAACAAGTACATGAAAAAATGCTCACCATCTCTAGCAGTCAGAGAAATGCAAATCAAAACCACCCTAAGATACCATCTCACTCCAGTAAGATTGGCAGCCATTATGAAGTCAAACAACAACAAGTGCTGGCGAGGATGTGGGGAAAAGGGTACACTTGTACATTGCTGGTGGGACTGCAAATTGGTGCAGCCAATTTGGAAAGCAGTATGGAGATTTCTTGGAAAGCTGGGAATGGAGCCACCATTTGACCCAGCTATTCCCCTTCTTGGTCTATTCCCTAAAGACCTAAAAAGAGCATGCTATAGGGACACTGCTACATCGATGTTCATAGCAGCACAGTTCACAATAGCAAGACTGTGGAACCAACCTAGATGCCCTTCAATAGACGAATGGATAAAAAAAATGTGGCATTTATACACAATGGAGTATTACTCTGCATTAAAAAAATGACAAAATCATAGAATTTGCAGGGAAATGGATGGCATTAGAGCAGATTATGGTAAGTGAAGCTAGCCAATCCCTAAAAAACAAATGCCAAATGTCTTCTTTGATATAAGGAGAGTAACTAAGAACAGAGTAGGGTCGAAGAGCATGAGAAGAAGATTAACATTAAACAGGGATGAGAGGTGGGAGGGAAGGGGAGAGAGAAGGGAAACTGCATGGAAATGGAAGGAGACCCTCAGGGTTATACAAAAGTACATACAAGAGGAAGTGAGGGGAAAGGGAAAAATAATACAAGGGGGACAAATGAATGACAGTAGAGGGGGCAGAGAGAGAAGAGGGGAGGGGAGGGGGGATAGTAGAGGATAGGAAAGGCAGCAGAACACAACAGACACTAGTATGGTAATATGTAAATCAATGGATGTGTAACTGATGTGATTCTGCAATCTGTATATGGGGTAAAAATGGGAGCTCATAACCCACTTGAATCAAAGTGTGAAATATGATATATCAAGAACTATGTAATGTTTTGAACAACCAACAATAAAAAATTTAAAAAAAAGAATCAACAGAAGCAACTGTAAGTAGTAGTACTATCTACAGGGATAAAAAAAAAGAACACTTCATGAAGAGATAAAAATAAATGTAGATGGGAAGTCTGAATATTGTCAAGATGTCAATTCTTCCTAAATAAATATATAAATTTAGTATAATTTCAGTCAAAATCCCAGAGGGTGAGCTGGGATTGTGGCTCAGCGGTAGAGCGCTCGCCTAGCACATGGGAGGCCCTGGGTTCGATCCTCAGCACTACATAAAATATTGTGTCCAACTACAACTAAAAAATAAATATTAAAAAAAAATCCCAGAGGGTTTAATTGTTGTTTTGACTTTGAAAAAGCAATTCTACAGTTCATCTGTAAGGATAAATGGGTGAAATGCCATTTACCATTTGGTAGCACATGCCTGTAATCCCAAAGGATTTGGGAGGCTAAGGCAGGAGGATTGCAAGTTTAAGGCCAGCATTAGCAACTTAGCAAGACCTTGTCACAAAATATAAAGGGCCAGGGATTGCTCAGTGACAGAGCACCTCTAGGTTCAATCTCTAGTACTGCTAAATAAATAAATAGGTTAGAATGTTTGAGAAAAAAATAAGATAGAATATGAAAGAATGGGGAAAGGCAGGCTTGTCAGATATTCTAGCTTTCTATAGCTAAAGTAATTCAGGGTGAGTAAAGACTCAAGGAAAGAAAAAACAGAAGGATTGAACAAAATAGATAATTTACCAACAGAACCTAGTAGAGATAAACAGTTAAACTATCAAGGAAATATTATGACTCACTTAATAAAGAATGATTATTCAATAAACGTGTTAGGAAAATATCTGGGGAAAAAACCAAACAGGCTCTTTTTATAATGTGCATAAGGAAAATTGAGTTAAAATCAAAAAGGAAATTTAGAGGCATATATTATCTTAGACTTGAAGAAATTTTTAAAGTAAGCAATGAATTAATAACCTCATGGAAATAGATTTAAGAAAAATAAAAAATAGCTAATGAACATAAAAAACAGTTTCATTTCATTTTGCGATTCCTCATGGCATGAGAGACCGTCTCTCACAAGGAAAATTCAGTGGGTTTGTGTACATCTTGGCAAGCTCAGAAGACCACAAGAAGAAACCCGGTTAAACAGCCTCCTTTCTCTGTCTTTTCTTTTTTAGATCTGAACTAAGGTTTCTGTGAGGCAGCTCAGGGACCCACACAATATTTCTCAGTTACTCTCAGGGCCTCCACATTTTTTGAGTCAAACAGTGAGCAAAACTTATAGATCCATTTTTAGTTAGAGACAGACTAATGACCCAGAAAACTTGGTGGCCTCCAGGGTAGGGCATGTGCTCCCAAGAGGGGAGTCTTACCTCTTGCTCCTCTTTCCGCTTGGCCTCCAACAGCCTCTGCTGCTCCTCCTGAGCCCTCCTTTCCAGCATTTCTTCATGGAAAGACTTGGGAGGGGGCTTGTTATGCTCACTGAGAAAGGACTGCACGTGGTAAGCCAGTTCAAATATCATCACCTAAACATGTCAACAAAAAGCATCCACAAATGATCCAATATGGAGAGGCTACCCAAAGGAGAGGCTACCAAACAGCAAACCAAGCTGGCAATCAGACATGTGGCTATTCAGTTCACTACCACACATTCTGAATTAAGTGTCTGATGCAATCACAGCAAGACAAACTTAAAAAGGACTCACTGCATTGAGTTACAATCAAGACAATCACCCCTGGATAAATAAAAAAGCTCCTTTTCTCTTTTGTAGGCCTATTGAAACTTACTGGCATTTACTTTCTTTATTTTTTTTAATTTTTTTTTTTAGTTATAGTTGGACACAATACCTTTATTTTCTTTCTTTCTTTATTTCTTTATTTAATTTAATGTGGTGCTGAGAATTAAACCTAGTGCCTCGCATGTGCTAGGCTAGCGCTCTACTATTGAGCCACAAGCCCAGCCCCTACTGGCATTTTTTGTATAAAAAGTTCCATGAAATATTTTTCAATACAAATAAATCTGATAAAATATTTAAAACTACATGAAAACAAAAGCTACCTTTCCAATTAGTAAACCTGTTTACATAATGACAATTGCATGGAGAATACACATGTCTAACATCAGAACTTTCATTTGTCCATGAGATATTGAAAATATTCTACTGGGTATACAGAGGCAAATATAAGCCTTCACTATCTTCTCGCTTATAAAGGGTCAATACTTAAAAAAAGTATTTCATCTCCACTTAGGGAAGCATTCACAGATAGAGCCAGGAAGAACAAGCCGCCCTTCCCCTCTGGGCATTCTTAGGAAGACTCTTGCTCCCACCTGAGGCTAAGCCATAATCATACCTAGGTTGGTAAATGGATAGAATCTGGGGCTCTGAGACCTCACTCACACTGTTTGCTTCTCTAGACCCACAGCAAAGAGTTTCAAACTTCTGCAGATGAGAAACACATTACTGAAATTTCTTTTTTTCTCAATTATGATAAAGGAATTTAAAACTTCTTAGTTCTATATATGCTTAAAACATATAATAATAATAAAAAAAACAGCTTCTAAATGGACCTAACATGGTGGTCAATAATAGCAGAAGTCACTGTACATGAGAATATAAAGTGGGTTTGTCTGGTACTGTATTTTCTCTCATGGAGCAGATGCCAACAAGCCATAGCTCCTGACGGGTGAAGTTAATACATTTTTAAATTTATACCAGAAGTTGTGGTATATACTGGATATATATTGCTATAAAGTTGAAAAAAACAATCTGAAGTCTAAGAGATAAGTTCTTCTAAGAAAAGTTCTTCCAAGGAAAGCTGGAAAAACCAGGTAGTTTCTATTATGTTAAAGAGAAACCATTTTCAAACTAGAAAGGAGTAGGAGTCACACTGTGGAGGGTCTTTCTTTTAATTTACTAGCATTTTCTGTACAAATAACTCTGATAAAGTTTATAGGACAGGAAGAAAATAACTACTTTCCAAACTCCCTCCCTCCATACTACATGATTCATGGTTTTTGCCTCAGGCCTCTGCTCAGATCCCAGAGACCTCTCTCTCCTGAAGGCCTGCTCCTTGTGCAAACCTATCTACTCACCATCCAGCTCCAGACCCCTTACCATAATTTTTCTTCATAGCACTTAGTATAGCCTGATTTACTACACTGTCATTAGATTGCTTTCCGTCTGCTGCCCTCACGGCATGGTCAAATATTTTCTCACCGTAGTCTTACCAGAGCTGAGATGGTGCCTGGCTCATGTTAGATAGGTAATAAATATTTGTTTCATGAATTAGTAAAAAATATTGAATTTGACTTTGCTCATTGTAAAAAATAAAGCCTAAGTTACATTTAAATTTACTTTTATAGGACTGATGAACAAAAAGCTGCTATGCAGATTAAAAATGATTCAGAGGCAAGTGGAAGTGCTAAAACACATGTTTTGGAGTGCCTATTCCTCCCATTCAAATAATTAAATGACTCATTATTTAATAGCCAGTTATCAGCAAGTGCCATACCACAATGAATCTCTAAGCCACACTTTAATACCTAATTACACTCTATTTTACTTGAAAATAAAAACAATTTCTTTAGAATTATGTGCATTTTAGATTTCCCAGTACTTCAGATTTAGTGGAAACAAACATTAGACAAACAAGAATAGCAATCTGCAGGATACATTCCCATGCTTGGCACCCTTTCAAATCTTAATATATGAGGTGTTTCAGATGAGTACTAATTTTTTTTAAATTGTGGCAAAATATACACAACATAATATTTACCATCTTCAACATTAAATCTACATTCATTCAGTAATGTTAAGTGCATTTACAATGTTGTTACCATCTTCAACAACGATTTTCAAAACTTCCTCATCTTTCCAAACTGAAACTCTGTACCCATTAAACAACTCTCCAATTTTTCCTCCCCTCCATTCCTGGCAACCACTTTCTGTCTCTATGAATCTAAGAATCATATAAGTAAAATCATACAGTGTTTGTCTTGTGACCAGCTATTTCATTTTGTGTTATAGCAAATGTCAGAATTTTCTTTCTCTTAAGGCTAAATAATGCTCCACTGCATTTTGATCTTCTTTCTCCTGGGCTATATATGGTATGATACTCTCTTATAATGTTGGGTAGTGATGGTCACATGCAGCTCCCAGCCAGCTATATGATGGGGCAGAAGGGAAAACTACAGATACTCTATAGTATACTGTGTTGCTACACTATGATGTTCAGTAGGTTAGGTATAGTAAATGCATTTTTTTTTAATATTTATTTTTTAGTTTTAGGCGAACACAATATCTTTATTTTTATGTGGTGCCGAGGATCGAATCCAGTGCCTTACACATGCTAGGCGAGTGCTCCACCACTGAGCCACAGCCCTGGCCCAGTAAATGCATTTTTAACTTAACAATAAGTTTATTAGGATTAACCCCATCATATGTCACGTAGCACCTATATATGAATATTTATAGTAACTTCATTTGCAGTAGCTCAAAACTGGAAAAAAAAAGTTTTTTTTCATCTGGTGAATGGCTAAAGAAAGTGTTACATCCTTACACAGAATACTATTAAGCAGTAAGAAGTAACAACTACTGATACATGTAACAATGTAGATGGATCATCAGAGAATTATGCAGGAGAAAAAAGCCAATCTCAAAAGATTACATACTATATGTAACATTCTTTTTTTATTATTTATAATTTTTAGTTGTCAATGGACCTTTATTTTATTTATGTATATGCAGTGCTGAAAATTGAACCCAGTGCCTCATACATGCTAGGCAAGTGCTCTACCATTGATCCACAATCTCAGCCCTATGTAACATTCTTAAAATGTCAAAAGTATAGAAATAAAAATCAGATCAGTGGTTGCCAGGAGTGAAGGAAAGGATGAAAGGAAAGTACAAAGGGGCAACATGAAAGATCCTTGTGGAGATGACTAATTTTACATTTAGACTGTATCAATGTCAATATCCTGGGTATGATACTGTACTAGAGTGTCACAAAATGTTACCACTGGGGCAAAGCAGGTAGAGAATAATATAGGCTCTTTCTGTATTACTTATAATTGGAAGTATATCTATAATTACCTCAACATTAAAAGATTAATTTGGGCATTTTTAAGGCAATTTTAGGCACATTTAAAAAAATTACAAATCGGAAAACCAAGAAATCTGAGGATTATCTGTAGCTAAACTTTCAAAATAATTCCATCATATTATTTTTCCATTATACATTAGAGCACCTTACACTTGAAAGAACTTTGGAATAATTCCCAAGGCCTAGTTTTTGATCCAGGGAGTTCTGTAATCACTTTCTGTACCTCATCAACCACTGAAGTTCTTGAAAACTAAGAACTTAAGTGGATAAATTTTTATTTTATTATTATCCAAAAGGTACTTCACAGACTGCATTATGACTCACTACATTATGGAATATAAGTGAAAATCTGTCTAGTCACTTTCTAAGGGGTGAATGTTACCTATAGTTATCTTTAACATAGGCCTGTCAGACTCTGAGCCCTAGGACTAGTCCTCGTTTAACTCTTACCAGTTTTTACAAGATGTGATAATTAAGCATGAGCTGTCTTAAATGGTACAGTATGGATCTGGATTGTCTCTCACATACCCTTGTGTTAAAGACCTGGTCCCTGTTTGGCTTTATTGGGAAGTGGCAGAACCTTTAAGAGGTGGGGATCAGAGGGAGGTCTTCAGGTTATCAGGCATGTATGTGCCCTGGAAGGAGATAGTGGGATCCAAGCCCCTTCTTCTTCCTCTCTTTGACTTCCTCTCTTTGACTTACCATGAGGTAAGCAGTGTTTTGCTTTGCTATGCATGTCTACCATGACATGCTCCCTGGCCACAGCCTTAAAGCAACAGGGTCAATCAATCATGGACTAAAACCTCCAAAACTATGAGCCAAAACAAACCTTTTCTCTTTATAAATTGATTTATCTGAGTTATTTGTTATAGTGATAGAGAGCTGACAAAACATCTTGCAAAAACAGTGATTTTACACACAAGTCAGGAAAAGATGAATTATATTTAAAGGGAATTGGCTGGAGCTGGGCATGCGGGCAAACACCTATAATCCCAGCGACTCAGGAGGTTGAGACAGGAGGATCACAAGTTCAAGGCCAATCTGCACAATTTAGCAAGGCCTTAAGCAACTTAGTGAGACCTAGTCTCAAAATAAAAAATAAAAAGGGCTGGGGATGTGGCTCAGTTATAAAGTACCCTAGTTCAATTCCAAGTACCAAACAAACAAACAAACCAGAAAAAAATGGAATTGTCCTGGTCTGAGGAAAACACAGCAATACTCTTCTCCCCCAGGAGTCATCTAGTCTTGCCCTCAGAGTTCTGCCATCAAGGAAAACTCAAACTAGACCCTGATGTTCAAAGGATTAAAAAATTAGTACTGAGCTCATTGTAAATGTTCAGGTCCAGAACAGACACTGAAGGAGTAGAGTATGTCACTAGTTATTGAGAAGAAAAACAACGAGTTTTTCTGATATGCTAAAGGGAGAGGTCGCAGAGTTTGGTCAGAAATCACTTTTCTATATTTTACAACAGAAAAGTTCAAGTCAAGGGGCTGGGGATGTGGCTCAAGCGGTAGCGCACTCGCCTGGCATGAGTGCGGCCCGGGTTCAATCCTCAGCACCACATACACACAAAGATGTTGTGTCCACCGAAAACTAAAAAATAAATACTAAAAATTCTCTCTCTCTCTCTCTTAAAAAAAAAAAAAAAAAAAAAAAAGTTCAAGTCAAGATGTGCTCATGACACTAGATCCAAAGTATGCAAAAAAGTATACCTAAGTTTGCATCAGCTGTTTTCAGAACAACTCTTAAGCATCAATAGTACCATCTGTACTCACTCTATAACTTGTAATTCATAAATACTGTAAATTAAACAAATACAAATAAACAACTCTCTCTGTGTGGATATCAGGATGACACAAAACATTCTAGTCAGTATTGGATTTGAGGTGCAATGGCAAAGTTTCAAAGTCAAGGCAAATGCTGGTGAGCACATGGGGATTGTTACTGTCTCTTATAATTCTAGCTTAACAAGACTTACCTCCCCACAATGTTTTCTGGCCAGTTCCTCTAGGCGGGATTTTAACAAATTAACACTTTCATTTGACAAACCTTTGGCATTCTTTAACTCTATTTCAGGAACTCTGGAGAGGGGGGGAAAAAGGAGTTACATCAGAAAGAACAGCCTGTTCACATTCTCATTCACTTAGTTCCCAGCACAATTGAGGGCCTGAGGGTTCTACACAGACCTTGTATTTGAATCTCTCCCTGTAACCACCAACACTTTCCTTAATCTCAAAATGATTTCAACCATATCTCAGCAACTCCAGTTGACACAGTGCTTAGTAAGGACTAGCTGAACCTGGTGGAGAAGTGGGCGGGCCAAAGTCTTCAATCTGGGCTGTTAGGTACTCTACTTCCTAAGGAGACCCAGACTTATCTCTCAACTCCTTAGTCTCTGATATCAGTTTTCTAATCTGATTAAAATTTCCCAACATCAGTTACTATTGATTGCCTCTGATTTGCCCTTAATCCCCAAATCTGAGTTTCTGCTGTGGAAAAAAATCTAATCATTTCTGCTCTCACTCTGAGTAACTTAACTATGCACTCTTTTGTATGGTAATCCTCTACCCTAGCTTGCATCCAGTGTCAATTGACCTAGCCCTGACAGCTCAATGGCCAGAGTTCAAGTGCTACGCACTCTTTTGCATGCTCTGGCATAAAGCAGAACAAGAATGCTAGGTGAAACAGAGACATGGTGATCCATCTAGCACTCCTACAACAGGCTGTGCCCCAATCACATTCTGGTTGTAAACAAGGACACGCTCACTGGCTCATGAATAAATATAGTCATGTACATTCTGGAAACTCTGCCTATTCCAAGGACACCTAATTCACACTCCTCCTCATCCCCAAGAGCTCATCTAAGTCAACATTTCTAATTAAGGATATTACAAACCAGCCCTTGAGTTTCCTTGCATTTCCAACAAATAAACATCCAATAACAACAGTCTAGGATTAAACAGGATTTATTTAATTTTATAGATAAGACGATTCATCACTTCCTATTAAGCATTTCTGAGTAATTCTGGCATTTTAGATTACTAAAGTCTTGCCTATTCACCTTTTTTTTAAAAAATATTTACTTTTTAGGTTTTTTTAGATTGGCACAATGTCTTTATTTTATATTTATGTGGTGCTGAGGATTGAACCCAGTGCCTCATGCATGCTAGACGAGCGCTCTACCACTGAGCCACAACCCCAGCCCCGCCTATTCACCTTTCTATGCATTCTCTCAACACTTATCTTTCATTTACTATGATAGGTTGCTATAATCATTATCTGCCTGGACAGACAGAAATCTGGAATATGGTAGTCTGAGAAAAAGAATAGAAGTGTCATACAGTCCTGGTTCCATGTACAGTCCATCCCACCGAGGATTCTCTCTCTCTCAGAGTGGCTTCAAGGATGATTTGGCATAAAAGAAAGTTTTCTTTTACCACATCATTTTTAAAGGATGACAATATTCCCCCAAATCAAACCTTACATAATTATTTTTTTAAAAAATTAAGCAATCATTGTATAATAATATTAATAGAATGGTATAAAAGTCATCTTTAATACTAGTTAAACTCTAACATTTTCTAATGTTTTATGTCCTTGCTGCATGACTAATAATTTTATGTAGTTGATACAAAACTTAATTTTTCTTGGCGGGGTATACCAGGGATTGGACTCAGGGGCACTCGACCACAGAGCCACATCCCTAGCCCTATTTTGTATTTTACTTAGAGACAGAATCTCACTGAGTTGCTTAGGGCCTCACTAAGTTGCTGAGACTGGCTTTGAACTTGTGATCCTCCTGCCTCATCCTCCCAAGCCACTGGGATTACAAGTGTGCACCACCACACCCGGCTTTCACTTAATTTTTAAAAAATACTTCCTTATTGTTAAAAAAAATCCCATAATATTTTATTAAGTGGATACATTAAGATTTATCTGACTAGTTCTGTAGTATAGTTCTCACCCAGGAGCAATTGTGTCTTTAAGTGGACATCTGTCAATATCTGGAGACTTTTTTGGTTGTCACAACCTGGGAAGAAGGTACTTCCTGTATCTCTATATCTACTCCCTATATCTAGAAGTCAGGGATGTTATTAAACATCCTATAATGTATAGGATAACTCTCACAATAAAGAATTATCCTGCTGAAGCCAAGCACAGTGGCATGTGGCTTGAGAGGCTGACAGGAGGATCGTGAGTTCAGAGCCAGCCTCAGCAACTTAGCGAGGCCCTAAGCAACTCAGTGAGACCCATCTCTAAATAAAATTTTTTAAAAGGGCTGGAGATATGGCTCAGTGTTTAAGCATCCCTGAGTTCAATCCCTGGTACCAAAAAAAAAAAAAAAAAGCATTATCCTGCTGACATGCCAAAAGTGCCAAGGCTGAGAAAGCCTGCTTTAACTGTTTAAAAAATTTAGACTGTTCCAATTAATTTCTCTACTTTCATAAATAATGCTACAATTAATATTTTAGCACTTAAGTACCCAAGTTTTTCTTTGATTTGTCAAGAGTAAACATTTTGAATTCTTGAGTCTATGAATGTATAAAAAAAGTATATATAGAGTCCTTGATCCCAGTTCCTGGCGCAAGAGCCCCTATCACCCTTGGAATCTCCTGGGTGACAGAGGTAAGAAGAGCATCTTGAGCTGATCATAAAAAACCTTTTCAACTATACTGGCCTATATGTGGATGAGGTTGACTCTTGTTGGGTGCCTGCATAGTGTCAGAATAGGGGCTGATTACCAGAAAAACCAAATTTGGACTACAAGATGAGAAATTTCAACCCTACTCCAAACTAGTGTGAGGAGAGCAGGGCTGGAAATAGAGTTCAAGAACCAGTGGCCAATGATTTAAATAAGTGATCATGCTTATAGTATAAAACCTCCATAAAACCCCGAAATAACAAGGATCAGGTGGGTTGATGAATACATGGAGAGGCCAGAAGCTCCATGCCCCTCCCTCATGCCTCACCTATGCATCTTTCTCATTTGACTATTTCAGAGTCATATCTTTTACAATAAGCTGGTAAATATAAATATTTTCCTGAGTTCTGTAAGTCATTCTAGTAAATTATCAAACATGAGGAGGAGGCTGTAGGAACCTACAAATTTATAGCCAAAATTTGTAAGTCAGAGGAAGTACTGCAAATTGCAACAGGCATCATTTATTGAACTGATATCTTAACCCGCGGGGTCTGTGCTAACTATGGATAGCTAATGACAGAACTGAATTGCCGGATTCCCGGACGGTGTCAGAAAGACACCATGTATTAGGTGTTAGGAAACAACCAACCTTCCTGAAACAAAAACAAACAAACAAACAAAACCAAAACAAAACAAACAACTAGAGAGGCAATGTCTTCATTTTCTTTCATAAATTTAATTCCTTTTCTTCATTAATTAATCTTTTATATGCCCACTATGTGTACACTCAGTATAATGTTGAGGGCAAAAGAAAGTTATTGACTTGCAAGAGCTCAGTTTTGACCTGTCTGTCTCTTAATAGTCTTAATAACCTCTTTATCCACCATAGAAAGCACTGCCATCTTTTATTTGCCACTTGCCTTCTCAGAAACCCTCACTGGTTCCCTGTATGGTAAATTCAAACCACTTAATATCATCCAGGTCAATCGGTCTTTCCAGATGAAGGTCTGGGGATAGATACATAAGACCACTTGAATCCTAATGGCTAATAATTTTGCTCTAACCAGTGATCCTCAACCAGAGATGATATAGCCGTGTGTGTGAGTGTGTGTGTGTGTGTGAGAAAATATGAAGGTTTTATTGTTGTCTCAATGATTGGCAAATGCTCCTGGCACTAGTGGGTAGGGACCAGGGATGCTAAAGGTCCTGCAGTGCAGGGGATAGCCTTGCACATTGATGGCTGACCAGTTACACTGAGAAGTGCCACAACTCTAAACATTCTTTGGGCCGTAAAAATTGAGGTCAGTCACAGAAGGTGATCTAATTTCCAATGCCAATCACACCTTAAAACTAAGTACATGAGTGATTTAAGTAGTCGCTAAGCTTTTATCCTTTTCTTCAAGATTTGTTCTCTTCCTAGTTTATGAAGAATTAAATAAATTAATGTTAACATGTCAGAAGAAACAAACAAGTCACTGAGCAAGTATTAGTATTTGTAGGGAGTATCCTACAACGATAAACAGACTTAAAACAAGACAGATTTCATGAAAATGTCTATAGCTGATATGCTTCTCTTAAAATACAGATGATAGGAAATGAAATTTTATGTATAATGGCAGGGGGAGAAAATACTGTTGACCTTAAACTAAAATCACATCAAAGCTATTTATAAAGGTACTTACACATCTGGGTAGGTTGGTGGGCATTTAACTCTCAAATCCACTTTCACATAAACTTCTTCACCAGTTAAGCCCTGAGGGTACAGAACTAAATTGATTTCAGGGGGCTCTTTGACCTAAAAGAGAAAAACATTATTTTTCCCTCCCAAGAGAGTCAATCTTAACCATTAAGATAATGATCACTTTAGCTCAAAAGTTCTACTTCCCAAATATTATAATAATTATATTTTACTTTGATGTTGGGTCATATTTTCCAAAAGCATGGTTTAAAAAATAAAATATGTGCCAGATAAAATGCATTTTTCCTTTTCAAATTTATTAAAGGATTTAACCAAAATGTTCTGCTTAGTTTCCATTCATTCAAATGTCACTGAGTGCTGAGTATATGCAAAGTATTGCCCTAGAGGCTAGAAATGCAGGAATAAATTTAGATAGACACAGTCCCAACTAACTGATACAAATTAGAGGATATGTAAATAATTTCATTAGTGATGAGAGCTATAAAGAAAATAAGACAGAGTAATGGGACATAGTGGCAGGGGAAAAGAAGGCATCTAAACAGGTGGATCAGGGAAGGCCTCTGTGAGAAGGGGATACAAATTAGGGTAATCATTTTCCAAAATGTGTGGGACCAGAAGTGCTTCAAATTTCAGTTTTTTTTTTTTTTTTGGAATATTTGCACAGACTTAAAAAAAATGTGAACTTTGGAACATTTTCAAATCCAGATTTTCAAATTAAGAATGCTCCACCTGTATTTGAATTGAGATTTGAATACTGGGATATCAACAAAGGAAAAATCCTGACTTGAAGATATCTGATAGCTCTTCTAAAATTGCATGTGCTTTTCCAATCAACCGCTTTTCACCCAATTACCAAAAACTCTATTCTTTGATTCACTGACATACAGTTTCCAAAAAGGATATGAGGCAATTTATGTTTTACTTATATAACAGAAAAGGGGAGACCGAAGAAAAAACATCTACTAAGTGCACCTATAGTCCAGGCACTTTAGCAACTGCAAGGTAGATGCCATCCCCATTGTACAGATATAGCAGAGTTTAAGATTCTTGCCACAGAAACAGTGACAGAGCTAAATTTCAAACAGCTTTGACCCTATAACCTGTGGCTCTCTCATAAGACACTTTTATTAAAGCCAATCCTGAGTTAATGTGATTGAACCTTGACTTTTTCTTTGAACATCCAGGAAGAAATGGCAAAGACAGAAATGTGATCATATCAGAAAGGAGAAAGATTAAAAAATTCTTTCAGGTGCAACACTAATTTCTACATAAATTTATAACGTGAACCTTAATATGTATCCTGAACCATATAACAATGTTCTCATCAACTATGTGTATAAAATCTGTAAAATCAAGTTTATATGGCTTTATAATAATCCTTGACAAAAGCTGTGGGTCTTCCAGTATAGCCTGAGTGTGAATATGGTCCTGAAGAGGGGTCAGCATTCCAAGGCCCATGAAGCCTTTCCTTGACTCATTCACTCTCCATGCATCAGTTGCCCACACTTACTCAGTGCCAACTCTATGTCAGGCACTGGGCTGAGTTCACGGGGGTAAGAACACAGTTGTGGTTCCAACTGTCAGGGAACTTCCTATCTGATGAGGGAAACAAAACTCATAAACATGTAAGTACACAATTATAGCAATGCAGCCTGTATTGTTTAGAAAGTGCTACTGAAGAGACAAGGTGGTGCTCTATGCAGAGAACATGTGGGTGTGAGGGAACATGCTTAGATGGGGTCACCTGGGAACACCTGAGGATGTAGCATTTAAACTGAGACTCCTCAGAGACCATGCACTCCAGACAAGGGAAGAACATGTAAAGACACTCAGAAGTGAGTATGAGATTGGTATGAGCCAAAAATGAAAAGGAGGCTGGTATGTTTGGAACACATCAGGAAAGGGAAGGCCAGGTAAAGCAGGTAGATAGAAAATGGCTGGATTCCACAGAGCCTCATCAGTCAAGCGAATTATTTGGCAGAATTTTAAGGGGGGAATGATATGGTCTACCATATATTTAAAAACATGGCTTTGGCTGCTGAGTAAAAAATGAATGGGGATGATAAAAGCAGAAGGAAATAACCATTTCAACAGAGTTGGGAATGTGGCTCAGTGGTAAAGCACTTGCCTAGCATGCATGAGGCCCTGGTTTTCATTCCAAGCAACCCCCCCACACACAAAAACAAAACAAAACAACAACAACAAAAACCCCACAATTATAACATGCAGCCTGTGTTGGTAGCAAAGGTGAGAAAAAGAGAAAATTAATTTTGAGGTAAAGCTGATAAAAAGATCAGGTTGTGAAGGAAGCAAATGGAAAGAGCCTTGTCCAGATGCATGAGGAGGTGGTATAGGGCAGAAAGCATTTACAACTGGAGGAGGAGGAGGACCGCCTTGCCAAGAGCAGGTCTCATGGGAACGGAACACATACCCTACAGTGTTGAGAAGTGCTAGGTAAGGAAGTGGACACTGCAAGTGCAGACAACTCTTTCAAGGTTTGGGTATTAAGGGACATTATGAATGGTGCCAGAGACTGGGTGTGGATGGAGGGAATATGAAATTAACGGAAGAATTTTTGTTCTGTTTTGAAAGGTAGGAAATACTACAGCATGTGAGGACACTGATGGCAATGTTTTTAAAGAGCAGAAAAGATACAAATTAGGACCTAAAGCTGCAAAACCCTTTAGAGGGCGGAAGCCAATGGATCCTAGACATGCCAAGACAGTTGGACTTCAACAGGAGGAGGGGCTCCATTTCCAGAGAAACAGGAGGGAAATAGCAGGAGTAGAGGCTGGTGGGTTTCCTAAGAGGAGCCTCAAAGGGTGAGTGATGAGACCAAACAGGCTCCAGGCCTCCTGTTCTTCTTCAACCACAGCAGCCCAGCTTTCACTGCTTTATATTTTAGGAGGAATTCAACATAGGAATCATTTTAGCTGCTAAGGGTGCTTAAAAAGACATGAGAAACTATGCCTTCACCAATCTCCTTAAATAGCCTCACTTAAAAAAAAAAAACAAAACTTTTTAAATGGAATTTTTCAAACAGAAAGCAGAAATAATGGTATAATGAACCCCCTATATCCACTATCTAGTTTAACAATTACCAACTTAGAGCCAATACTTGCCATATCATAGGTTGTTCCTCCCTACACTATCATCTTAGGATTTAGGATTTACTTATTCTGAAGTAAATCCAATGAATGAGTCTTCCTGAATTACTGTTACTCATTTTATATCAACAGTCTAGTGAAGGAGGGAGGTTACATATATGTCCACTTTGGGAAAACAAAACCAAAAGCAACCCAGAGACCCCTTTCTCCTGGCTGGGAGCAGGAGGCCACAGGATGCCTGGAGTTACTATGAAAGATGGAAACCAGAAGGAGTCTCTCAGAGCTCTGGCAGCTGTCCTCAACAAGTCCTGGAAGTTGAAAGTCTCCAAAGGGTAGATGAAGTCAAGCGGGCCAAAAACAAAGAGGTTGCTTCCTAAGAAGAGAACTGCACACAAGCAGCTTTCACAGCATAGTACCTGTACCTCCAGGGCGGTGCTGCAGTTGGTTCCATGACCAAGATCTATGGGGGACCTTAGAGAGACGAGGTCATGCCCAGCCACTTCAGCTAAGGCTCTTGACTTGGTCCACAGAGTCCTCCAAGCCCAGGAGAGGCTGATAATGGTGGAAAAGGACCAAGTTGGAGGTTGTAAACTGATACCGTAAGGGCAGAGAGATCCAGATAGAATCACCAGTCTGGTGGCAGCTGCCAACAAGAAGTATTAGAACAAACAGGTTAATAAATCGCCTGATTTGTTAAAAGCAAAAACAACAGAGAGGAAGGCTAGACAGAATTTTTCCAGTGGCTTTCTCTAGCAGGTCAAATCTTGACAGACTTTCTTATCTCACTGGCCATAAATTTCAGAAAGACACTATGATCATCAATTCATAATTTTGTTAAGAAAATATTTTTTTCCCTATCTTTTCCTGTTTGTCACTTTAGAAAGTACAGAACACAGTATTTTAATGTCAAATCTATAAAGAAGCACAAAAATCTAAGAATACAATAGAGTCCTAAGAAGGGTCAATTTATCTTTTACTAATCTACTTTCACTTTATCATTTTGCTAATGACCAATGAAAATAATATTTCAGAAAAGTGAGAACAGTGCTCTAAATTCATACTGACTGTCATAGCTTAAAACAGGCAAATGAAACAAGAAGCTAGAAAAGTAAGGGAAGATGCCATACAGATGGTCTTCATAAAGTAAGGTATTTGAGAGCTAGCAAGCCCAATGTGAAGGATCGAAGTAAGGATGCTACCTGGGAGTAAAAGCCTATCTGCTGATTTTGAAGGAAGAAAACCGAAGTAGTACCTTATAATTGGAAGGAGCAAAAACCGTAAGTATCAGCAAGATGTATAAGCAGAAATTACAAACGCAAACCAAGGTTCTTGGGCTCAGATTAAAAAGAATTTGTGAGGAACACTTAGATAGCTTTTGAGGTGAGTTATCTCCACAGATGGAAGGTAACAAATCTGGTTTAAAATTTACCTTTTTGCCTGGGGATGTGGCTCAAGCGGTAACGCGCTCGCCTGGCATGTGCGCAGTGCTGGGTTCGATCCTCAGCACCACATACAAATAAAATAAAGATGTTGTATCCACCGAAAACTGAAAAATAAATGTTAAAAAAAAAATCTCTTTCTCTCTCTCTCTCAAAAAGAATTAAAAAATAAATAAAATTTCCCTTTTGTCTTTTTTTCCCCAGGAGTTGAATGAATTTTTATACGTTAACACAGGTGGTATTCCAGTGTTTACCATCCTGAGTAGAAAGAAACAATTTTTAGCATACATGTATTTTATAAAGTCAAAACAGAATTTTCATTCACAGTCAATACTGTAGATTCTATGTTATGATGAATTCCAAGAACACAAAATTTCTGCCCCAGAAAATGTACTTTTCAGTTGTAACATCTTCAAAGAGTTTTTAGTTTGTCTTTATCTTATTCTTTTTTTTTTGAATTTTTTAAAATTTATTTTTTAGGTGTACATGGACACAACACATACCTTTATTTTTATGTGGTGCTGAGGATCGACCCGGCCCCACTCATGCTAGGCGAGTGCTCTACCGCGGAGCCACAATCCCAGCCCCTATCTTATTCTTTTTGACTGTGACATATAAAAGATTCCTGCATGAATTCCTATTCATTGGGAACTGCTGAAAATACTTAACCATCACACAGGAATGTGTACTATGGCAAGAGCACCCAAACTAGAGTACTGGTTTGTGATCTCTAAGCCAAAAGGATTCTTGACTTGTCTTATCTAATTTGTCAAAACTATTGTGCTGAACTGGGTCTCTTCTGAATTTCTCAGAATTACTGGATTATTACAACTAAACCATCCTAATACCAGGCAAGTAGTCATGATGAAGCAGGTAGAGGTAGAAAAGCATTGAATATTCAGATTATTACCAGAAAAAACAGAGCTATCAGGGTCTCCTGGGTTAAATCTGGCTCCAGGTACCCAGGTCAGGTCAAGTCAAGTCAGTCAGCTAGGCCCAGCCCTCCCTTTTTCTTTATATAAGCAGTAAAGAGTATCCCTGAATGTGAAACCTTGGGAAAGAGCATGGCTTGGTCATTACTTTATTCTGAAGCACTGGAACAGGAAGCAAGTTTCAGGAAACAGTGGCTTATTGGAGGACTGCACATTTCTAAGATATTCTTTACTAAATGGAATGTTTAATAAATGTACTCTATTCAACAAATAGAATTAAAGATTGGCAAGCCTTAGGGAAAGAGGCCTTTCTCAGCCAGCCCTAAGGCCACTAAGTATGGATGGGAAATTGGTGTGCAGGACCCTGGGGCCAATAAAAGCAGAGTTAGAATCCTGTAACCACTTCTGGGTTGGACCAGCCATAAAATATCAGGGAGGTCTAGTGTTCTAGGTACTTCCATAGCATAGCAACATGAGCAGGTCAACAGTGGAAATGGTAATAAGCCCAGATAACACCAAAACAAACTTTTAGAAAAGAGGAAAGAATTTTGATAAAAAGTGAAGGACTCATGATGCATAAAGATTTCAGCTTTAAAAAGCATATGAATCCAGTGATAGGAACATGAATCCAGTGGATGAAGGAACAGACCACAGCCACTGAAGAATGACAGAAAAATCCAATAATTTGTCAGGATTGAGTACCAAGGCCAACTCAAAATGAGAAGAGCAAGACATTGAAGCTGTTGGGATGACTGGTTACTTTTAAGGCCTTTATTTTGGCCTACAGAGTTTAATGACCAGAGTGGCATTTCTCTCCATAAGTCACAGACTTTGGGGGTTTTTCTCAGCAAAGACTATTATCTTCAATATCTGTTCTTATTTTTATTTCATAGCAACAGAACCTCTGACCTTTTAGCTGAATACATTTCCCAGGCTCCTTTGCAGATACATGTGAACACTGGATTGATTTCTGGACAATCAAATGAAAGAAGAACTGTCATATGCAATTTACAGGAAGTGACCTTAAAACAAAGGGAATCAACTTTTTCATCCCTTTCTCCTTTCAGCCAGCTGGAATATAGGTGTGAAAGCTAGAATTTGGACAGCTATGGGAGACCATGAGGGGCATAATGATGATGGGACAACAGCAAAATAGAAGAGGTCTTAGACTCTGGACTTCTACATGCAAAAATATTAACTTTGTTGTTAAATTTTACTGTCATATGTGGCCAAACTTAATCCTATCTGTTACAATCTCACTGAAAGAAAAACAAACAAAACCCCTAAACAAAATCCCCAAACCACTCAGAGAATAGTGCTTTCAGAGATTAGAGCAGAATATTTGTTAGGCTTTTCTCAAGCAAACAGAAAAATTTCTCAGCATGTGAAGAGGCATTTTGCAAGATGTGTTTAGGATACCAAGAATCAGCTCATATTAGGGCATTTAAGGACTCTGGGAGTTGAAGAGAATTTGATTAAAAATCTTACAGCCCAGGTATACTGAGCGGATACTGGGAGTAGGCTGGGGGGGGTCTCCTTTATGCATAGAAGACAAATGGTCATTAGAATGCTAAAAAAATTGTTGACTTAACCTGCACAAAGAAATTATGCATTCCTGGGATATTTGCAGGCAAACAAACACAAAGTAACAGGCAACCAAAACCTTTTGAGAGCATTAAAGGAGAGGAAAAACACAGGTTGTATCATTTGTAAATATATAACATCATAAATGAGAAAAAAAATTGTTCTGAACACTGGAAATGCAGGTGACACGAATACAGAATAAGAAGTCATTTAAAAAAAAAAGAAGTCATTTAGAGAAGATCACATATTGCTATAAGATATGAATTATATTTGCTTCCTAATAGGATCATAAACTTTGATACCCTCCTGATATGTTACAATATAGTTAAACAAATCCTCAAGCATATTAAAAAGTAAAATAGATGCAAATTCAGTCCTAAAACTTAACATAAAGGTGGCATTTCAAATTAGTAGTGAAAAAGACTGAAAATCTCAACTGATTGACTAACTGGGGGTGTGGAAGATTACACAAAGAGGGTGACCTAGACCTACATGATAGAGCTAAGGTGGAATTTTTTTTTTTTAATGATATTTTTATATTTATTTTTGTGGCATTTAGGATTAAACTTAGCTGTACCAGTGAACTTCATCCCCAACCTTTGTAAGAATTTTTTATTTTGAGATACAGTCTAAGTTACCCCGGCTGGACTTGAACTTGTGATCCTCCTGCTTCAGCTTCCTGAGTAGCTGAGATTTACAGACATGCAGCACAATACCCACCTACACCCAGTTATTTCTATATTTATTTGATGAAAATTTAAAAATGAAGTCATGAAAAATTAAATAAAATCTCAAAAAATCGTTTTTGTTTGGTAACATTGGGGCAGAGAAGTTTTTTCTTAGGGGAAAAAATCCAAAGTGACAACAATACAAAAAATAGTTCATTTTGATTCCATTAAAAATGTTTAATTGTGGGCTGGGGATGTGGCTCAAGTGGTAGCACGCTCGCCTGGCATGCGTGCGGCCCGGGTTCGATCCTCAGCACCACATATAAACAAAGATGTTTTGTCTGCCGAAAACTAAAAAATAAATATTAAAATTCTCTCTCTCTCTCTTAAAAAAAAAAAGTTTAATTGTGTAAATTACATAAATATAAAATATGCATGTTTAATCAGGGTAAATATTTATAATATATGATGACTCAAAATGATAATTTTTCTAACATATATCTGCCTACCTCTTACAAATAAGAAGATACACCGCAGAATAGAAAAATAAAAGAACACAAACAATTCATAGAAAAAAAAAATCAATGGCGTACAAACAAAGGTGAGCTATATAATTTATAACCAAAGAAATAAAAATTAAAACATGTTTCATTGATCTACTAGCAAAGATGAAAAAGTCTGATATATACAATGATAGCGAAGAAGAAGGAAAACAAACGCTCGTCTAGTGTGTGTGAGGCACTGGGTTGGATCCTCATCACCACACAAAAATAAATAAGTAAAATAAAGGTATTGTGTCCATCTACAACTAAAAAAATATTAAAAAATAAATTATAAGGGAGCAGTCCCTTTGCTGATATGGAAAGCTAGCCAAGATAAATAACAATAATAATTTATAACTGTCTTTTAACTATAAGTTATAGTTTAAACTAGTGGTATCCAAACTTTTTTATTTATAGCATAATTTTTAGTACAGGACTCCAAATGTTTCTTTATAAATGATATACATATGCTAAACTGAATTTACATTATAACACTACCCAAAAATTTTTTTAAAATCTCTTTGAAGGTATTGGCAGCAAATTTGGCCAGAATCGATACAAGATTATTAATAGTCTTTGTCTTGTTTAGTGTGAAAGTTGAATATTCATTCTTGATTTTTGGATGCTGCCCAAAACTTGGAGGAAGTCATTAGATAGTGTGGAACATGTACCCATGAATGTGAACAGGAACAATTCTGAAAGCCATCAGGCCTCAGGCGTTCTGGATAAAGGATTGTGGACCTGCATAACCCTTCCCTAAAGACTAGCAAATAGCAGGTGCTAATAAGGACTTGTTGAATGAGTAAACTCTGACTCATCCATCAATTATTTTCTTATGAGGCCTATACAGGTGATCATATTCCTAAAGATTCATGGCCACAGATGCTATCCAATACTTCTGCCTGCCTTTTATAGTTTTTGCTTGTTTTGTGTATTTTTATATCTTTTTATAAAAACCATTAGCTATAAATTCTTGGGCTTACTGACATCAGCTATAAATTAATGGGATGATCAGTGTCTCTACCCAAAAGCAGCTGCTTCTTCCCTCCTATTTTCTAGAGCATTAGGAGCAGATAATAAGCTCTGTATAAAGTAAACTGGCTCTGAATGAAGTCTCAGGGGTTTTGCACTGAGTTGGGTGCACACTTGTAACAAAAATTTTAGCTGCTTAATGGGTCTACTTCCTGGTTCTCAATGTTTGGGAATAGAGAAGTTGCCAGATGACCAGTAAATTAATTTATTATTTTACTATAAACATGTATAAGCAGTATACACAGTTAAAAATAATTCTGGAAATTAAGTACTGGAAAAGTAACCTCCCTGAGGGCAGGATTTTTGTCTGTTTTGCCCAGTTTCATTCCCATGGTGTATCACAGTATTTAATAGAAGAAGGAAGAAGCATGTTGGGTTGGGAGAATTTTCTGCCCTTACAGAAGGCAGATGTGTAGATAAGGCAGAAGCTGTAAAATGCTAGAATTAAAGGCAGATGAAGCAAGTAATATTTTTAAATGACAATGTTTAGAAACATATTAGTTTGGCAGATCAACTCTTCAAGAATGGGGGAAACAGTATCAGAAGCTTACGGTGTATCTTAACTTCCAGAAAAAAAGGAAAATGATATTTTAAGCCAACTGGCCACTTAAAAAGATCTAGACTCAATATAACTTCTCTGGTAAACTTCCAAGACGAATGCATTCTATAGTATTCTCAGCTAACTGCCTCAAAGGAAGGCACAGAAAGTTCTGCCATACCGAAAACATGAGGATGCCTAGGAGTGAGGTAAGAATTACGACTTGTACAGTTCTGAATACATAGGTGAGCCCTAGGAATTCTGATTGAAAGCCCAAGGCCTGTGCAAGCGCTCCCAAAGCGTTCCCAGGCCAAAGTAGCATTGGGTGACTGTGAATGTGCTACTATATCCTCCTCGAGAACTCAGGGGGTGGGAGGGAGAAGGCAAAGTTGGAAAAAGGCAGGGATGTTTGGGGGTCAGCAGGAATAAGAAATGGTGCCAAGTAAGACTCGGAAAAATCTCCAAATTCGGTCTAGGTAGGGGGTCTAGAGACCAGCTAAGGTTCGAGGAGAGAGTGTGAGCATGGGTGGAATTAGAGGAATGAAAAAAAACACTGCAGAATCCTAAAGGGGCCGCCCAAACTGTAAACCTCAGGGTTAAGGGAGGCCGGGCTGTGGGAAGCCAGCTCAGGCCAGATCCGCCACGTTCCTACCGGTCCGCACGCGTTCAGCCGCAGGTCTTGGAAGTCGGCTCCGTATATAGCTTCCAGGGCCTGCAGCTCGTGGTCCTGCCGCTGCGGGTAGCTCTCCTGAGGTTCATCCCGGCCGCGCCCGGGAACCCCGCGGCCCCCAGTCATGGCTACGCGGCTGCCAAGACAGGGCGGCCTGGCAGCTGCAGCTACCGGCCCTAGGCGGGCTGGGGGGCGGGGCCCGGTGCCGGAGACGGGCCTGTGGGCGGGGCCGAGAAGAGGCGGGTTCATGGGCGGGACTCCACGCCAGGGGCGGGATTGGGGCGGAATTGGGGCGGGATTGCGGCTGGGCGCAGCGCGGAGTCTTGAGGCTGGAAGAACCCTGGCTGACCCAGGCTGGGAGCAAGCCTTGCTCACAATCTGCAGGAGAAAAGCAAGTAAAGAACTCCATGAATGTGGGCGAACAAATTACGCAGATTGGAATGAAAGTACCAGATTGGATAGTTTTCACGAAACAAGTCTCTTTAACAGAAGTGCCTTAGACTCCCAGATAACTTTTGATTCTTTCTAAAAAGGAATAAAATTTATTCTTTCTTTTGGGGGGGGGGATTTTATTTAGAGAAAGGGTCTCACTGAGTTGCTTAGCACCTCGATTTTGCTGAGGCTGGCTTTGAACTCCCAATCCTCCTGCCTTAGCCTCCCAAGTCACTGAGATTATAGGTGTGTGCCATTGTGCCTGGCTAATCTTAAAGGGTGAAAGGAAAGTGACCACAACACAGCAACCAAGAGATCTTTATTGCAGCAGTGCAACAGAGGAGAAAAGAAAGAGAAGAGAGAGAGAAAAAGAGAGAGAGTGCAGGAGAGAGACAGAGAAAGCAAGGGAGATAGCAAGAGAGAGAGGGGCCTGGCAGGAGAGAGTTTTTATAGCCCAAATCTAATGAGGTCTCTGGGTCTGCAAGCTGCCTTGTTAGCACAAGGGGGGTTACGTGTTTGGCCTTGAGCAGGGGGTTGAGTGTTCAGCCTTGAGCGGGGGCTTGGGCATTTGGGCTTGAAGCAAATAGTTGATAAAGAACCAGACAGAGGGTTTGAGAGGGCAGGTCATCCTGCAGCTAACTTTGTTTGGCATGCCTTGCAGACGGCTTACTCAGCCTGTCCTGCACCTAACATTCCTCCCTTTTTGTTCTTCTAAGTGACATGGGGGACAGTGTAAAGTCCTCTGACTACTTCCTGCTTAATGGTGGGCGGTGTTGGGCCTAGAAGGGAAAGTGGAGGAATGTTCGGGGGACAGGTCTGAGAACACCAGGGCAGCCAAAAATAACACTCAGTGGCTATAGATAACTACTTAGGTAGGGGTAAAGTCCATAAAAGTTCCTTGAAGCCCCAAGTCCTCAATGGCATCAAACAAGTCCTGGGTGGAGGAGATTCTTGGTATCAGCCATTGGTCCTGTTGTAGGGACTCTAGGAAGTAACAGAGGTGGCTTAGTTGAATCCAGAAATGTTAAGGGTGACAGCCCAATTGCAGCCAGTGGAAGGACAATCACCTTGACCCATAAACTGAAAGTGGGTGGTGTCATCCTGGTGCCATGTTGCTTGGATGTTAAAGCACCATCTGTGATTGGGATAGAAACTTGAGAGAGATTAATGATTAGTAAAAGAAGACGAGAGTTGGCAAGAAATTTTGAGTTTGGTGGGCGTGGTGGAAGTCCAGGAGTGGACATTTGGAAAAAGTGCCTTTTTAAGGTGGGAGACATGATACCAGAGAGAGTGTCTAAATGCTTGGTTACCATTTGGGTAGTAAGTATGACTGTATGGGGTCCCGTCCAGAGAGGTTCCAATGATTGAGAATGCAGTTCCTGAAGTAAGACTGAGTCACCGAGTTGAAGAGAGTCCAATTCAGTTTGTGGTAGTGCTGGGATTGAGGCAATGAATGGCGCAGGAAGGCACTGGTCTGCATGTTCCCTTAGGAGTTTGTGTAGAAGTGTGAGATAGGGCAGGTAGGGCACAGGGGAGGAGGAGTGACTGTAAAGCTTTGGGTGGTAAGAAAGGGCATCCATAGAATTGCTCAAAGGGGCTAAGGCCTGAGGGAGCTCTATGGGGCTGCCTGAAATCAGGTGAGGGCCAACGGCAGGAGATTGGGTCAGGAGAGCCTAAGTTCAATAGCAAGTTTAGTGAGATGATCTTTGAGAATGCCGTTAGGCCTCTCAACTTTACCCAAGGATTGGGGTTGGTGGGAGATGTGGAGCCTCCAAGTGATGTTGAGGCCTTTGGAGACTAGTTGAACAACCTGAGAAGTGAGAGCTGGACCATTGTCTCACTGGATGGAGGCGGGAAGTTCGAACCTGGGAATGATCCCCTCAATGAGGATGGAGGCAATGGTGTCAGCAATTTCCCTGGAGGTAGGGAAGGCATCTATCCAACCTGAAAAGTATCAACCAAAGTAAGTAGGTAGTGAAGCTTTTTGTGCCTAGGCACATGAGTGAAGTTGATCTACCAGTCTTCGCCTGGCTGGTGGCTCCTCATCTGAGGTTTGGGGAGTTTAGGTTTGATGCTTCCTTGTGGGGATGCTGTAGAGCAGACTGAACAAGCAAAGTGGACCTGCTGGAGAGTAGTTCTCATTCCTAGGAAGTGAAAGAAGGGTTGTAAAACCTGGAAAAGGGGTTAGGGAGGGTTTTAGGTGAGGTCAGAGTCTCTGGAGCTAGAGGAGTTGGTCATGAATCATAGGTCTCCATCTTGGGCATCAGGGGCTGGTAGTCTTAAAGAAGTAATTGATTGACTGACTGGTTGGTGAATTTGTGTATCTGATCTTGCAGGAACTTCTGTAGGCAATTTAATAGACATGGTCGTATTAGGAGAAACATAAAGAGGACTAATAGAGGTCCTGTGAGGGGGAGGAGCCAAGGCCATACTTGACTGAACATTCCCCATGGAGCCTGTTGGCCTGGTTGCTGTCTCCTCTTTTTTAGCTGTTCTTTGTCCTTCATTACCCCCAGGAATGACTGTGTTTTGGCTTAACTGGTTTTGGTAGGTGTTTAAGATCAAGCTGGTCAAAATTGACTTTGTTTCTATCTATTGTTAAGAGTCAGCTGAGTTCCCATAGGGGTCACTCGTGGGGGAACTTGAGAGCAGCTTCTTAGTTCTGCTAGTGCCATTTGCGCTAGGATGGGTCCAGGTCTTGCTTGACCATGTGGCTTCCCTTGGAAGCATCAGGGATGTCTCCTGTCTCCAATGACCCTCCTCTTCATAGCAAATGCACTGATTGGCTTTTCATTCTCCAGTGGTCTCATTAATCTCCCTGATCAGGAGGTTATGTGGCCCAGAGTTGCAAAGCTCTTTAGAGAAGTTCCCTGTTCCCTGGATTCAGACTGACTCAGAGGACCAGAGCCAAATATTCGTTTTCTTGGCCATTTTAATTTAAGTTTAAGTCTTGATCTTAAACATCCAGCAAAGTCAGTTTCACCTTAAATTAAGAGTACTGGGCTTTAGCTGAAGTCTGGCCTACTTTGGAGTCATTCTGACATGTAGTAAGATGGGAGGCAGAGCCTTATCTCAGGTAAGCCAGAGCTCTTTATAAATCTTAGGTAAAGTGTTCTATCATTGAAGCTGATCTTTTTTTTAAAAAAAAAATATTATTTTATAAAGTTTACATATATTGTTGCTTGATGTCACATGAATACTAGCTATCACAATATGATATTACATTTAAATTGTACCCAGTGTATAGAACTTTATATTAATCTTATTGATAACAGGTCCAGTTAAAGAAAATTAAATGATATAAATAAATCTCCAACATGTTATTCTTATAAGCCTAAAATTACCATGCAACCTTTTGGAGAACATCAGCTTGATATAATAATTTTTTAAGCTTCTATCTTAAAGACTTATATACCCGGAAAATATGAATATATTTAATATACAAAGAAAAGTAATAGTACCACAATTATATTTGTAAGGGTCCAGCGAACGTCAGAGGAAGAGACCACCAAGAGACCGGCTCATGCAACCGCAAAAGGGGATTTATTGAGGATCCAATCCAGCGCGCTGGGGCTCCAGGCTCACTCAAGAAGGGAGAGTGACCAAGAGCCCCGAGCAGGGGTTGAGCAGTGCTTAAGTACACTTTTTGGGGAGGGTGGGGGCTTTGCATACATCAGAGCAAATCATCATGAGGCGCGGGAAAATCAAACAACAATTCTTAAACATGATTAGTACATTCATTGGCAGGAACAGGTCGGGCGGGAGTGATAGGTCAATCCTAAGAAGGGGGGGTACATTCAAACTGATTGGTTTGGGCCCTGAGATGCCTACGTGCCAAGCTGCACAGGGTCTTAGGTTATTAAACAACTAAATGGTCAGGGGGAATATCTACTGGGCAGTCCCGGGAATTGTCCTAACAGCTACAGGAATTTCAGGTTTTGGGTGTAGCATAGGAACTTAACAATACCTGGTCCTTTACATTTTAACTCAGTCTTTGCAGCTTAGAAACTTTACAATACCCGGTCTTTTACACTTTAACTTCAATTTCTTTTACTCTTTCGTATTGATGTTTTTATATTATTAAGTTTAGCTCTTAAAGAAATAACATATTACAATATTGCAAAATAACAGTTGTTGTTTAACCATAGTTGTATAATGCTTAATTCCTTCAAGATTACTTACTCAAAAAACTTACATATATAACCAACATACATAGACCTTCTTTATCACTTGCTTAAACCTATATAGCCAACATACATAGACCTTCTTTATCACTTGCTTAAACCCTCTTATTTACTTAATAGACTCTCTTATCCAGAAACACCTTTTCCTTCTATTAAATCCATACTTAGAAACTTCTAATTTCTCTTTCCCATCTGTTAACTCTTTCTTTATTCACACTTTGAAATAATCCTTGTAAATTTCTGAATTTAGGCAAATTATTCCATTTTAATAAGAGATATTTTGTTATTTGCAGTACACAATTAATCACATCTGTTGACCATTTCATGAAAACATAAACAATGTTTAAGTGTATAGAATTATACACAATTATATTGTTGTAGGGCCTGGTAGGGAGGGGGTAGACGAGAAGGCGGGGTTGAGAGCAGCTAGGGTGGATCCAAGAATGAAGAAGGAGATGTGAAAGAATAATGGGAAAGGGGTTTGGGATTTTCCCTAGCAAGGAAA